AGTTTGGGATGTTGACTTTGAGAAGAAACCTTGGCTGTTAATTATACAGTATATAGGAATCTACGTACTTAGTCTCATTTAATAGAACACGTATTTAGTGACGCATAGTAACATACATCAGTATTTCAACGTTAATTGGGAAACCTACTGTGAAACAAGGCTTCTATTGTATCTAGCAGGAATATTCATTCAACTGGGCAGGAAAAATTGTATCTAAGAATATTTGTACAGAATTTACAGGCCGATGTATATTTTCACGGATCGGCGTTAAGTCAGTAGTAGGCCGGTCACATGACATCGTTCGCAATCTCAGAATAACTGACGGTCCAGTCTAAAATTATATTACGTAGGTAATGCTTTTAGCACCACAATTGTTGCATATAAGTACATTAGAATGTATATCTCATTATAACCCACTGCTTACAGAAATGTCACACATGAAAATAATATAATTGATTGTCTATGTATTTTCTTATTAAACACCTATAACAACAACACCTCCTATACCTAAGTATTGGCAATTCAGCAGAATCATCGATATTTGATACACAATGTTTAGTATGCAATGTAGTGGTCACGTTCTGACCACAATGTTAGATATCTACCTACTCAATTATACTTACTTAGACGATATTATGTAGTTCAGTGGTACAATCCTGTCCTTGCATTGATTTGTTAGTAAGGGGCATTTTAAGAAATATAAATATCTTATAACAATTTCTTGTCGTAACAAGTTATATTTATTATATTATTAGATGAATAAACTTTATTATTAGATATATATATTAAATATCACTATAAATAAACGTATACGATATTTATTACGGTTACTTGAACTATGTAGGTACGTAGATTTTTTTGGTTTCGTAAATAGGTATTTTGCGAGGTAGAGGGATGACGGTAAAAAGTATTTAAAGTATGGATATAAAAAGACAAGATATATATTACATTACACCAATTTCAGGAATTTATGACCACAGATACATTTTACAAAAGTTAAAATTTTGTGTTTAATAATCAGTTAAGAGTTTTAGATGTCATGATTTTTACACGAACATTGTGAATTCTCCAACTCTTTATTATACAATGTCATCCTCCCCTATGTAGATACCCTAATATACCCAGGGCCGTCTTTCACCTATTAGAGGCCCTGGGGACATTAGAGGGTAATGGGGCCCCTATGACCATAGTAATAAACCATTCTTTTGTTATAACAGACAAAGTAATTTTTGATCATGACTTTTGAACGTGTCTGGTTTGTTTTGAAGGTAGGCCCCTTCAAAACAAACCAGACACAAATAATTTTAAAAAGTCGTTATGTGATGAGAGGTTAAAGTTCTTGCTAGACATTTATAAAAAAAATAACAAAAATGACGAACAAATTGACCATAGTCGGTAAGTATTTCTTAAGACTGATTTTCAGGCGAGAGAAGAGTAGCTATCGATTATTGTTTGGTAATGGAGTAGGCACTGGACTAGACTAGAGGCCCAAATCCATCGCGTGCCCAGGGCCCGGGCACGTGTCCAATGGTGAAGAGGGTCCGAATATACCCTATTACCTTCATTAAAATAAGTTTCAATTATTGTTCAGTTTCAATTATGTATTATAATATTATTTTATCTGTAGTTTCAATTCAGCTGTATGTTATAATTTGTAACACACATCTCATTATTTTTGATTGTTCGGTGAAATGTAGATAAGTGTAATTGTGATCACCATACATGATTATCGACGACATGTGAGATAATATAATATAATTGTATTTATTATACATATATCTCACTAGTTGTTACCTGCGATTTGCATATTTTTTAATAATGAATTTGGAAAATCATATTAAGTGGTATGTGCTAGTTAAAAGGCCGATGTAGAGGTCGCTTGAAGGTCGTAGAAATGTTCTATGGCGACGTAGAGTCTCCTTATATTGGTTTGACAAGGTCTTTCACCCGAACGAAAGAAAAATAAATGTTGTCCTATACATATACGACATTTTTAACAGTATTTGATAATCCACCTAATTAATTTCAGATATTTAATGAATTCTGAAAATTACTAATTTAGAAATAAGTGCTTATTGTTTTAAACCTTCAATGAATTAAGGAAAAATACCATGTTCTGGCTATGAATAAATCAACATGAATCAGGACAATTGAAAAACTACTAAGTAGTCTGATCAAATATTTGTGACCACATGAGAAGCATCACTTTTTAAGTAAAAAATAATCATCAAAATCATTTAATATAGAAAAAGTAGTGCTAACAAAATACACATATGAATATAGTCGAATACTTTAACCAATTTGGTGCGAAACGACCTAACCAACGACAATCGAACCAACTTATTTGCGACATTGGTCACGGGTTCGAATATAGCACGATATAATAATTTGTAATCATGACTACGATTGTTTTATTAGTTTATGTGTTTTCTATGCATATATATAATTTACAAAAAAAATGTATAGATATCTGTTTATTACATGGTACGAACTGGGGTTATTATTATGAATTAATGCAATGTTGCCATGAATTACATTAATCATATTTGTAAGCTTTTATTATACTCCGTCTATTAAGTACTAAGTACTTATACTTTAAATACTCCTTAGGTAATCTATTTTAGTAACCAGGCATTGAGGAAATTTACAAAATAAATCTTTTTACGTTTCAAGTGGATGTGTTCATACCTATACGGTTCATTGAAAAATATGTGAATATAAATATAATATTATTTCAATTCTTAATATTCTGTGCATAATATTGTTTTTATTCGACTATTACTGGAATGAGGATAATGCTTATTGGGGATTATTTAATATTACAATGTAAACGTAGTAATAGAATATAAAAGAAACAAATAGAAAGAATTAATGGTATCCCTGTTAATATTATAATATAAGTTATTTATTATTTAGAAATAGGTATAGAACACATTTGTAATCGTTGCACTCCGAATATTTTATACATGAGTACAGACATACAGACGGTTTGATAGATTTTAATTAATATTGGTTATTGTCATATTTGGGAGTATATCATAACACAAAATATAATACAAATATAAATGTAAAATATTACAGCCAAGTACAAAAAAATGTTATATGAGAGTATTCCGACCACTTTCAGCCAGTGTACGGTATATCTGCGTATAAGTAATTCTTCAATTAGCGCCAAAGAATTGCTGCAACTACATCCAATGACGCGTGGGTATGTTTTAGTTTCTACAGACTAAGTATATTTGTTTTAAAAGATACTTCTATGGTCTGTTAAAATAAACAGAACTAAAAATGTTCATGAGAATAAACTTTTCATGTAATTTTGACATGATTAATGATTGGCTTTACGTATGTTAGTTACGATCTTTAGCTACATTATTACTCTGTAGTATAGATATATATATGATATTTGTATATGTTTAGTCGTTCGCCTGCGTTACCGCACCACAGTGGTGGCAATAAAGCATGCGGCCTTTCTTATAGTAAACGGTGAACGTGGCGTTGGATGTCTGAAGTAGGAGTGTCGTGCGTAATGCTGATCTTAAAAAAAAAATTAATGTACCTTCCCTGAAAAACTATTTGCTGTAGTCAGCAATTAGTTCATTCAACAATCAGAGTGTCCATGGGAGGACATTCTCACGAACGTTGCGGTTACAGAAACCGCACTGTTCGTGACTATCGCGGTGATGATAGGATAGATATTTATTTGAGAATACATGTTGTATTGTCGACTTTTTACGTTATTTAATTTATTTTTGAAGCCGAGGCTAGCTGCCTCGGCTTCGTACGGGTGTACAAGTATTATATATAAAAGTTCGTCTTGAATCACTCTATAAACTACATAAAAATAATGGCGTAGTTTAAAATATAGAGAATAGACATCGGAAGCGACTTCTTTTAATATTATGTAAAGGAAATATATTTCAGAAATGGTTACACAATGCCATGTTATTATATATTAAATAATATATTATATATTAAATAATATATAAATATATTAAATAAAATACATTATTACTAATATACAGGCTATTTTTAATGCTCTAAAAGTGGCATATGTACGTATGTTAATTGAGATATGTTTTAATCAAGGCTTTTCAAACTTTTTGTTCTTTACCATTCTTGTATGTGCAAGTCTTGAATTGTTCAACCGTTTAATTTAATTATGAACATTGTACCTACATGTCTTTTCTATTCTCTTACCTAGTTCCAAGTTCATCTCCCTTAAGTAGTTTAGTTAAACCTTAAGGTACCTTGGCTTCAGTCGTGATTAATCAAACCCATATATTTATACTTAGCTTACAGTAAAACATTAGCTACTCATCAGTCCATTTGAGTACACCTCATTCTATATTTTACCTTCAGCGCATCCTAATTGATATTGAATGTGATTGATATTTTTGATATTGCTTATGTAGCAGATAGAATTGAAAAGAGAATAAAACGATGTTAGTTCCGATTTCACTAACTAACACTGAAATTCGGTTTGTATTTTTGGAATACCTATTCCAAAGAAACGAACCAAATTTCAGTGTTATTATTTATTTTCGTCGATACAAATATTTTAAATGTAGATATTCAAAGTTCAAATCTATTCCAATCGTGTAAATGCGAGAATAAAATGCTGTTAGTTTCGGTTTCAAACTCAACAACACTGAAATTCGGTTTGTTTTTTTGGAATACCTAGTTACTATTTATTTTTGTCCATACAATCATATTAGTAAATGTAGATATTCAAAGTTCAAATCTATTCCAATCGTGTAAATGCTCATGCAATTGCGGTGTCGTCACATCACTACGTTAATGCCCACTACGAAAAAATGTTATATTTAGAGACTATTTTGTTTATTCAAGTTTGATAAGGATGTAGCCGGGGTAGGTGTCGAATCTCGTGGCCATTGATCGGTGGGCGGGCGGGCGGCGGCGGCGGCGGCAGCGACGGGCGGAACACCCACGTGTTCGCTGAAGCTCAGAATAGACAGTGTGTTCCGCGCCATCGCACCACGCTTGTATCGTCCGAATTACAATGCTCCATTTATAATTAAAATTTTGACAATTAGCACGTATTGAATGAAAATTATTTATTAGTGATTTTTTGTACCTATTTTTCAATTTATGTGCAATTTACATGCCTGTGATTAGTAGGTTGTGAGTGAAATCGCTTATGTGGTCAGTCACGTACGCTAGTGAGTTTGAAACTAATGTGATTGCTGTCGTGACATTGGCTCAGTACTATCAGCCCGTTGTAGACGTGTGTTGCGTTATTATCAATAAAAAGTCTTGGCTCAGTTGGATTTTGTGCGCGGGCGCATATAAGCAGTCATAGGCGCCGGCGCCGAGTGTTAAGGTGTGAAGCGTTCAGCGCATGTGCGATGCGATGCGTGAAAAACTCAGTGAACTGCTGCGTGGGACAGTGCGTGCTCCTACAGACAACGCCGATAAACTGCACAATGGAATTTTGTACACTGATCAAGGTTTTTAAACATTTATGTCAATTAAAATTTTTAAACACCATTTCATTAATCCTAAATCCTGAAAATAGACTAAAAATAATACGATAAATATAATAATTTAACGAATTATCTTTGATATCAAGTGGTTTAAAGAGTTAGATGGAGTGGTACTTTTTAGTGGATGATGGGACCTAAGATGTTTCACATTGTCGTTGCTGTGCTTCAATATATCCACTTGACATCAGGCAGACCGTATACTTCATTGCTATCCTTGGAGTATGCATCTACAACAAACAATCTAAAACAATTTAAAAATCCTTTCTTTGGGAGATTTTTAAATTCTAATTTGTAAATTAATTATTTGATTTATTCATTTTAGAATATTAGTAAAACAGAGAAATTGTAATGCTCACTCAAAAAGTATATAAGTTTAATACACTTAGGTAAGCAAAATACTTAATTTCTTCAACAATTAATTGAAAAAATGTATTTTATATATAAACATCTTAGTAAAAGTAAATTAAACCTCTGTCAATTAAATTTAATTGTTAAGATGTTATAAGATCATGTACCTGAATAATTGTATAGATATGGCCATATTCAGAGAAAACTGTATTATTTTATTATTTTTAGTGAATATATCTAATATATGTGCCTTATTATAAGTAGTAAAGTAAGAAAATACTGATTCCTATTTACTTTGTTACTTCAGTCTACTTAAGTTTCTAAATGTCTACTTCATAATTTTCAAATAACCACTCTTCTATTAGCTTATGCCACATAACTAGCAGTATAGAACTTGAAAAGTAAGTGTAAAGCACTGCGTACAGATGACTTACGAAAATATTATGAAATCCGTAGGAGTGTCTTCATTTTGTGGTGCACTTTATTCATTAAAAAAAACATTTACATAATTAAAAAATAAGTTACTGCAACATTTGCAGATAGATTTGGTACCAATTAAAAACACATAGCATTATGTAATTTCAAGTTAATTTAAGGCGAGCCGTTATTGCTAATCTACCAATTAGAAGTTTTAGGCAAAATATCGGCTTCCGTCGGTTTCCCTAGGGAACTATCATGGTTAATTGGTGGTAAATTCGCAAATCCTATCATTTTCCAATATAGTGCCCGAGCACAGTTATAAAGAAAATTAAAAATCTCCGTAGTCTACAGGATTAATGTAATTTTATCTATAAGTAGATAAATTATTATATAGATTTGGTTAACTAAATTGAGTTCTCATGGGTGTTTGTTTATTCATTTTGTAAAGCATGTACGTATGTTGACTTACATACATACACAATGATGTAACTCCAGTGTAATTTATAACTTAAACAAGATTATACTTCGCAAATCATAACGAGCTAAAAAATTTGTTTACACAACAAATTCACGTAGTATCGATGATTTATATTATATAGAACAAATATTAGTATTAATAATATTATATTATATGGAATTGCACATAATCAAGTGTCTCTAAATTATTTTTTTTTTCTTAACTACAAAGATTTTGGGTAATCTTTATTTCTGTATAAACGATTTTAAATGCTATATTGCATTTATAGTACAAGTTACTTATTTATAACAGCTTGTGGTGCTTTGTCAATCACGTCTTATATCAGTAATAGACCATGCCGTCTAGTCCTTGATGATGGTAATTTTTATTACCATGCTACGAGCTAGTGTCCATAATAAATTGGTACCTTAAAAACCTTTCTCTTTTACCTTTTTAAATACGGCCTACGTGACACTGCTCAGCGCGCATGAAGGTGCCTACATAAACACGTAAGGCAGTCATTTATAATGATTATATTATCCTTATGCACAATAAATGTGGTGAAATTAATTAATTTTGTTACTAACGAATGTAGTGATTGAATTGTAACTATTAGGAAAAAAATGCATTCCTATTCCAGATGAACAGTATATAAAATCATAACAGACAAACGGAGATAACCGTTATTAGGGGTAAAGATTTTTTATAATAATTAAATTATCTATTGGTGTGTAACTCTGAAAAGAATATCCGGCTACAAAAGATTAAACTGAAAGTCGTAAAATATTTTTATTAAAATGAATTATTTATTGGAAAGAATATCTTATAACAAACAGAACTTGAGAATAAGGTACAGTCAAATAGGGAAGCACATTCAAATAATTTAAATTCATTTTTTTCTTTTATATGTTTCAGGCTACGATCTCCATTTACCATCAGATGGGACGTATGCTTGTTTGCCACCATTGTAGCATAAAAAAATATATAAAGTACTCAGTTTAGGTACGGTCAATAGTCCTGAATGTTCTGAAAATTAAAAATATTAAATATTAGGTACTAGGTAATATTATATATTATATTAATATCAAATATATATTTAGTGTTAGGTATACACACAGGTCATTTGAAGTCCTATTTAGGAATATGTCTATTCTCAAAACAGAACGTGGCAATAAGCAGATGCTTCTTATGTTTCATTTATAAGAAATCGTCTGTGACATGTGATATATACGAGTCATCAAAAAATACATACAGTACATATTGCGATATATAAAACGCTTACTCATTATTACATTTATAAACGACAGCTTTGCAATATGATGAAATTGTGAATACAAATTATTTTCTCTTATTAAATGATACTTTGTAAAAATGGTACCTAATTACCTACTTATTATTGAGACTTTTCTGTCTTCAGCATTATTTGTTCTTGTTTAATTCTGAAAAAAGTAAAATAGCTAGTTTATTACAATTCTTATAGAATTATTTAAATGAAATTTAGGCTATGTCCTTCCTCGTCCTTACAATGTTGCTAAATCGTAAAAAGGTGAACAAAAGATAGGCATTTTCGCTTGACTATGTCGACGTGCACAGATTGCACTTGCTATAGTATTTGTACGTATATAATGTTACGGAAATATCAATATCAAAGATAAAATGCACAAGGAAGAACAATAGTGCTTACTGTCGTTAACTGATTATGGGCACTTATATGTCAGCTTAAATTTCAGTGTATAAACAACAGATTTATTTTATTACTAGTTATTTCTAGCGACTTCATGTAGATACAACATGTTATTTTCCGTCCACGTGTACATAGCAAATCGACTGTTTAGCCATAAAAATGTAAAAAACAGACAGACATACTTTCGTATTTGTAATACTAGTATGGACAGGTATCTATTGATAGGTACTTCTTAACGTACCTGTCTATAGTGTTTGATTCTGATTCAGGGATGCCGCGCAAATGTAACAGGAAAATTCTCAATGACAATATGTTTTTGTATTTTAGGCACTGCTATTTCTTTTTTTAATGCACATATAGGTATATTTTTACATAAGATAAAAAAGCTTGTAATATATACATATAAATATAATACAAGTGCACAGTATCGAACAAGCCGATATTATAAGATTTGTAACGAATTCGTTAGTAGTCGAACGGGTCGCTGGTATCGTTTCCGGCCCTGTACGAAATTTAGCACGATCTTTGGGTTACAGCTAGCTATTTAGATTCTGACAAACCCCTATTTTTATTTGGTTACATCGAAGGATTCAGGAATATCAACTCTTCAGACGTTGGCATAGACATATAATGTGATGATACGACTAATTGGATTTGGCAAATTGGCATTAGTATATTAGAATGTTTTCTGGCGGTAAATACGTAGTACACAATAGCGAAGGGATTAGTAAGATATTTTACTGTCTGTCACTCGAGTAGAAACTAAATTTTATTATTTTTAACTCGTCAAGACATAGGCAAAGTCAATTATTTCTGTGTTGACGAACAATTCCTCAACGTCTGTATACCTATTGACGCTGGTGGTTGTTGGCACATGGTTGGAATTTGAAATTCATAAAATGTGACTATCTATAGCGATGGAAATAAGTAGTGGCATTACCGAAACCAAAATAAAATTAGTCAGTATATTATAATGAATTTATACGAATGTGAATAGTAACTACAGCCCGCTACTTTGTTTGCTTTTTTTAATGTAAGATATTGCTGCCTAAAGTATTGCTTGTGCCCGTCCTTGGGATACAATCTATCTTCACATCAAATTTCATTCATATTCATCCAACAGTATAGTCGTGAAAATATTATATTTTACAGACGGGTAAACACACTTACGTATTTATAATATTAGTATGGATGAATTTCTAAAAACTCGCTAGGTGAGTTTTTTTTTATGATAATGGAATGGTGCACCCGCCTGCGCTAACGGTTTACGCTGGCGGGGCACCAGTGGAGGATGATAAGATGACCATGAGGTCAGGTCAGTTAGCCCATCGTGGCAATTTCACCAGAAATTTAACGCAATCCAGTCAACCTGACATGGTACATTGCTAGCAATGGGGTTATCAACCCACATTACTAACAATCCCCTTTCCCCAGGTATAAGTGAGTACTGAAGGGCAGACACATAGGCGTGCCTATCCTCTCGACTTCTGGGTTAGATTTTAGAATATTTAGGTTTTTTTAGGCCGGTATGCGATTTTTTCAGACGTTTCTAGTGAAATTGAAATATACTTACTATTTTCAGGGGCGGGATGGCTATGGATCTCCCCCCCCCCCCTCTCCCCCCTTGGCTTGTCACACATTCGGTACGCCCATAGACATACAACTGTTGGTTGCACGTCCTTCAATCGATTTTTCACAGTTTAAATATAGAATTGCAATAAACGAGCACTTCATAATTGTCTCATTTTATATGACGTGCTTCATTACTAATTCATATTGTATATATGTATATTGTTCAATAAATTGTTAAGAAATTTAGCATAAATATATAGGTAGGTTTATACCTATATATACATAGACAACTTAGTAGCAAACGTAGTAGCTACTCTAGAGAGAGTTTCTATTTTTAACTTTATTTTTAATTATTATTAAAGTTTTCTCTATGATACTTTAAGTAAAGTCTCTATTTATTTTTTCTATTATGTATGATTAATATATAAAGAAGTTTTTCATCGACGCTTGACAAATGTACAAAAATAAAACAAGTGTATGAATCAAAAAGTTTAACATCACGAAGTCGCGATATAATGCTGGTATTTCTGCGATGATGGTAGACGATGTGCGAACGCCACTTTATTTTTCTTAAGGAAACTTTTTGTGTAGGTTACCCAAAAAAAAGTTTGCGTTTTTCATAACATTATATTAGATTACGTATTTTGAATATTAAACTTGCATCCATGAGTATAACAATCATCATTATTTTACTTTATTCGTTCGTTTCAAATTTGTAATATTACTTGATTTTAATTAAAAATTAATTCTTGTCTCTATGTGACTCTATCATAATTAATTTGTATATATGCGGTTATTTTAAACGTAACTTTAGAAAGGTTACGTAGTTATAGTAATACCTATCTCGTACCTAGTAAGTCTACCTCGACATAGTACAAAGTTCCCGGAATGGCCGCGCATTAGGAATACCAAGGTCATGGAATGCGTCTTTGGTTCATGAATACAGGCGACGAACGGATGCCTCTTACCATGCGGTCAGTTTATTTGTCACATTATTTACATAAAAAACAATGTCAGAACTATTAGTATCATAGTTCATGCGAATTGGAATATTAATATGGCGTAGTTACAGCTATATTCAAATTTATCAGTCTGATTTCATCACATAACGTACAAAGTTGCTATCCGCAAAATTTTGGCAAGTGTTCCACGCGATTGAGCTTGTTTCTAGAGATGCTAGTAGGTGTATTAGCATCATTGAAACTGTCACAGTATTTTAGGTTTTTTTAGCACTACATTGGTATGTATGTATTATGTTGTGAAAACAAGTTCTACCGGATTCAAACATCTATAACTAGACAATATGATAGTTAGCTCAGTTCATCTCAACTGTTAAGAAGAACTGAGAAGAAACTAAATACACTGACTACTTTTTAACATTTAGGTATCTGTAACACCTTTACGTAGTATAAATTAAAGTCACGCTGTATCTACGCCTAGTTACTTCAAACTACTCAACTCCTTTTAATACAGTTTTCCGCAACAGATTGATTGATTCAAGAGGAAGTTTTGTATGCATAATACATGTATATACGAGCGAAGCCGGGACGTACAGCTAGTACAATATAAAACTTTATTCTGTGCCAATCATGATCAGTCTACAATAATCTAATTCCACTAACATATAAGCCGTATATAGTTATATCCATGCAGCAGAAACTATAAAACCTAGAAATAGACAGAAGGCTCTATTTGTCTGTTGTAATTATGGGGTGATATTTATAGCGACCAGTTGTAAGAAATTAGTTGTGACGTCAATAGCAGATAGATATATTCTATAGAGGTCAAGTCAATTTACTAAGACTAAAATGTATTAGGACAACGAACTGTAAAAGCGTCGACAAGAATGCAATAAATATCGTATAAAAAGTGTAGCAAAATAATTGCCGTTTAACAAAAACGTATCTATTTTTAATTTACATAATGCTTTACTTCTGTAATATTTAATTCTCTACCATTTAATAATACCAGTGTTACAATATGGCTGAAAAGCTTTCTGTGTCAATTTTAATTTCCGATAAACTCTTGTTTTTGATTACGCCCGTCTTCAAGTAATATATTATAATGAGAAATTTTCATTTTGATTCCTTTCCATTTTTCTCGATGCTTACATAAGTCAAGATTAAGAAAATTTGACTTAGGGGATATTTATTTCAATCAAAGTTTATGTCTTAATCATATCTAATTGAAACAGTATAACTTTTGTTTTATGAATAATTGAAATTTAGGCAAAGATTGTTTAATTTAATAGCAGGAGTTAATAGAAGGAATATTATAGTTGAGCCAGATGTTGCTGCGTTGCTGGTTGTATGGGGTTACACATTTTAGAGTCTTATTATTGAAAAGTTTCTATCTATTATACACCATGCTGTCCCGGCGGGTTGAAGGTTATAGATATTTTTTAAAGGAACATTGACGTCAGCTTGATGTGCACAGTATATTTGTTTTATTTTTTATATTACCTCTATACATATAATAAAGTCTAAATATTTGTTTATTGGTGCAGGGAGCGCACGCGAAGGCGGATTGGTGTGGCGCGGGTGCTCCGCAGGCTGCGACGACGCCGAGGACGGCGCGGCGGGAGCGCTCACCGACGGGAACCTCAACCCTGGAGACAAGGTAAATGATCATTAATTTTTTTTAACTATACACTACATGTATGATCTACTGGTTTCTGTGTTCTATTTCGGTAGACAAAAGCAGTCTTTCCTAATTCAACGGTGAACAAGTTTTTGTAAGATATTATTTCATTTAATTCGACTTATATTTGTAAGTAACTTGAATATCGTTAAGTGCTCTTGAAATATGCCATTGTGAGGAAAAATCTTATTTGCAGACCGCATCAGAAAATTCTGAAAAACTGCAACGTAGCTGTCTCCTGTCAAGTATTTTATAGATATTGTACATTAACATCTATATCTATGATCTTGTGCTTAACGTATATACAGCAAGTTGCTATTACAAGTGTTGCATCTTTTGGGAAATACCTTACCTTTTGGTTTAATTTGACTGCATATATACGAAAAGGGTCACTTTTTGCATATAGGCAGTCAAGTTAAGCACATGAATACGATATATCCTATTATTGCAGAAGTTTCAATGTTCGCAATATCATATAAACTAATAAGTAGACTAGGTATTATAGATGTAAACACATAAATATTTGAATAAATTAATTAACTTGCAACGCATGTAAGTAATTGGTAATAAGCCCTCTCTCTACTTTATATCAATTAGGTGCATGCGTAGGTTGTTTTACTGCTCATAAAAAGCTTATGTATGGACTACTTATATTGTCTATTATAATTATTATTAAGTAATAAGGGTAATAAAGTAAGTAATAAGTACTTACTCCAGTAAATTCAATGAGCCTCATAATAATATTATTACCCTATCAACTTATATTTACTGACGTCATCTCACTGGACTTTTTACTAGTAGATATTGGATTAATATTATGGCGGTTTATGTGCTTCAATTTCCAAATGGATAAAACAAATTCCATATAATTTCGTGTTATGTCCTATGTCTAATAAATTTGAATATACATATTAGAGACTAGGCAAGCCTATTAGAACCGTAAGAATGAAAGTGTGATTCTGAAAACTGAAAGAGAACTGTGAGATTACTTGTCACGGAAACATTTTACATTAGTATATTCTTAGGAATACTGCGAGGACCCGCGAGAAGTAATGGAATACGGAATTGCAGTGTAATGTATATTTCATTATTAAGTAATAATAAATGTATGTGTGAATTATTAAAAAGAGTTTTTCATTAATTTTCTAAAGATTAATTATTGTAAAACCTTCTAACGTTGTAGGGAAGTGTAATATGATAGTAACATAATATACATATTCTAGTTCTATAATATTAGTGATGGCATTCATCACAAATAATAGAGGAGAAATATATGTATCAATCTATTATAAATCACAATGTTTGAATATTTTAATACATCGCACGGATTGAGAATGTTTTTTTGGAATGCGCTATTAAATTATTAGTTGTTTAGTATTATTACTGCCATGATATATTTACGAAAGTACATGTTCCATAGATACAAAGAATCTTATTAATGCATACTAATGTGTGTGTTTCATGTTAGTTCTTCTTAGGTCGACTGTATCTGACTGTACTTTCCAAACTGACGGTAGATTCGACTATCTTTAATAGACCTATATGAATGTATATATTTAGATTTTCATATGTTTTGTAAATCATGGTAGTTTTTTGGATATATAATCTAAATAAATATGTGCATGCGATAAATGCGAACGTGCATAAACCGCTGATATTTGTTTATATGTATGTCATGTCATGTGTTCGTGTAGCGAGAAGTTCGTATGGAATATGATGGCAAATTATTATAATTATGGCATAGATACAACGATACAATGTAAAGCGTGTAATAGGAGTCTTGGCAGTACTTTAATGAATGTAGGTAGGTACTTGGGAACCAGCAACGAAGATGTAACAATCAATTATTTAATTTAATCCATATTCTACAATCATCAAAGTCATTGTTCATGCTGTTTACGAGTGATTGTGTAAGCATTGAAACTATATTTTCATGATTTTATAACTGTCTGTATAATGCAGTCAAGTGCCATCAAAAAGAAACTATAGATACTATGATACATTTTACGCATTATATGATATATTAGATTATTTTTGTAATCAATGTCGATTTCAATATAATTTTTGCAATAAATAAATACGTAGAAAATAGTCTATCATAAGACGCATTACGTTAACCAACCTTACCCAGTAATAACATCTAGTTACATACTGTTTGTATTTGTGTTTGTTATACATGTGTAAATTATACGTGTATGTACATTCATCACAAATAAGTTTAGCTTTCTATAGTAATATGTATAAGTATTTAGAGGCCACCTTTAAACTTTTGTGGTCGTCTCCAGACCACAAAAATAAATTTTTAGATTATACGTACTAATGTACAATAGTTTATTATTTTATTTCAGTTTACCTTAATTATTGGTTATAGCTGGAGGGGTCGGACGCAGCTCAGGACGACCCTATTCACCTCAAGAGACGGGTGGGACTCTTCAGTGGGGTGGCTCTAATTGTTGGCACTATGATTGGTAAGATTTAAAAAATATATACAAATTGCTAAATAAGCGATGAAGATAATAACTGTATCGCGCATCACCTATACTTAATTAATACTTTCTCGACTATCAAATAATTAGACAACAACTTTTCCTTATAAAATAAGTTGGATTAGATTGCAATGATTGTAACTTATCTCGTGATGAATCAGGTATAGTGTTGATACTATGTAGAGAGGTACAGAATACTGTCTGAATATAATTGCTTAAATTATGTTATTACGTCTTATATATGGAACCACAAATATTCTATTTGCGTCATAAGTTCTACGACACAATCTAAACATACTGATCCAATGTAATGAGAATGTACTTTTTGAATATACGTAATAAATATGGTACGTTTGTACATGTATACGTAATTTGCAGTTTATCAGTCCATGGCCCAAGCCATGCATAAGCATGATTAAGTATTCTAAGATTGAAACACCCATATATTTAAAAGAAAATTCCCTTTTTCATATTAATAGGATGACAAGTACTGCATTGTACTAATGTACGAACACTGTTTGGAGGTTAAACTTAAAAATATGCTGTTCCATTATTATATAGTTAAAAATGATAATGCGGTCTGATGGACCAGCTAAATATAGAGTAAAATTGTTGATACACACAATTTGGAAATAATTCTCCTTTTTGAGATGTAAATATATATGTACAATAAGGATGAATTACCGTAAATTTTACCATTTAGTGGACGATAAAATAGCAGCAATATCTAATTTATATGTAAATATAAAACCTAAGAAATGTAGAGTACAAACTATTAGGTATTTTGTGCTAGGTTTAATTTGATCTAAAATTTACCATGCACATATAAAATACGGGCAATGGTAAATTGGTATGCGCCTAAATATTTTTTTTTAATAATAACGTCTATAATATAAAGAATGAGTAACTTTCAGAAGTAGCTTCTAATAAATTTCATGCAAAATTACGTCTTCAGCGACCACCAAATATCCCAAACTTATGTTTCGATGTTCATTTTATTTATGTAAAGCTTGGCGTTGACGGGGCATCCATAAGGAAGTCTTTTAGATGAATAACTATAAGATTACACCTTGAATATTTTAATTCAGATAATTTTTAACACACTTCAAATAGGTCGACTATTGGATAAAAATTGCTTCTGTATAAAAAAAAATGTATATTCAGACGTTGTAAAAACAGTATGTATATATTTTTTCACGTTTGTATGTTGGTTTGTACCTAATTGTATAAAATTCCGAATATGTTTTCCGAATTTTCTACACTAATATATTTTTTTTACAACGATTAGAATAATAAATACCTAATTTGAACCAACAGGTTTTAATCTGTCATTTATTTTAATTTTTAACACACTTATTGCATTTATTATATTTTCAGGCTCGGGAATTTTCGTCTCGCCCTCTGGGCTTTTGGAGCGTACAGGTTCAGTGGGAATAAGCTTCATCATATGGATGGCGTGCGGTCTGCTCTCACTGCTTGGTAATAACTGCATCTTACCGTAAACTACTCTATTAGTTACTCTACTTCCTTCTTCAGTCTGTGTTTCGATCGTATAGGATATTTTTTTGTTAATATACATGAAATTTGTGAATAATTTTTAAAATTATACTTTATATGTCACTATATATTATATGTGTTTACAAAGTCGCCTTCGTGGGTACCTCTCTGTCTCATCATTCAGTCACCAAAAAGCTTGATTTGTAGGCTGTGTATCGACTGAAGTGTGAGCTGATAGAATACTGAAATTGTGAGGTTCGGAAGCATGAAGGGTATCAAGGGCGTCACATGATAAAGTTATGTCTGTAGTTTCGTTAGGTCTTATATTACTTTTGTCATAACTGCTATTGTGTTTTCCTTTTCGGGAATTTTATCTAGCTTAATATTTTAGATTAAAATTAACGACCCTAGTAGTTTGGTGATTTAATACACTGCTTTACTTCCGTGGCCGCGCATAATAGTTAATAGAAATATGTATTTACGAAACTTGTATTTACGTGTTCCTATTAACATATATTATGAGTACTTGTCAGTACTCATAATATATGTTATTTTGCGTTCGGTCCTGGTTGATCGGCTCTGTGTAAATTTTCCATGGTTAATATTTTTTTTTTATTTTATTGTTTTATTTTATAGGAGCGCTGGCGTATGCGGAGTTGGGGACAATGAACACGTCCTCGGGCGCCGAGTACGCCTACTTTATGGATGCATTCGGAGGACCTCCCGCATTTCTGTTTTCATGGGTATACCACTGCTTGCAATTTTTTTTATGTAGTTATAATAACAAACAAACTGACAGGCACACGATTGTAAGTGGTGACAGTCTTCTATTTATTTGAACAGGACTATGACACCCGCAATACTACTCATGTGTTGCCATTTTAAAGGACTAAAATGTCCTGCCCTGTATTCTATAATTTAATTGCCTTAACTGAAACACAGCTCACAAAGCAAGCTTCTTGGTGGGCGTAATAGGTAAAAAACCAGACGACTTCGTAATAATCGAAATGAGTTGTTGTTCTGATCTGTTCAGAATAGAACAGTAGTATTATATCTTTAAGTAATAGAGACATTTTTGAACATACTTACATGATTCGATTCGGAAGTGATTTATGAAGAAAAAAGAATAAATCCGCTTAAGTAGTTTATACCTAGAAACAATTGATAAACCAAGATCCTTAATCTGATTGAACAAAGTCCACTTGAGAGTGAGGTTAATCTCTATTATCAATGCTCACTCTACGAGTATTGATTGGTTTGTTGACTTTCTTGATGCAATATTTATTATTAGTTACATAGAATACATACCCATGCACTAAGATTACATTTTAATATAGTTAATATAGAAATTCTACTGGTTATTTGTTTATTTAATATACACATGTACATTACAACTACATTTTTGTATACAATTAGATAAAAAAACTTTGCGTCAATTTATATTTCTTACTGATTCTCCGGTGGTAAATATCGTCAATAAACTAATAACTTAAAAAAGAAGGGCTGAGGTAGGTTTGCATCTACGTTAGACTTAATATAGTCTGCGAAATGTGCGAATATCAAGTGCGTTTAGCGATGACGACAGCCATGGCTGAAATACCTCTGATTATGGTATTCATACATATTTTAATTATTTTAGGTATCGACATTGGTGCTGAAACCATCCCAAATGGCTATAATTTGTCTAAGCTTCGCTAAGTATGCAGTGGAACCATTTGTTTCGGAGTGCGAACCACCACACAGCTTAGTGAAGCTCGTAGCATTAATTGCAATTGGTAAGTTTATAGAAAGTTTAATGGAATATCTATTGAAATTATTAACTATACATAGCAATTTATAAAGAATTAATTCTACCATAGACAATATATGTAATAATTGTACTAAAAGGGTAGATAGATACTTTATTAAGCAAGTAGACGATATAGAAAAATGAGGCACATGTATCTAATGAGATTTCTGTAAAAAATATTCTAAGTAATTTGTTGAAATTTTAAATTGTTAAGATTCATTCTTTCATTCATAAATATACAAAAAAAATACTTTTTCCTATCGCTGCCCTTCAATCGCTTTCTGATAGCTAGCTGGCAATGAAAACCATAGCCATTAATCTCTTAATTTTCAGAATTTACAAATTCTAGACCCGAATTTGTAAGTTCTGAAAATTAAGAGAGTTGTATTCTAAAACGGAATTCTTTATGTTTCTTCTTCTTTATTTATGTAAAATCTGTACTTGTTTTTTTTTTCAGTAATGATTTTAGCAGTTAACTGCTACAGCGTGAACTTGGCAACCAACGTTCAGAACATTTTTACGGCAGCCAAATTAGTTGCGATTGCAATCATCGTTTGCGGCGGAGCTTACAAACTGATATTAGGTAATAATAGAAACAGGATCGGATTTATTTTACTTAATGTCCAATAATTCTTACACTAAATTAACACGTCATATATCATTAGCATGATAAACTCCCACCGCCATATTAGTGTCCTAAATCGTCCACTATCTAATCTGTAATCACAATCATAATGGGATGTATATATTTTTGAAAGACTGACGGGTGGTGTGTCCGTATGGTGCAGGTAATACGCGACATTTACAGGAGCCCAACTTCGCCAGTAGCACGGCGACTCTGGGCAACATAGCCACCGCATTCTACACTGGCCTATGGGCCTACGACGGTTGGAACAATCTCAACTATGTGACTGAGGAAATAAAAAATCCATCCAAGTAAGTAATGACTTCCAGCTAATACCAAGAAACAAGGAAATTAACAGCAATACTAACACATATATATATATATATATATACATATATATATATATATATAAATAACATAGCTAAAAAGTTGAATAATACTCGTAGTTATTAATATATTACAGGATAAGTTTGCATATTATATGTATTACTGTTTTATATCAATTTGTAATTTGGAAAGTAAATTTATATACGATACAATCTATAATATCCCAATTACCTTGTATATCGATACCATATTGTACAGATCACCCATAGTAGTCCATATCTAAGTATCTTATCTGTGTTTTATTACATTAATCCTGTAGCATAACCGGTTACTAACATAATATGTAATAATATAGAACGGAAGATTATATTTCTTTTTATATTTATAGATTATAGGTAAATAACTATTAGGCGTAGGAAAAAAATGCAATTGGGAGTGAACAGTAATCAATTCAAGAAATAGTCGGTCATGGGGATATATTAAAAATGTAGGTACATGTAGTAAAGCATTTTGCGTTACACTAGCATAATCAAACACACTCACAATACTATTGCTTTTATTTTCACGTAGTTACATTTAACAATTTTTTTTTTGTATACATACAATATTAATACGTACCCTAATTAGGTCCTTTATATAAAATTGGCCACAAGGCTCTACTACGTATGTAGTAGTAGTATATTTTATATATTAGGTGCTACCTACCTAAAATATACCCGAAAGTTTTCTATATATTTAGCATAAAATTAGTGCATTTTCTCTCAAAATTCAGTAAAAAATTCCACCCTCTACGTTGTGCTATTAAATTTATTTCTAAGAACTATTTAGACAATGAAATAATCTTTCACCAAATAATTACAGTAACAAAATTAAACATTATATTCAAAGAACATTTTAATATCTATCGAGTCGCCTTCATGTACCCGTTATGACTAATTTTTTTCCTAATGATAAACAAAGTGACCTGGTACAATATCTGATATAAAGTAACATATGTTAACCCTAACTGTAATTTGTAGGTACGACACATATAACGTCTGTCGTACCTTGTCAATTACAGCATATCAATCATATACAAAAATTGTGATCATCTCTTCAGACAAGACTTCTACGAATATGTAACTTTTATCAGAAATTATCTTGCTATATTGTACCTACCTAATGTATATGATTCGTTCTAGGAATCTTCCATTGAGTATAGTAATCGGCATTCCGCTGGTGACACTTTGTTATGCTCTGGTGAACGTGTCATACTTGGCTGTGATGTCAGTCAGCGAGATGGCAGACAGCGAGGCCGTAGCTGTTACTTTTGGAAATCGCTTGTTGGGTCCTATGGCATGGCTTATGCCACTGGCTGTTACAATATCCACGTTTGGTTCCGCTAACGGCACCCTGTTTGTCGCAGGAAGGTAAATTAATTTTTCAATACAAGAACCCGCTTATTACTTTGGATGACGGAAATTCTTTAAGATATTACCAATTCGCAAAGAAACATTGTTTTCGTGTTCACGATAATGTGTGGAATAATTTTTATATTACGTTGTAAATATAGTACTAATCTACAGAACAGATCATTGGTGAGACCACGGCTTTAGTATCTACGTATAAAAAAAATCATTTACTGCACTGTTTTTAAATATAGTAGTGATTAAACAATACTATCACATGAGAAAATAAATATACAATACATATGTATAATATACCATTGAATGGAAATCAGAATATATAAATGTGTGTTGTGTATATTCCTTCATGTCAAATCATTTATTTATTGGCTTTGAAGAGCCAAACCCTACAAACCGATATACAGCAAGAACTTAATCGAATACTGAACCATAACTGAAATACCGCTTCACAGTTTACTGTTTATGTTAGATGGCGATATAGACGTATGCCTAGTTCAATCAATCATAACTGTTATTTTAGTACTTGATTAAAAGCAACAAGTGTGATGATGGGTCACGAGTGCAACTTAAGCGAATATTATATTAGCTTGTTTTAGATGTTGAATGTACACTGTTGACTGATGATGTAACTTGGCGTAATTAGTATCCTCTTCAATTCTATAGCAGAACATAGCTATGTCTGTGTGTACCTAAGTAATTTACATACGTGTATAATTAACAATATATACTTAGTTCTCAAACTAGAAATCCTTATGTTAATATTTTCTGTTGGCATAACCCAAAACACACAGATGGATGTAACTCAGTGGTTCTCAAGGTTTTTTTAAAGGGTCTATTGTAATTTATACTACATAGTGATGACCCTCGTATTATATCGTAATATCGATCACTTGACTTCCTTGTAGATTGGATTTATTGAACTATATGGAATAAAATAATAGCTTGAAATTTTAAACATTTTGCGGACCATTAATGGTCCCTATGCTAGTGGTTGGGGACCACTGATCTAACATATGGGTCTTCGTGTGCGGTCGGCACATTTTTACAATAATATTGTGATACAAATTTTCTCAGGTTGTGCTTTGCAGCTTCACGAGAAGGCCATTTGTTAGATATTCTGTCGTATGTTCATGTGCGTCGTTTTACACCTGCTCCTGGACTGATATTCCATGTAAGTAATCCATTAGTATACTTATTAGCTATGTTTTAACGAAGCTGATTAGGAATTTGTTATTTAACTATCATAACCACAGAAGTGAGAAGATTTTACTATCTCCTATTGAAATACGAAAAAGTCAGTTCAATTTTATGTATACTAACTAACTACCTAAATGAAAATAATTTATGAGCCATTGGCTTTTATAGACTTGGTTGCATAATTATAGATTCTATATCAGCTTGCTTAGTAAGCTGTGTTTCAGTTTAGTGAGAGATTAGAAATTATAGAATAAGGGGTATGACATTGAGTCCTCTGGAATAACAACACATGGTAACCCATAGTAACACATGGTAACACCGGTGTTGCATGATAACATTATATTGTGTTCTTCATGTATAAATGACGGTTACGACTTCGCACCAGGTGGGCCGTAGCTTGTGTGCTATTTCATTTGCATAAAATACCACTTCTTTGGTAGTAGTGGTGGTAATATTAATATAAATATATAAACAATTGTTTAACTACAATTGTTATTATTATATAATTTCAGTCCCTGATAGCAGTGGCGATGGTACTTTATGGAACAATAGATTCCTTAATCGACTTCTTTTCATTCACCGCTTGGATATTCTATGGTGGTGCGATGCTGGCTCTGATTGTTATGAGATATACTAAACCACATGCACCTAGACCGTATAAGGTATACGTTTGTTATATTTAAAAAATAAATACTGTTCTAATAGAACTTAATTACGTATATGAAAAGAAATTAGGTTCCCAATATCGTTTACACATTATAAAAGAAAACTTTATTTTTTTTAATGTGTGAATGAATGACTGAAATAATGTTTTTCTGAGCTGAAATAAAGGCCAAACTGGGTCAGTGATAAAAAAATTTGGTTGGTTTTTACCGCATTATCTTGTGCAATATTATATGTTTAGTATTTTATATTACAATATTGCTTTTTATTTATGTTCACAGGTGCCAATAATTATCCCATATGTCGTTTTACTGGTATCGGCGTATTTGGTGGTAGCTCCTATAGTGGACAAACCTCAGTGGGAATATCTGTATGCCGCCGCGTTTATATTAGCTGGATTATTGGTCTACTTGCCTTTTGTAAAATGGGGATTTACATTGCCGTTTATGGGTAAGAAATAAAAGAATTGTTTGTACATGACAATAATAATACTGACTAAATAAGAGAGCAATCTACGTGCCTGCAGAAAAACCCCGACAGGAGTTTTGCAGGACAGAAAATGTAAACTTTGTATAATTGGAAAAATAAAGATTCTTAAAACAAAACAAAAATATTTAGAACATTTAACCATTGTATTCTATTCTATTTTTGTATTTCCATCTGGGCATTTTTTTTTGTTAAAGAATTGTTATGATCTTAATTCCGCTCAGTACCTACCTACCTATTGTCGATTGCGAAAAATAAATAGAACTACTGACCTACTATATAGGTAACTTAAAATACATTGTATCATGGACAGAGAAGGAAAAAATTGTGACTGCAGGACTTAATAATATATTAAGTACCAGTGGTTCAATTCGACCACATAGGTATATTTTAATTCTGTATGTTGTTAACGTTTTCTGTTTTCATTACAGATAAAATTACAGTCTTTCTTCAAATGGTGCTGGAAGTGGTACCTACTTCAACAACGTTCGAATACTGATGTGATGAGTCTGCGCTGGACTATAAAATAGCATTTGTGACAAAATAATATTTAAAATTTCCGGTATCCTTTGTTAGACTTTTCACTGTTATTGTTGTTACATTTTTTATAACTTTCGCCACCACATTTTTTTTTTTATTTACATGAATAGAACATGTAAGTGGCGTTGAAAAATACAAATACATATAATGTTATTATTTTTGACTGAATTTTGTTCCTTGTTCTACAATTCAAATACATTGTTTTGCGTAAGCGCTATTGGAGACAATTTGTTATTCGAATATGTAAATGATTTATTAATAGATGGCATTATCGTAACTAAAATCTGATATTAAGATATATATCACAGACCTACAAAATTAAGTAAGGTGCATTTGGGTAATTAGGATATGCTTATCTAAGATTACAAGAGTCTTTAATTTGTCGCATTCACAACTGATGAAATTATCTTTGATGCATAAGGGCATATTGTCATTGGCCGTTATAGAAAGTAATTGGATACGGGACACTCTATGTTAACTAAAGGAAATATAAAAGAATTATGAAAATAGTGGTGTCATATGGCATTGTTGACTATTCATATGCAGATGAAGATCAAGATGCGTAATCATAATAAGTCGTTGTTTTATCTTGCTATGTATACCTTGGTGGAATTATCAACCAATGAAAATACGCCCTAAATATTTTCCTATATTTTAATGTAGACCACTGTTCTTCAAGTAGGTACTATTCAGCATTACGTTGTAGCTCCTACTTACAGTCAGTTTAAGTATAATCTGTTACATAACTGCACTAATAACAAAAAATTATCAGATAAACAATCTATTTCCGAGTTATCGTACATAATGTTGGTGTAAATCTGTAAACTGAAAGTGAGTTCTAGGAATTTGACTTCATATATATTTACTTAAGCATTGCAGATGTGGCCTGGCATATATGTATAAGACATTTATAATTTAATATTTAAATATGGCAATTCCCATGTTGAACCTAATGCACCTTACGAAATGTTTAATAAGTAGACGAAAAGAAATGATCTGGTTTTAAGTAAAATGTCTCGATTGTGGTATTTACAATATTTGTAACTATATTTTAAAGCCGTGTGGCAATATTTTTGTGAAAATTAGATAGTGACGTCATACTTCATTTCATTAGTTTGCACGAATCATTCCTAAGGGGATCATGCAGAGAGATAGATTTCAACTTTCAAGTTTCACCATGTGTTCTAACAATTATAAAAATAATGTTACCAATTCACAAATTGTGGTTAATTGCTGAAAACAAAACATGGCGAGATGTTGCATTGTAACTTTTAGAATGTCTCAAATAAGCTTGAACCCTGTTCGCATCACTATGAGTGATTGTGCTAAACTCATAGTTCGTAGTTCATCGCCCATCAATAGTCAACCTTAGTGAAAGTTTAGCTGTAATGTATATTAATTACAGAATAAAAGTTTTCTTTTTTTACTCATATTTTGGGGGCTTACACACATTCTATATCACATAATTTATATTTATTAACCTTAGATTTCTTATGATATTAAATAAAGTGTGTAACTTTAAAACATTTTTGGTGTAAAGTAAACTGTCTATATATTTACGCGTCAAATATTATAAACAACAATTTTGTTTAAACCTATGTGACCTATGTAGGTACTTCATAAATTTTAGATAATTTGTTGCAAAAAATCAACGATCAAGCAAATATGTAGTAAAAACAAAAATGAATTTAGAATTCTAATGGTAGCAAAATGAAATGGTATAGTTTGACAATTTTATCTATAATATATAGTTTACGTAGAGATAATTTAATTAATGAATCAGAATTACAAATTTTCATTTGTACCCCAGTTACAAATTACAGTTAGAATCTGTACCACTACACACAAAAATGTACGCAACTGTGCTGACTTCACTGTTTATAAATTGTCGTTACCAAAAGATCTTTATTATTATTAAAATGATTATAATAAACAAAGAAATCTAGGGTTAAAGAAACTAGACTAACAACGCGGCCCCAAATTAAAGACTAAAGTGTGTGTTTCTAACAAATCTTATTAGCGGAGTTTTGCGACCGGTAAAATTTGGTCCTATCATTCCTTACCGGGGCATAACGATGTCGTATTATTTAAATTACGTTTTATTGAATATATTTTTGTATTTATTAATAATAAATAATGGTAACTCAGAGATTTTTATGGAATTAAAATTTTAGATGGATTAGAAAACCGTTATTGCAAAGAAAATGCTTGAAATATCAATATTTTGCCAAATGATTGTAATACATTATTACGTGTAGGTAGTTTGGACGTCTATAATATAGGTGTATGCAAATTGTACCTACTATGTAGACACATGAGGGCACACAATAAGTACATACCTAACGATGTGATATTGTTATGGGTAATTTATCTAATGGTTTTATTTTGAAAAATAAATAATATCATAAATACATACTTACATAAAATATATCTATGTAGATATGTACACATACTTATCTCTGAAAGAGAGCAGAATTATTTATTGTTATACACTACCATTGAGCTAAGTGAAATTTTAATAAAGACAAAATTACAACATAAACGTTTACTTTGTTTTTCCCATTTCGATATCCTACATTCAACAATAACGCGAATACTGTTCGTATTGACCAATGAAAAATGTTCCTGGATAGCGGGTTCTTTGTTTTCCTTAGAAGTCTATCTCAGCACAAGTGTTTTCCTTAAACTATAATAAAAAATAAGCACTTGTTATTTATTCGATCCATATTTATTACTTTTGATTTGTTATACTTTGTTGAAGTCTGTAATATTTGGTTGAAGATTCAACTTGAAAGATTTATATACAACATTATTATTGGAGTACTCTTAGTAGCGTGCTTCTGTTAGTCATATTTGACTATTGTAGTTTGTAAGCAAGTTAATAAAATATCTCCAACAGGCTGCCGATAACCTATGGACTATAAGAAACCGCGCTTAAATAATTTTTCTCAATGGGTATTAGAATAGTGCTCTTGCCGGCGCTAACGGTATATCTATGCTGGCAGATAATTCACCAGTAAGAGTTGAAGGGAAGTCTGATTAGCGGGGTTTTTTTAAGAAGCTATAAAAAGCGCACTTTAATGGTATACGCCGGCAGAGCACCAGTGAAAGAAGATAGGATGAGTATGAAGTCAGCTCAGTTAGCCCACGTGCTGTGCTTGTGTGCCTATCATGGTAAATTGTTCCTGTTACTAACAAGACCATTCTCCCTGATGAGCGGGTATACATAGACTTGTTCAGCCTCTATCAGCTGCAACTGGTAAAAGAACGGTAGTAATACAGTGAAAAGGCGGGATATGCTAAATATAGTCGACATTGATAGGTTTATACCTTACTTTTAATAAAAAATATAGCCTATGTTATTCTGATACATAAGCTATATTACTGTAAAGTTTCATCAAAATCTGTTCAGAAGTTTTTGCATGAAAGAGTAACAAACATCCATATTTACAAACTTTCGCATTTATAATTTTATTAGGATTTACAGTATTTAAATAGTTACACTATAGTAGCATGCACTTCTAAATACAAATAAAAAAGACAATATGTTCAACAATTTATTGTTGTTAATATACAAAGATCACAGATCTTTGAAAGTTTCAATACCATTTAAAGTATTTTGGGATGCCATATGTATTAAAATAAGTAGTATACCGACTAACAGCTTATAAAATGTATGTAAGCTGCAAAATTTGCAAAACGTTAGCAGGCATTACAATAGTGTCTGAATTACGGACGGCACTTGTAATTTGCCTAGTGCAATCAAATTGTCAAATTGGTGGCATCATTTTACAGCGGTCTGTTTAGATAATTATAAAAAAATAAGTTTTTTAATATTTAAAATTTTAATATTGCATTATAATAATTTATAAACGTCATTATTTAAGTATAATTGTATTTTAACATCTATAAATAAAATATATGTTATATAATTATTATTCGAGTTATGTGATATACAGTTAAGGTAATGTTCGTAAAACAATGTGTACAAGAGATTTTATAGTAAGTAATGATCTTAATTGTAATAGGGACTAAAGATTAGAGAGTACAAAATGTATTAGGAGTACATATTTTTGTAATGTCCAACATTTTATACCATTAGACATACATACAAATTATGTGATTGAATGAGATTTTATATTTTTCGACCAAAATACTTCATAAATGGCATGAATTGACTCAGGTCCGTTTTACTTTAAAGGCGTTGTTCACAAATAATAATCTTTTATAATGTGATAGAAATTTAAATAACTACAACATATTTAAAATCTAAGATGTGGTTTATTCTTCCTCATATGCCTGCAACAAAAAAACGTAATTTTAATTTGTATAAATTTATATTATTAATATAAGTACTAAATAATAATTTAAAAAATCTATTCATTATATTATAATATATGTTATTTTAACAGATTTTTTATTCTAAGTTTTAATAGTATCAAACTAGTAAACATTGTACATACAACAATGTAGAGAATTAACTTAAATTACCACCAGTACATTTAAAAAACTGCTTACACATGGTGCTTTGAAATATAGTTGTTTTAGTTAAAATAATGATTATCTATATACTAATGACATAATTTGTAGAATGGCAAATAAAAATTAAAAAGTTTTCATTACAATACTTACTTGTCAAGTGTCTCCCAAAATCCAAGTAAAACGGCGCGATCAAGATGCCGCTTTGTACGACTCAAATTGAGTACGGTGACTGCCCAGCGAGACACGTTCGCGTCCAATTTCATCTCATCGAATTTCAGGTGAAACGCACAAACTGAAATTTTACGTAGATAATTTTTTTAATAATCAAATTATTAAACAAGCACATATTCAAACAGTTATTTATTCTAATGCTATATAAGCATATCTGTCACATTAAAACTACATTTTTACTTTTTAGAGTTTGCAATTGTTGCAATGATATCAAGTATGAGGTAATGATACTCACTATTTGCGAAAATTTGAACGGGATTACCATCCCATGGCCAGCCTTTGAACTGCCAAGCAGGTCCTTGAACAAATACAGCTACAACTCTATCCCATTCAGCTGCTGAAAGTCTAGCTGGATTGTCAACAACACGGTATGGCACCTATAAACAAAGAAAAAGATTACACATAGAGACAGATAAGAAAGAAAAGAAATAAGCTGGATATTGTTATCATATATGTATATGATAACAATATCCAGCTTATTTCTTTTTATAACTACATATATGTATATGTAGTTATAATTTAGTAGTGCAATCATTTTTTTAATAGATTCCTTTGTTCACTTGTACAAAGAAAATATAATTTCTCACAGTTTCGCAATCGACGGTTTATTTTTTAATTCCAGTCGTAATTTAAAAAATTTTAGTGCACACTTATATATGAAGCACCTCTGCTGAAAATGTCGTTTCTAGTGGCAATATTTATGGTTGTGTGTTATTGACTTATAAATTTATGACGAAAATAGGTACAAACCGTAATAGTCGTTGCATTATTAGGCAACTGTTCTCCAGATGGACCTTTCCTCCTTTGCAGTAGAACTTCATTTTCGCGTACTGCACCTTCTGACTTCTTTTGTTCAACTGGTACAAATCTAAAATAAGAATATTAGTGTAAACGTACATTTTACAAAAGAAATGAATGCAAAGTGATTAAACAAATATATTGTCTATTTCTTAGCATGTTCCACTAAATAATAATTGGAAGAGTAATGGAACAAAGACGAATTTATCTTTTTTTTTTTGAGGAAAATGTAGTATGATTGTAGATAATTATGCTCACTTGGTCTTTTCAAAGAATTAAAAATTATTCAAATTTGAATACAACTTTGGAATAATCCGAAAATAAAATGTAACATGCATTACAACGAAATATTATTATTGACAATAATACTTACTTAAAGTCTTGGAGCATTTCCTTCACATTGTACATAGATATGAGAGAGGTAGTAGCAGCCGGTATTATAATGATGGGTGTGCGCGAAGGCCTCTTACCACCTGGTGGTGGCCTTGCTGCCGCCACAGGTAACAATTCTCTTCTACCAGGGGTACTATTAGGTAATGGTCCATTTTCTAAAATGAACAAGTATACTTATTATACCAAGGTGCAATTTCTTTGATGAAAATTATTATTAGTAACATCTACAATTAAAATATAATTTCAAACACGCATACACCCTGTATGAGAGTTTGAAATTATATTATTAATAAAAAACACTAACATAGGACACTTATCACACTTACAAGCTGATCCTTAAAAAGTTATGTAAAATATAGAATGAATAAAGTTATTATAGTATTATTACTATTTATATTAATGTTTTATTATGCTTTATTTTTATTATATAGTAATTAATTAGTCACAGTTAGTAAAACAATACATGAATGAACATATGAATCATTGAAAACATATCCTCAAGTTTACATTTATATACATCATATAATAATGTATATATATGTAAACTTAATAATATAGGTCTGAAGATATCTCGTTTAACTTACGTGGCATTTGGCGTGGGTGACTAGGAGTTTGTGGAGCACGAGCTGCGACTGGCACACTTGGTCCCTCAGTCACTGACTTCAGTGTCATGCCATGATATGTGCCCATGGTATCGATTTTGAATCCCTCGGTTTCTGCACACAAATTTAAATAATGAAGTTACTGAATTAATATATAATATAGATTAGAAAAGTTCTTTGAAAAGTTTACACTCATTCCTGAGGAGATAAAAACCATCACTTCTAAGAATTTCCTTTAATTCTTGTCCCTGACGGGTCTATGTAGTAAACTCTGAAAAAATGTGAGCACAATAGACCTTCCATAGGTTGTAGTGCTACAGGTGCTAATACCTGTAGCACTATAACATATGGAAGGTCTATTAGTATACCTAAAAAATTCCAATTTCTCAATTAAAAAAAAACAGATTTAACTTTTGTCAATTCTTGCTTATGTAATGGATTGCATATCTTACCTTCCTTTTGTCTGATAAATCTTTCCTGATCATATCTGTTGTATTGTGTTTGTTGGGTGGGCAATATTGTAGGTGGCTGTAGAACAACTGGTTGGGGTCTAGGTACTCCTGGCCTCCCCTCTTCTCGGGCTTTAATACTGCCCAAAAGAGCTAATATGCTCTTTGCAAACATCTGCAATTTTATTATTTGAGATCATAAATGTATATTGATACTATAACTTGCCAAACAAGGACTTAAATACAAGCTGATAGTATTTCATAGTTATACATTTGGTAAAAAGGTAAAATTTCCACACCAGGTAGTAATAGAGCAAGAGCCCACGAGTGCCAGACATACGTCATTTTAATAAACGTGAAAGTTCTTGTATGTGTGTCCCCAACACAGGTAAGAACGATCCCCAAATATGAAACCTGGATCGTGGTTCCTTTGGCAGGTACCAGGTAACAAAGGTGTAAAAAAAAACATACCAAATTCGTTATTTTAAGAAACTCCATATTTTCATATATTGTTCGTAGCACTATTATAACTTGCGCTGCTCATTGCCAGACACGTAGTGTGGTTCCAACCCCCCGCCGGACCCCCCTAAACTATACTATTTTAGAAATAAACTTACGTCATTTTAATAAAGCTGAAATTTATATATATTATTGAGAGTTCTCTCAAACTGAGTTTCCTAAATTGCCAGACAGTTTTCTTGGTTCCTTATCATACCAGACTCATTGAAACCGTATATTGGGTAACAACGGTGTATACAATTTCATATCAAATTCGTTATTTTAAGATGCTCCATTTTTTCACATATTGCTCGTAACAGTATTATAACTTGCTCTGCTCATTGCTAGACACATAGTATGATTCCAACCCCCCGCCGGACACCCCTAAATTATATTATTTTACAAATAAACTTACGTTATTTTAATAAAGCTGTAATTTATATATATTATTGAGAGTTCTCTCAAACTGAGTTTCCTAAATTGCCAGACAGTTTTCTTGGTTACTTATCCTACCAGACTCATTGAAACCGTATATTGGGTAACAACGGTGTATACAATTTCATATCAAAATCGTTATTTTAAGATGCTCCATTTTTTCACATATTGCTCGTAACAGTATTATAACTTGCTCTGCTCATTGCCAGACCCTTAGTGTGGTTCCAAACCCCCGCCGGACCCCCCTAAACTATACTATTTTATAAATAAACTTACGTCATTTTAATAAAGCTGAACCTTATATATATTATTGAGAGAACTATTAAACTGAGTTTCCTAAATTGCCAGACAGTTTTCTTGGTTCCTTATCCTACCAAACTCATTGAAACCGTATATTGGGTAACAACGGTGTATACAATTTCATATCAAATTCGTTATTTTAAGATGCTCCATTTTTTCACATATTGCTCGTAACAGTATTATAACTTGCTCTGCTCGTGGCCAGACCCTTAATGTGGTTCCAACCCCCCGCCGGACCCCCCTAAACTATACTATTTTGTAAATAAACTTACGTCATTTTAATAAAGCTGAAATTTATATATATTATTGAGAGTTCTCTCAAACTGAGTTTCCTAAATTGCCAGACAGTTTTCTTGGTTCCTTATTCCACCAGAATCATTTAAACCGTATATTGGATAACAACGGTGTATACAATTTCATGTCAAATTCATTATTTTAAGATGCTCCATTTTTTCACATATTGTTCGTAGCATTATTATAACTTGCGCTGCTCATTGCCAGACACGTAGTGTGGTTCCAACCCCCCGCCGGACCCCCTAAACTATACTATTTTAGAAATAAACTTACGTCATTTTAATAAAGCTGAAATTTATATATATTATTGAGAGTTCTCTCAAACTGAGTTTCCTAAATTGCCAGACAGTTTTCTTGGTTACTTATCCTACCAGACTCATTGAAACCGTATATTGGGTAACAACGGTGTATACAATTTCATATCAAAATCGTTATTTTAAGATGCTCCATTTTTTCATATATTGCTCGTAACAGTATTATAACTTGCTCTGCTCATTGCCAGACCCTTAGTGTGGTTCCAACCCCCCGCCGGACCCCCCTAAACTATACTATTTTATAAATAAACTTACGTCATTTTAATAAAGCTGAACCTTATATATATTATTGAGAGAACTATTAAACTGAGTTTCCTAAATTGCCAGACAGTTTTCTTGGTTCCTTATCCTACCAAACTCATTGAAACCGTATATTGGGTAACAACGGTGTATACAATTTCATATCAGATTCGTTATTTTAAGATGCTCCATTTTTTCACATATTGCTCGTAACAGTATTAGAACTTGCTCTGCTCGTGGCCAGACCCTTAATGTGGTTCCAACCCCCGCCGGACCCCCTAAACTATACTATTTTGTAAATAAACTTACGTCATTTTAATAAAGCTGAAATTTATATATATTATTGAGAGTTCTCTCAAACTGAGTTTCCTAAATTGCCAGACAGTTTTCTTGGTTCCTTATTCCACCAGAATCAGTGAAACCGTATATTGGATAACAACGGTGTATACAATTTCATGTCAAATTCATTATTTTAAGATGCTCCATTTTTTCACATATTGTTCGTAGCATTATTATAACTTGCGCTGCTCATTGCCAGACACGTAGTGTGGTTCCAACCCCCCGCCGGACCCCCCTAAACTATACTATTTTAGAAATAAACTTACGTCATTTTAATAAAGCTGAAATTTATATATATTATTGAGAGTTCTCTCAAACTGAGTTTCCTAAATTGCCAGACAGTTTTCTTGGTTCCTTATCATACCAGACTCATTGAAACCGTATATTGGGTAACAACGGTGTATACAATTTCATATCAAATTCGTTATTTTAAGATGCTCCATTTTTTCACATATTGCTCGTAACAGTATTATAACTTGCTCTGCTCATTGCCAGACCCTTAGTGTGGTTCCAACCCCCCGCCGGACTCCCCTAAACTATACTATTTTATAAATAAACTTATGTTATTTTAATAAAGCTGAACTTTATATATATTATTGAGAGAACTATTAAACTGAGTTTCCTAAATTGCCAGACAGTTTTCTTGGTTCCTTATCCTACCAAACTCATTGAAACCGTATATTGGGTAACAACGGTGTATACAATTTCATATCAAATTCGTTATTTTAAGATGCTCCATTTTTTCACATATTGCTCGTAACAGTATTATAACTTGCTCTGCTCATTGCCAGACCCTTAGTGTGGTTCCAACCCCCGCCGGACCCCCTAAACTATACTATTTTATAAATAAACTTACGTCATTTTAATAAAGCTGAACCTTATATATATTATTGAGAGAACTATTAAACTGAGTTTCCTAAATTGCCAGACAGTTTTCTTGGTTCCTTATCCTACCAAACTCATTGAAACCGTATATTGGGTAACAACGGTGTATACAATTTCATATCAAATTCGTTATTTTAAGATGCTCCATTTTTTCACATATTGCTCGTAACAGTATTATAACTTGCTCTGCTCGTTGCCAGACCCTTAGTGTGTTTCCAACCCCCGCCGGACCCCCCAAACTATACTATTTTATAAATAAATTTACGTTATTTTAATAAAGCTGAACTTTATATATGTTATTGAGAGAACTATTAAACTGAGTTTCCTAAATTGCCAGACAGTTTTCTTGGTTCGACAACGATCAGAGCAAGTTATAATACTGTTACGAGCAATATGTGAAAAAATGGAGCATCTTAAAATAACGAATTCGGTATGAAATTGTTTACACCGTTGTTACCCAATATACGGTTTCAATGAGTCTGGTAGGATAAGGAACCAAGAAAACTGTCTGGCAATTTAGGAAACTCAGTTTGAGAGAACTCTCAATAATATATATAAATTTCAGCTTTATTAAAATGACGTAAGTTTATTTACAAAATAGTATAGTTTAGGGGGGTCCGGCGGGGGGTTGGAACCACATTAAGGGTCTGGCCACGAGCAGAGCAAGTTATAATACTGTTACGAGCAATATGTGAAAAAATGGAGCATCTTAAAATAACGAATTTGATATGAAATTGTATACACCGTTGTTACCCAATATACGGTTTCAATGAGTTTGGTAGGATAAGGAACCAAGAAAACTGTCTGGCAATTTAGGAAACTCAGTTTAATAGTTCTCTCAATAATCTATATAAAGTTCAGCTTTATTAAAATGACGTAAGTTTATTTATAAAATAGTATAGTTTAGGGGGGTCCGGCGGGGGGTTGGAACCACACTAAGGGTCTGGCAATGAGCAGAGCAAGTTATAATACTGTTACGAGCAATATATGAAAAAATGGAGCATCTTAAAATAACGAATTTGATATGAAATTGTATACACCGTTGTTACCCAATATACGGTTTCAATGAGTCTGGTAGGATAAGTAACCAAGAAAACTGTCTGGCAATTTAGGAAACTCAGTTTGAGAGAACTCTCAATAATATATATAAATTTCAGCTTTATTAAAATGACGTAAGTTTATTTCTAAAATAGTATAGTTTAGGGGGGTCCGGCGGGGGGTTGGAACCACACTACGTGTCTGGCAATGAGCAGCGCAAGTAATAATAATGCTACGAACAATATGTGAAAAAATGGAGCATCTTAAAATAATGAATTTGACATGAAATTGTATACACCGTTGTTATCCAATATACGATTTCAATGATTCTGGTGGAATAAGGAACCAAGAAAACTGTCTGGCAATTTAGGAAACTCAGTTTGAGAGAACTCTCAATAATATATATAAATTTCAGCTTTATTAAAATGACGTAAGTTTATTTATAAAATAGTATAGTTTCGGGGGGTCCGGCGGGGGGTTGGAACCACACTAAGGGTCTGGCAATGAGCAGAGCAAGTTATAATACTGTTACGAGCAATATGTGAAAAAATGGAGCATCTTAAAATAACGAATTTGATATGAAATTGTATACACCGTTGTTACCCAATATACGGTTTCAATGAGTTTGGTAGGATAAGGAACCAAGAAAACTGTCTGGCAATTTAGGAAACTCAGTTTAATAGTTCTCTCAATAATATATATAAGGTTCAGCTTTATTAAAATGACGTAAGTTTATTTATAAAATAGTATAGTTTAGGGGGGTCCGGCGGGGGGTTGGAACCACACTAAGGGTCTGGCAATGAGCAGAGCAAGTTATAATACTGTTACGAGCAATATGTGAAAAAATGGAGCATCTTAAAATAACGAATTTGATATGAAATTGTATACACCGTTGTTACCCAATATACGGTTTCAATGAGTCTGGTATGATAAGGAACCAAGAAAACTGTCTGGCAATTTAGGATACTCAGTTTGAGAGAACTCTCAATAATATACATAAATTACAGCTTTATTAAAATGACGTAAGTTTATTTCTAAAATAGTATAGTTTAGGGGGGTCCGGCGGGGGGTTGGAACCACACTACGTGTCTGGCAATGAGCAGCGCAAGTTATAATAATGCTACGAACAATATGTAAAAAAATGGAGCATCTTAAAATGACGAATTTGACATGAAATTGTATACACCGTTGTTACCCAATATACGGTTTCAATGAGTCTGGTATGATAAGGAACCAAGAAAACTGTCTGGCAATTTAGGATACTCAGTTTGAGAGAACTCTCAATAATATATATAAATTTCAGCTTTATTAAAATGACGTAAGTTTATTTATAAAATAGTATAGTTTAGGGGGGTCCGGCGGGGGGCTGGAACCACACTACGTGTCTGGCAATGAGCAGCGCAAGTTATAATAATGCTACGAACAATATGTGAAAAAATGGAGCATCTTAAAATAATGAATTTGACATGAAATTGTATACACCGTTGTTATCCAATATACGGTTTCAATGAGTCTGGTATTATAAGGAACCAAGAAAACTGTCTGGCAATTTAGGAAACTCAGTTTGAGAGAACTCTCAATAATATATATAAATTTCAGCTTTATTAAAATGACGTAAGTTTATTTATAAAATAGTATAGTTTAGGGGGGTCCGGCGGAGGGTTGGAACCACACTAAGGGTCTGGCAATGAGCAGAGCAAGTTATAATACTGTTACGAGCAATATGTGAAAAAATGGAGCATCTTAAAATAACGAATTTGATATGAAATTGTATACACCGTTGTTACCCAATATACGGTTTCAATGAGTCTGGTATGATAAGGAACCAAGAAAACTGTCTGGCAATTTAGGATACTCAGTTTGAGAGAACTCTCAATAATATCTATAAATTTCAGCTTTATTAAAATGACGTAAGTTTATTTCTAAAATAGTATAGTTTAGGGGGGTCCGGCGGGGGGTTGGAACCACACTACGTGTCTGGCAATGAGCAGCGCAAGTTATAATAATGCTACGAACAATATGTGAAAAAATGGAGCATCTTAAAATAATGAATTTGACATGAAATTGTATACACCGTTGTTACCCAATATACGGTTTCAATGAGTCTGGTATGATAAGGAACCAAGAAAACTGTCTGGCAATTTAGGATACTCAGTTTGAGAGAACTCTCAATAATATATATAAATTTCAGCTTTATTAAAATGACGTAAGTTTATTTCTAAAATAGTATAGTTTAGGGGGGTCCGGCGGGGGGTTGGAACCACACTACGTGTCTGGCAATGAGCAGCGCAAGTTATAATAATGCTACGAACAATATGTAAAAAAATGGAGCATCTTAAAATAATGAATTTGACATGAAATTGTATACACCGTTGTTATCCAATATACGGTTTCAATGAGTCTGGTATTATAAGGAACCAAGAAAACTGTCTGGCAATTTAGGAAACTCAGTTTGAGAGAACTCTCAATAATATATATAAATTTCAGCTTTATTAAAATGACGTAAGTTTATTTACAAAATAGTATAGTTTAGGGGGTCCGGCGGGGGTTGGAACCACACTAAGGGTCTGGCAATGAGCAGGGTAAGTTATAATACTGTTACGAGCAATATGTGAAAAAATGGAGCATCTTAAAATAACGAATTTGATATGAAATTGTATACACCGTTGTTACCCAATATACGGTTTCAATGAGTCTGGTATTATAAGGAACCAAGAAAACTGTCCGGCAATTTAGGAAACTCAGTTTGAGAGAACTCTCAATAATATATATAAATTTCAGCTTTATTAAAATGACGTAAGTTTATTTATAAAATAGTATAGTTTAGGGGGGTCCGGCGGGGGGTTGGAACCACACTAAGGGTCTGGCAATGAGCAGAGCAAGTTATAATACTGTTACGAGCAATATGTGAAAAAATGGAGCATCTTAAAATAACGAATTTGATATGAAATTGTATACACCGTTGTTACCCAATATACGGTTTCAATGAGTCTGGTAGGATAAGGAACCAAGAAAACTGTCTGGCAATTTAGGAAACTCAGTTTGAGAGAACTCTCAATAATATATATAAATTTCAGCTTTATTAAAATGACGTAAGTTTATTTCTAAAATAGTATAGTTTAGGGGGTCCGGCGGGGGGGAATGGAACCACACTACGTGTCTGGCAATGAGCAGCGCAAGTTATAATAGTGCTACGAACAATATATGAAAATATGGAGTTTCTTAAAATAACGAATTTGGTATGATTTTTTTTACACCTTTGTTACCTGGTACCTGCCAAAGGAACCACGATCCAGGTTTCATATTTGGGGATCGTTCTTACCTGTGTTGGGGACACACATACAAGAACTTTCACGTTTATTAAAATGACGTATGTCTGGCAGTCGTGGGCTCTTGGGCTATAATACAGAATCAAAATAATTTTCTTATATAATAACAATAGGAATTAATAACCTTTTCAGAATAATATTAAATTTAACAAGATTCATATAAAATATGTTTACTCACTTTCCCATTACTCTGTAATACTGTAGTCCTTGTTCTCCACTGCCTTTCACGACTGATAATGTCTTTGGTAATATCCACATCATAGTCCAGAATAGCTCGTAAATCTGATCCCACAACTCCAAGTGTGTCAGAGTAATCAGTACTCTTAATAGTTGTCCTTTTCTTAGCGAAGCGTTTTGCTTTAATTGCAGCTATTTTTTCAACTGACATGGCCTCTGATAAAGACCTGCAGAAAATAAATGTAATTATATACCTATATAAAAAAATTAAGTTTTTTCTTTTATTAATTTTTTCTTTAAAATCAATATAAAACTGAAATTGATGTAGAAACAATACAAGCAAACATTATTTAGATCTAGTAAGATTTCAAGTTTCATTAATTTTTATTATTCAGAGTTCCTAGTGCTAGGATTATCAGCTTATTATATTTAGCAAAGAAACTTTAATGTATCCTTTTTAAAGATTTACTTGAATTCTGTTAATATGTCAGTAATGGCAAAATTATAATAATTCCGGTAGACTTTTGAAGTGCTTTTAAAAAATAATATTTTAATTGTATACAGACAAGCACAATACTTACTTGATATTGTCAACAGTGACAGATGCTTCTTTTGGAGCATCAAGTCGGGCCGCAAGTTGCTCTCGTACTTTTTGGACATGAGTTTCCTCAATACGAGGCTTCTTTGCCGCAGATTCACCTCCATCATGATCATGTGTTCTTTTGACCTGAGCATTAAAACTTCTATCAAATGAGCAATAAAAACCATTTAAGTACAAATTTGTTATACAGTAACACCCATCCCAAGGTGGAGCATATCCTACATGTACATGATATTCTGTATGTTTCACATATTTAAACATACCCCGCTGTTAACAGGACAAAGTTTTTTTAGTGTCCATTCAAATTCCTTTCTATTCATTATAAACACAAAAACTGTGGATTTTCATTCTTTTATAATAATTACTTAAAGGAAATAGAAAGCAACTATATAAAATATACATGGTTACCTGTGTAGGAATTTCCAGAGGTGCACTCTTATCTATAGAAGCACAGGTGGCTGTTTCTCCATTCAAGTATGCCAACAGTTCCTTACGATCCGGTCGTCGTACAGGTGGTATATTAGCAGCCTATAGAAATATAATGTTCATTACAATATGCCTTCAGTATTCATTTCACTCAAATAATACCTATTTACTTACAGCTGCTTGTCTTACATACACCGGATGTGTCAAATGTATGTTTTTGAGTATAAATAGAAGACACTCCAATGTATAATATTCCTTATTGTGAGATGCGTCTTTACCAGACCTATAAGTGAAAAAATATTTTTATAAATTTCATAATACGCCAACGACACGACGACATTTTTTTGTCGTCACTGAAATCACTTACCCCCACATAAGATAGTTAGTCTTGACATTTTTAGGCCAAGAAAATTCGCCAAATATTATTTTGTTATCGCGCTCTATTATTTCTTTTTTGTTTACATTATACTGGCGTAGTAAACTCAGGGGGTCCGCCATGATTACGTCGAAGCAATGTTGTCGTTTCAGAAGTTTTCACCACGTTTGGTTGATGAATTTTAGTACAACTTCAAAATACAAGAGCATTACACTGCAAAACAATCATTTTTGCGGTTAACTATAGTTAAACAGATGCACATTTATTTCAATTAGCAAATAATTTAAAAGAATTACAAATGTGAAAAAATAGAATATATAGTTAGCTTTTTGACATATTTTACATTCTGTCATACTTCAATCAGTCCTAAAACTGACAGTGCAATAGTAGAAACCACAAACTATGTAGAGACGTAAAGCACAAAGAAACTTAATTTGTGCTGTCTGTTAATTTCAAAGTGAAATGCTACATAGATAACAGATTTGGAAGGAAAAGAGAGACAATGCGAGCGAGCCACTTCTTCCTTTAGAAATATTTTACTTCGTGCTTCATTTGTATTCTGTGGTTTAATCTTCCTTATTACTCTTACTCAACAGATGGCGTTATTTACATAAAGTCATGAATTTGTCAATTTTCTAAATTGTTTCTAAACATGGCTGCCGGTTTCTTCTTTTATTGATAATTTGTGGTTGTATTCTATTAATAGTGAAATAATAAATGAAATAGAGTAAACTGGTAATGTGATAATATGACATAGCGACGAAGTTTGGTTACACAATGATTTCTACTCCAAAGACTGATAAATGCGGACAAGGTAACTTATGCATAACATTTTACTTTTCTTTGTAACTATTTTCAGATGATAGTTTGTGTATATTTCTATTATAATGATAAAATTAATTTATTTGGATTAAATTTATTTTATTATTATGATTTATAGTTCTGTTGGTTATTATACTCAAGCATTATGGACCACCCTTCCATATAAAGTATGATTAATACGTAGCTTTTACGATCATAAATAAACGCAGTGTTTATGCTATATATTTAAAGTATCAACTTTCTCTACAACATTGTGATGAAACTGTTTACCTATTCGAATGAAATTATTTTGGTAATTTGATGATGTTGCTTCTACTAAGCATGTTTTGTATTCATGTACTGTATTTTGTAAATTAGTCACTAGACTAGACGAATGTTTGATTTAAGATTACCAATTTTATTGTAGGTATTTAAAAAAAATATTGGTATCAACAAATAATTTTTATTAATTAGTGTTTCATTCATCGATTTGTTTTAATTTATTTAGAATATATAAGTTTTAATTTATATATATAATGAATAATATAATAATATATTTTTATGACTATACAATCACATAGTTAAATATTCCTATTTTAAAAATGCTGTTACAAGTTTTCTAAAATATAGAACTCTGAAAAATTTGACATATTTGTTTTTGTTACAAAAAGATGAAATAGAACAGTGTCTTTAAACAGATTTTTGTGATGATGTTTAGCTGGGAATTCTAACAGCTCTCTGATGCTACAAGAAGGTCCAAAGGATTAATAAAAATTTAGATTAATTTGTAATAATTTTCCTTGTAGCTTTATTTTCTGTAAAATAGATTATATTATTTGTTTTGACATTACTATCTCAAGTTCCCTGTTATCCTAATGATCTATACTTCAGTACTTATATTACAAAGAGATAAGTATTTACTAATTCATTGTTGTCATACACAACTAATGTCATAGAAAAGGAGCCAATTTAGTGAACTGAACATTTTTAAGGTCCGTAACTGATATGAAATGAATAGATATATGAAAATCATTCCCACTATGAATTATCAAAATTATTTCTTTTAAACCACATATCTGAATATGATTTATTGTTATTAAGTTAAAAATTTACACAAATGTTAAAGATATTTTTTTAACTAGTTATTCAAGTTTCAAGTGGATGTTTAGTGACTAAAAATCCAAGCAAAGTTTTGCTCAGATTGGGGGATTGATCAAAAATATTGGAATGGAAATATCTTACCTTATATCACATGTACACTCTTGTTTTTTTCATCCTTTTATAATGGCAATTTCTATGACAATTACCTAATAATTATTAATTAATTAATTAGTCTGTATTGGTTAAGTCCAAATAAATACATAGTATTGTAGACATGGTAGGTTGTAAAGATGTTTGCTTGTTTAATATCTACTTAATTACAGTTAAATAGCAGGATATAGTTGAAGTTTGTTAAATATTCTCAGTTCCTGTCTAACAGTGTATTGTTTACCCTAGTTATGTATGTCTGTGATGTAATTACAATGATACTGTAAATTTACGGACAGTCTCATGTCAAACCTATAATGACATACAGAAATACATGTAATACAATTTCTACATTAGAAGCCATAATTTTACTTTCACTTTACGCATGAGAAAAAGAATAAAATACCCTCTCGGTATATTGAAAATATTTAGGTGGAGTCATGATAAATGCATCAAAAAGAATAAAAACGTATTTATGTAATAAGATAGGTTATCTAGCATTAGATTTAATAATATTTTTGTATCTAGCTGTTTACTATGACTTTATTTGCTTGAACCTTTGGTGCATAAGCACATAGTTAGTAATCTATACATATAATAAAAATGTCAGTTATTCATTCCTCTTATATGGAAGATATATGAGAAAAAATATTATTGGGGGACAATAAACAATTCCTGCTTGTGATATTTTACCATTTTATAATTACGAGTCTTGGTTATTTATAATACCGATATACGTGATTTTAGAGTTGTAGGAAATCAAACCACTTGCTATTGTACAAAGTCCTTCATCCATTTTCCATTACCAATACCCATTCAGCTGTAGATGTTAGCGGAGTCGTGGTCATCCACGGTAATATTGTGTAAGAATATCGAATGTACGGTAAAGTATAATAGCGCCTTGCTACATCAATAGGTTCGATTCCGTCAATCAGTCGATTAATATATTCTGTATAAATAATTTCAGGACAATTTCACACAGCGTCATCTAGTTACAAGCTAAGCAGAGATTGTGTTAGGGTTACGAGATAACTAATACGTAGGCACATTTTTTTTTGTAAATACATAATATAAGTACATAGGTAATGCCCACGAATATAACCAATCATATTAGGAATGCAAATCTTTGTGCCACTAGATGACCTAGGCCATGGTTATGAATAAAGATCAAAATATTGATTATTAATATTATTAAGAAAAATAAAGATTTTTACCTTACTCTTTATCGTATTTCGTACATAATAGTTATCGCACATGTTTGCAAACTTGCTTCAGTTAAAATTACTCATAATAATTCTCAGTATAGTTATCCAAAATACTCGTACTTAGATAATACTGGATAAGTGTACATGAAATCTATAACAACATGTTACACGAAATAATAATAATATTTGATTTGAATCGTAATTCGTCCGTGGTAATAATTCTTACCGTAACTAATATAATAAATGATAATGTGAAAGTTTACCGAGACATCCATTCTAATATCATTTGTTCTTTTTCAATATTTAATGTGTTTTTCATCTGGTGTCCGCTCTTTTTTCCCACCATCCATGTTTAATTTATTAATTATGTTTACCTGTCAAATTTCATCGCCGTAAGTAGTTTTCGAGATTTCATGATCACTCAGTGATTGTATATAGGTACCTAGAATTTTAACCAGTGCAAATAATTTTTTCTTTTGTGTATATGTATATAGGATTTCAATAGAAATTTTATGTTATAAGTGGTATAAAGTTTATCACCAAAACGTGGAACTATTTTATGTTCGAACAACCAAGTTGTATCACGCTATTGTTCCTGCGTAGGCAAAACTATTTTCCGTGCATATTTTCGGAAAATCTTATATTTATCTTAATTCATTCATTGTATACGAAACATTTGTTGTGGTTCCTAGTTCAAAATGTTTATATTTTGCTTCAAATAAACTAATGATTTCATCGATTCTCTTAAAACGCACCAGTTAAATCTAATTAGTGGCTAGCCCAACATTCATTAATTACCTTCGGCAATTTTATTCTCAGACAGACATTGCTATCTACCCTTAGAAGTTCTTTTTGTAATGGTTATTAAATTATTTTTCAAAACCATGTAAGACTAATAAAATATAAATAGAAGCAAACATATGATATAAGTTTTCCTTCTACTTCGTATATATTTCAATACATGATGAGGTTATTTTTTAGTAGGTTGATGATTTTAAAACTGTTTAAGATCTGTATCACCCTGAGTCCAGCTGGAAGTCTATGTGGTTATGGCTATCGATTTATAATGGTAGTTAGTTACTTATAGCAGCCGGTAAATCTGTAGTACCAATCTCTCTGTAACGGTACTATGCTCGCTTTAGTTCCGTGGCTGTAATCCGCATTCGACATGCCGCGTAATATATAAATCTTAATAATAATTAATGTAGTTGAAAAATGTATATGACACTCCATATAATGCACGGACTATAATTTTTGTGGCTGTGAATGTGAATTTAGACCCATATCCTTTTAAGACAGCAGTTGGTAATTCCTTGTATAACTGTAACTAGTGTGCTAAATATCTACAATATATTACTTATAACACAGTGAAAACATTTAACCTGTATATATAATTGTATATATGGAACTACTTACATAAGTCTGCGTGCAAAATAGAAACGCATTGTTGAAACGTCCATATTAAATTAGTCACATTACCGTGTGTTTTATTTATATTAAGTTCTTTTTGTACGTAGTGAAAGTTCTGCTATTCCATAAAAAGGATCGCTATATTTGTATCACTTCTAAATATTGTTAACTTAGTCATTGTCGAATATAATTAATTATATTATCATAATTTTTAACCATTCAATGTACGTATGCTTCTGTTTAGTAAAATATTCATTGGACTAAATTAATTTTCAGTATAGTTGACATTATCAAAGTATTTAAAAACACATCTTTGCATTTTTGGATGTATCGCGTACTATTGGATTACTGTGTAAATCTATATATTAGGTACATAGAAAGAGCTGATTTTGTTATGAGGAAAGTAAACTCCGGAATGACTCCACCGCGTTCAGAAATTCTTTTACTGTTTCAAAGGTATATTATTCCAAAGTATCAGAACTTATATATTATGTAAATCTATACGAAATTCATAAAATTAAGTGTACACAGGCGACCCAGGTTATTAGTTATGAGAATAAATTTCATAACATCGAAATGATTTTAATGACTGAACTTATCCAACATCTTAAATTGCGTTTCCGATTACTCTGAAATGAAATAATGATGATAAGTCAATACTTTATTTTTCGGATATTTCTGTTAGTGCTATATTTTAAATAGAGATCATAGTTTAAAAACTTGTAAATAAAAAACACTAACATAAAAAGACACGTACATTTGTTCTATAATTAATTAAAGTTCTGCAAATATTGTTATTCCGTAAGACTACTCATATTTCATACTTCGCCTCGGCTATAGAGCCCCGTTAGGAACCCATTTGCACTTGCTTCATGTAGCCTCGATTACTCTAAGCTATTTACATAACGTCTTCAATGCAAATGTCCGTTTGAGTGCGCCAATTCAATTCTCTTCAGTATATCTTGATTTGCTTTGATGACTTTTGTTATGACAGTAGGTATATTTACCTTGATCTGTTTTGTTTGTAAGGAAAAAGTATTGGGCTTAGTCATATTGTATAAAATGTGAAAAAATAGACATACAGTGTATATATATATATAAGCTAGTGTATTGAAAAAATGTTGCAAATATAGCTTATGTATAGAAAATTACAGGATAAGAGGCATGACATCTTAGTTCTCCGGAATGAATCCTTAGGTACGGAACGCATGATTGATGTCCGTAGTGTTGTTCATATTACACAGGCGATAGTTACCATTTACCATCAATTAGGTAAAAAAAATGTGCAATATTCGATCTTACGAATGTTATTTATGTAAATTTTTACTCTACTTGATACATTCTACTATCACGATTAGTTTTTGTAACACGTAATTAGCAATTTAATGAGTTTCTTGGTAATGATCAACTGAAATGTCTATTGTCTAACAAGTTCATTTGTTATATGTGTATTATTTAACAAGTTCATTCGTAACTTTTATCATTTAGCAAAACTGAATTAGTACTGAGTTCATATTTTCTGCATGTACTGGGCTTATACTGCTATAACAGTTATTTTAATTGATTTCATGAAAGAAAAAGTTCCTAAAAATAACTCAATCACTAGAAGCTATTTTTGATCGCTTACACGTTTATTTCAACTGATATGTTAGTAATGTATGCTGAAGGTCGACGGTGTTGAAAAAGTTTGATATTAAGATGACCTTAGCCTAATGGTTGAGGTTACTTAGTAATTATTGAAATACAATAATTATTTAATGTTTTGATCCAGCGATTTAGCCTTCTATCGAACTCTTTATTTATAGCCATAGGGCTAATAGCTATAACTATATATCCTCTGTTCTGTAAGCAATGCTGTGCGGTTGCGCAATCAACACCAAGTGTATTCCGGCCTTAACCACTCTTGGGAAGGGAAATGAATTAATCGTGATTTCTAAAAGTTTTCTAACATAATTTCCATTATTACTTGGAACATGTTTTAACTTAGAAATATATTCAACGGGTTTTTAATTTGATTTTGTTGTACCAAATTCCATGATTTTATAAATGTCCAAATTATTATTACATAAAAGGTTCTCTATAATGCCAGTATTAATTGATTGCTATAATACTTTAATAGTTTCTTGAGATTGATTTCAATGGACCTTCACACGAGTTTGGCCTTCCTGTTCTATCGACGAAATAGTTACATTGTTTTTTGAACGTGAGACGACGAGTATCAATAGCTACAAATTTACCTAAAGTTCCGCAATATCGAATTTTTAATCGGTGAATTAGTTTAGTTCATATTAAAAAAACGATTATGATGTAATTTTTATTGTCATTGTCAAAGCCGTGCTGCAACGCAGTTTTGAACTGCAACAATAATTTATTTCAACATACCAATTTCTTACTGCATAGTCATGATGAGATGCTATTACCCTCACCGCAATATTGAGTAAACTTGGCTGTAAGAGATTGCTTGAATTGCAGGTTTTGTAATTTTAGGTCAAATAAAATGTTGATCATAACTAAATTCAGCAATTATAGCACTCAAATTACTAACTAGTCTTTGCACTTGGAATCAACAGTAAAATGGTATTTAGTAAATTTCCAATAAGTCGTTAATACCGTTCTTGGGTGTAATGATCGGGTTAGCTACCTAGAATCGTATCCCGTTAGACTAGGTAGGTATCACGATCGTTGCTAGTTTATTGGAAAGCGAGGCGCACGTGGCCGGTGGTCGAGCCGCTGCGAGCTCTACATTATTTACTCCCAACGAACAAAATCCACAAAATAAGTAATACCCTACAAAATAAACATTTCAATTATATATATTCAATTTTAACATTTAATATCCAAAATCCATACAAATTTTCACAATATCCTTTTGGGAAATAGTTCAATATGATAGAAAGTTATAGAAATCCTCAATAACTGGTATTCGTTAATGTAGCATCTTATATATGCAATAATAGGCAAAAAAAATACTATCCTAATGTTCTTATCTAACATAATTAATAAGAACTAACTGTGTATACTACCCGCGACTTCGTCCGCGTAGAAATTAACTTAATTTTTCTAAAAGAAATGTAGTCTAAGTTACTCCTTATTACATCAGCTACCTGCCAAAAAAAGTGCCGTCAAAATTGATCCAGCCATTTCAGAGATTAGCCAGAACAAGCAAACAGACCGACAGATATTTATATATAGGCAAAAATGGTAAAAAAATGATATTTTGGTGCTTGTACCGTATTTATATGCATGTACCTAGTAAAAAACTGTTATTTCAATATTACAAATAGACGCTATTTTTATTTATATGTATAGATATAAAATATAGTAATTATATGCATCTCCATCCTTTTGGCCTTTTTTTTGTTATTTGAGATCAGTTAGCACACATAACCTGCGTATGATTTTTGAATTTGTACCATGATATGCAATTCTGAATTTGTCTTGTCCGCGTTGTAGACAAAATTACCGTTCGTATGTCTCTATTATATTGTATAATAATATCTGTGTTAAGTCATTGTATTGGAGATGAACGTTCAGTTTATTTAGTAGGTAGCTGTTGAGTTTGTAACTGTGACACCAATTATTCTTAATACTTATTCGTTGGATTTCACAATTCTCGTGTCATCACATTACGGTTACATTTTCAAATAATCTTCTCATTAAATAATTATATAAGTACTTTATATACCATATTTATAGCTTTAAATAGTTTTAAATTTTAGCCTCTTATTATAGCTTCTTTATACTTACAAAAGAAACAAATTGTACGTCATCGCATAAGGATACGATTTGTATGTTTTCATTTATTTGAAGTATTTTTTATACGAACAATGTGACTATACAATATAAAACATTATGATAAAAAAAAAATTACCAAATAATAAATAATTTTACTAAATAATCGTGTTGATTAATTTAAATTTTAAACTGATTCAGATGACTATTTGAGTAGGTAATTCAAATAGTCATCTGAATCACATTAAAATTTGCGTAAACGTTGTATAACATACATAAAGAAATCCAGTCGAAAAATAAAACTTCCTGTAGTAATTTTTCTTTGTGTGTGGTCGAGGGCGCTGATAATGCATAGATACGTAGTAAATCATGACGTTTTATGATTGCGTGCTGAGGAGCAGTTGTAAGCCAATTCAAAGAAACTTAATCAAATGCTTATTGCATGCAACCCCGACATGAATGACATGGTCAAGTGACACAGATTTTTAGCATACTTCTATTCTATTATTATATTAATTCTATAACATAGCTCTAGACATTTCCCGAATACAAAACAAACACATATACCGACAGTCGCACACACTTGCTTGCATGATTCAATTGGATAAGTATAGTCTGCAAGAGGGTGGCCTAAGTGCGTCGTGCTCTCAATCAAACTTTTTTTTTACATATCTGTCATTAGTTAGTAGAGGTTCTGGTATGGGTTATGCCAACTTTAAATAAAATGTTACTGTTATATTATAACCACACAAATGATCAATAGAGTCGTATTTAAGAACAACCGACGATATCATAGCGAAATTGAAATATGAATACATGTATTTCGTACTAAATAGTATTCTAAACTATATATTATTATTATTATGACTATGGTCATACCAACTTTCATAAATTATCATATAAAAAAGTAAAAGCTTGTTTACATTATTGGTGCGAGACCATTCATTCGCACTTGACCGGTTTTATGTTATAATGGCTCAGGCGGATTTTTTTAATGTCGGGAATTAATCTTTATTTCTTAAAATATGTACATTCATACATTTTCGCCCGGGAGCAATTTTTCTGCCTGTGTATAATATAATGGTTCGTTTCTGCTGTGTTCACATCTGTAAGCAATGGTTTCCATTTTTTATCATGTGCGTTGTTGATTAATATTCTCTATATATCTATTAATAGATATTAAATGGTTATTAGAGTTTTGTTTCCAGCTAGTCGAATGGTTAAAATTTTGTTTGTCTGTCCTTCAATCCACATGTTCACATTTTAAATTCAAATATTATTATTGTACAGGTATGTTGATGACCTTCAAGATCTTAATTATTTAAAATAATATCAAACGTGTTTTGTTGACTGATTTTTCGCCCTGTACTTATACTCTTCTATGAATGAGTAGTTGTGAAATGTCTTTTTCATTATGCGACTGTATAATTGAAATTAAGTTTGTATATGAAAAGCGCATTCAGGGTTGGTTTTGAGTCTAGAGTTATAGTTATAGTGTTAAGTTACTGGCTACTAACCAAGCGGATAGCTTGCTAGTTATTTTCAGAATTACTCCATAATGGGACTGAGTGAATACTTATTACTTCACTTTAAACTTTTATTGTTACGAGGATAGTTACTACTGTTTTTCTAAATAAGTAATGACTAAGCAATTTTATCATTAGACTTGCACTACTTTTTCAATACCTAAGCTTACGTTACTGTGTTGCATTGTTACTTGTAGGAAGAGATTACGTTGGTTAGGTAATAATCACATTAGCATAGTCAGTCGGTCATTTATCAGGACAGGTGTGCGCCAGCGCAGACGCTGTGGGCTGGAGATGCGCAGTTGAACACTTTCACTCTCGCCGGTGTGACAGCAACGGTGGCGGCAGCCCGCCGCAGTGCCGCCGCGCCATCGTCGTCGGCCGCACCGATTGTTTGCGTAAATTGTAGAAACCCCCGCGGCCGATCGAAACCCCGTGTCAATACTATGCTCCGTTGCACATGAGCTCGTCTCATTCTTACTCTGCTGAATATTCAGACCGTGTAGTGAAAAACTCAGCTATTTTTAGATTTTATGTATCTTCAGTTCGGCGCTGTTACATGGAAGTTTGACTGTGATAACATCGTGACATTTTACCAATTTTATGTACTCATGTTTAGTGTTGTGTTATGGTTTAGTGGTTCAATAATTGAATAACACCTGTGATATGGATATTAAATAAACACTAAGGCATACATATTTTAGGTGACAATAATAAGCCAGTGTCAGTAAAAATAGAGAAAGTTGTGAATTGCGATGGTTAAGTTTCACCCTTGTGTATTTATCGGCACTTGATTTCGTAACTTTCGTTTGAATACACTCGTGACTTATAACAACTTACTTAATTGCGTATCTGTGGTCTGCATAATAAAACGCTGCTGTAGGCACCAATATCCTAACCTATGTGTACAATCCACAGTAGTTCTATCTATACGAACAAGTGTTGGACGCTATATATGTACTGGTTTATTGACGCGTGCATACATTTTGATCGCTGTTCTTTTATTAGGGTCGAATTTATATTGTCAAGGTTACCGGGGCGAACTGGATGGATACAAGTCGGAGCAGAGGCGTGTAATGCCCACATAACGAGCGACGTTACGTTTACTGTAAATAAACAATGACCTAATTGACGTATGTAGCATATACTCTATTTTTGAGTCTGACTTCTTCTGTTGCTAAAACATGCAAAAGTGATAAACATAATTAAACAATTTCACTATATTAAAATACAGTAAACTAAAGAGCCGTGCCTACTTTCGACGATTTCTACAGGGCCGCCTTTTCTCTCGACCATCTAGTATCTGGTTTGTAGAAATCTCCGGTTACTATGGTAATGTTCCGACAGTGTGACCCTCGCTAGATGCGAGCTACATACAAAGATAGTATATTACTATAGTATAGGTACTGCATTTACTAATTATAGTTAGTTACCAAGAGATTATAAAATGCCTTATTACGACGAAAGTTTCATACATGATGATAATCAAAATCAGCGGAGAAATAAACGAAGCTATCGTGTTTATAAAAATGGAAACGCTAAAAGTACGTTTGAATCCAGTGACGTTTTACAAGTTCTTGAAGATAGAGGTACTTCGGTGATCAAACGCAATTTAAAAAATATCAAACATCGTAATAAATATTATGATTCTTCTGTTTCCACCAAACAGCCACCCAATACAATTGCATATAAGACCCCAGATATTATTGTGGATCATTGTCCTCGGATTACGGTGTTTAATCCTAACAGGTGTTATGACATACGCAATAATAATGTAGTTCCTCTAATGTCCTGTAAGAGCTTTGACAATTTGACATTTAAACAACTGGGTACGAAGGATTTGATTGTGGAAAAGTTAAAGAACGGTACAAGTCTTCAAAATTTACTCGGTGACGGACAGCTTAAATATTACGCCTCACCTTCCGAAGAACATTTGTTAGCACCACGGAAAGATGATTCGAAGAATTTTTACTCTGTCACTGAAGCCTGTCGTAGACCAATGCAACGTCGTGTGTCAAGACCTGCTGCAGCCCCAGGGTTTGGTGTATATAGACAAATCAACGGTGAAGGAATACCAAGAAAAGGTACGTACAGTATTACCGAATAACATTCGATTTATTACATATGATGTGATCTCTCGGCTTGTTTGCGTTAAATTTATGAAGTCCACGTGATATAGAATGTAACTATTTCGAAATATTTATGTTTCTTAGACGATAATTTATTTTTTCATCTCATTTAAATAAATAATTTTAAACGAGTGTAGTACTTGTTGACGCCATTATTTTGTAAAAAATATTTGTTTTTAAAAGAATAATTTATTTCATTATTTATTTTAGGGCAGTTATATTATTTGTTCTTGCTCTCAATTCACTAAGTTCATCCTCTAAAGAACCTGGTAGACCGCAAAGATAGAGAATTTGCAAACTTTTTGGCCGCATTATAAAACCAATGTCAAACATTTTACCCATTTGTTATCCGGCCATTATTGGACAGAAGTTCCTTAAACACTGAAATAATGGAACACACAGACCAATACAAACAATCATTCTCATGTGTATAAATGTTTGTACCGTGCATGGAATCAAAGCCGCGACCTTCGGGAGTAACCACCGAGGCTTTAATTGACAGATGTTGATCAAGGTTCCATCAAAAAGCTTGAAGGTCATGACGTGCATAGATCTCCTACGTATAAAACTCTTTTGAAATATTTAATAGTGTTGCTTTTTACGGCCTTCAACGAATTAAATTCAATTATAATAATCTTTATTTCAATTTACTTTCGTCATTGTGTATGAATGTTGTTTTGAAATAAATGTATTTTGTCTATTACTAAAGCTATCTTGTACAATATGTAGGACGCGGCATATTATTTGTAACTTGATAACACGCTTCATTGCCATGTTGCAAAATTGAAAGTACGTAACTAGATATCAGTGATCTATTTCCACAAAGCGAGACGGAAGGGAACGCAGGAGAGCTTTCAGTTTTTCTTCCTCATCTATGTCATTGTGCTTTGCTATTAGCTGGTGTATTATAATACATGATCTTGTATAACAAGATGTAATATACGCGGGAACCGCACTATTGTATCTATTGTTACGATAATGTTAAGGCCGTATACAAAAACTATTGAATAATGACTGCAGATTAATTTTACACTCTCGTTACATGCTCCTTTCACGTTATCATGTGCTCCACTTGAATTTGATAATTTTGATTGAACTGTATAATCTAATCATATGTTATAGATATGTTCGTTTTTAGGATGATCGAACTAAAAATGGGAAATTGAAACTGTTTTTTTTTTTATATTTTTACTTTCATTGCTAGAAAGACTTGAAAATATGACAAGGTAACGTCTAAAAATCTTCAATAGTATATATAAAAGTAGTTCATTGGTACCTACAAAAAAAAACTTTTTTGTTATTGTATTTTCTGAAGCCTGATATCTAAAATACTTAGCGGTTAAAGACTATATAAACTTTATATAAATAACTAAAGTTTGTAATATGCCAATTTTATTGTTATAATTAAATTAAAATACCCATAATCAAAATCTTTATTATGTGGTGTGTGTAGAATAATTATAGCTGGCTGCATATTCTTGATTTGTTGTTATCCTGTCTGACTGCTAAATTATAATTTAGCATAAATGGTCAATATTTAAACGCTTCCGTTTCTTATATAGATTACATTATGTACTATTCATTAACTCTATTCACATATATACGCTACATTATTAGCCGAGTTCCTTTATATTTGTTGTATTACTAACGCCCATTTAATACCTTTGTTTCAAATAACTTATTCTTTCCTATAACCATAAGCTATTATTATTGAAATTTAAAGTCGAAAGTGATAAAACCACTTTCATTTTATTTTGTAATTTAAAATAAAACTGGGTTGGTGTGGATACTGTCCAAAAACATGTTTCAATCAAATTTACACAATAATTTAGCTTGTCTATTCAAATTGCCTACTTCTTCGCATTGTGTTGTTTATCTACATTATTATTATTGTACTGATATATCTTCTGAACACAGAGTACATAATAAAAAGTTATACTCTGAGCTCTGATTCACATTTACAAAACAAAATATAAATGAATATAATGTGCGTGATTTATGGGGTAGAAGTCAAAATTTCCACATCTACGCTTAGTTAAGTACGGTTTAGAACTATGAAGTAAACGACAAGGCAATATAAAATTAAGCTAAGATAAAAACGAGCGAAAATTGCATATGTTTGCTGACCCGGTAAACGTTGTTTTGCCATATAAATTAATATTGCTATAAAAAAATAGGGGTTGGTGGTAGAAGGGTGAAAAATTAATAATCATCATCATCATCATTTAGGTAATTTTATATATATAAATAAAATTGGAGTGTTTGTTTGTAATAACCGTTTTCTACTACATGCATATATATAAATATAAATAGGGTACATACATACACCCAAATAACAATTACAATTTTTGTCTGTCTGTCTGTGTTTGTTCCGGCTAATCTCTGAAATGGCTGGATCGATTTTGACGGGACTTTTTTTAAAAGGTAGCTGATGTAATAGGGAGTAACTAAGGCTACTTTTACTTTAGAAAAATAAAATTAAAATCCACGCGGACGAAATCGCGGGCCTAATTTAACTTACTAAAACTTCAAAATAAAACCTAATTTTATTTTGATCTAGCTCAAAATAAAATTAGAGTGAAAAAACAAACCTCTCCTTTGCTCTTTAGTTATTATGATGTAGTATGGCTACATTCTTGATTAAAAACATTGGTTAGAATAGTGTTATAAAAATTATCTATTTATTTCATGAAATAAAAAATCATTTTTTCTATTTAAATATATTATTCGTGACTGCGTAAATAAGGTTTTTTATAAATATAACTACTGTTTAGAATATTTGTTGAGAATGAGTGCATGACGTGGGCATTCAATTTACTCTCTTTCCTTGTATGTTTGGTATATGGCATAGTTAGTACCTTGTTCTGTTTTTGACATCATAAATTATTTCATTGTATTTATTTGCTATGTAGGGTTCATTAAAGATAATATTGAATTCTAAAATGACAATTAAAAATTCTACGAAAACAAGTCGCAATTTCAACTCTTAAATAGTTCAGACTTGCAAAATTGTCGACTTAAATTTTTTCAAATGTGATTTGGTAGAGAACTGTGTTATGTAATTAAACGCGCATCCTTCGTTCGTTATATTGTCAGCAATGACCACATCATGACTGATATTACCAATTTGTAAAAAACAGCATATATTGAACTCTGTAAGTGTTGTTTTATATGTATATTTTTAATTACCATTTTGGTGCTTATGTTTTATAATATAGAGTTTAGGGATCGAAAATAAATTTTCTTTTATAAAACTGTTATAGGCTTGAAAATAGCAATTGCAGTGCTTTTTGTAGAGTATTGAAGATGAAGGAACAAATGAGACTTGTCGTGGCTAAATACCTACGAATTATGTTTATGTGTGTTTGTATGATGTGTATTATATATGACGCATTAGGAGTTGTATTGGTGTTGTGAACCATCATGATCAGGCGACCGTGTGACGCGGTGCGTTCAGTCGTACACCGCGGCTTTGGGCGCGTCCTCCTGTCGCCTTCGCGTTTATTTATAAACTTAGCGTCATTGCTGTGATAAACTTGTGTTTACTTACTATTATTGCTTTACAAGAAATCAAACTACATATAGCAAATAGGAAACATGGAATTTTGCTGATTTGCCGATTAAATAACTGTTTCCCGGTAATTTTGTACTTAGATTAGATTTTATACCTATTTATATATAATATTGTACGAGTATGTTGACACTAATATTTTATTAGATTCCATCAGCCTTTGTACGTACACTTGCTAGCTGTACTATAATATGTTATACTATACCCAACTTCTAATGAACGCACGGTCAAGTGCTTCTCAATCCAAATTTTATGATCCCTGCTTATTTTTATTATTTGCCTCGATGCAGTCATATTATCTGTTTGTTGTTTGAAGTGATGAGTGAAATTTCATCTCTAGACAATAATTGTCATATATTTCCTTTACAATTTATTGTGCTTTGGTGATGCTATAAAAGAAACGAACCTTGAACTGAATTTTATAATGATTGATATGAACTTGTACAACACTAATGTTTTGTTAATCTTTTAATATTTATCTCTTTATAATCTTTAAGTGCATTTGTATGTTTTAAATAGCGATGTGCGATACATATGAAGCAATTTATTAATTTAAGTAATGTTTACCTACTCGTAATTGTTATTTTCCCAGTATACTTATATGCTTATGAAATGACGGTGATATACTATATTAGCTTATCGTATTATTATAATTCAGTTTTCCTCTACTTCGTAACGAGTAGTTACTATTTTTGCATAATTGTTTTGATAACAATGTCGGATTTAGCCTCTTTTGATGGTAAATTAACAATTCAATAGTGTTGTATTGTGTTACCATGTACTGGTGGAGCTGAAGGGCGATGAAGAACTTGTGTAGTTTTCATGTCTTCAATAGTAGCATTTTTACTTGTTAATGCATCTGATGGTTCCGGCGATGGAAACATCGTTAACAAATAAAATGACTCCGAAAGACATGAGTGGGCAGGCCCCCTTCCACGTTGTCATGTCAAGGGATGTGTTCACCACAACGCTGATAGTTGACAGTGCCTCAGACTATTTAATGTGAGATGACAGTTTTGAAGGTAGCATATTTATATCTATTTAATGCGTAGAGACTATAGATGATGATAGGCGACAGAAGGTCGCAGAAAATACCTAAAGTATAAAACCGTGTTTTTTTAAATATTTTAATACCTGTAGGTACTTGTGTTTATTTCTCCATCTGCTTTTATTATAAATATGCTTGGTATGAAATATTTACCTTGGTAAAGGTCATGGTAGTTAGAATACATATTATTTATTAGGTTGCTACTTATATTTTACACTTCGCGTACTCGCCGACTTGATGGTCACTTTACCTTAAATAGAACCAGTGAGCAATGACAGACACGTACGTCATTGGTATGCGTTGTTATTAGCAGAAGGTGTAATAGGGGCATATTAATTAGGCACTTATTACTGGTTAGTTTGTTAAAAATACTATTTTATTACAGTGTTACAAACGCTATAAATATAATGAGAGAGTCCTTTTGACGTAGTACTATTTAATAAGAAAAGATTTACGTAAGTAATGTACATTATAAAATGTAATTAATAGTATTAATATACGTAATAACATAATATTTAGTGTTTGAGGGAATTTGTTAAACATACGTAAAAATAATTTATTTGGAATCAATCAATATTGCGTCAAATATATGATGACATTTGTTTGTTGTTATTTTTTTTTGTTATGTTGTTACGATGTATGCTCATTTTTATATTACTTTTTTATATCTTATTTATAAAGTATGCTGGTTTTTGGCTTTATAAACTCACGGAGTTTATATGACCTATGTTCTTCTTTTGTATTCAGTATTTCATTCATAATATTGTTGCAGAGAGCGACGTCTGTGGAGAGCCGGGTTCGGGGCACCGAGGTTCTTTGCGGGGCGCCAACAAACTGGCGCGGCGCGCGCGCTCGTTTAAAGACGACCTGCTCGAACGCATCTCCAACATGCGGTCCCCAGCGCAGCAGCACCATTCGCCGCATCTCTCGTCCGCTATCAGGTCACTACCAATATTATCGTTCATATCCGTCGATTAGGTCATTGACAGACTAATTGAATATTGCGTAGGTAGCCGCATTGACAGCATCCTCCGCTGTATTGTATAGTATGTATACATTTGTTTATTGGAAATGTTGCTGTCCATTATTATATAGATAAATTTATATCAATATTTAACAACTTTTACATGATGTCTATGTATTATTAACGTAGTTAAATAATTATCACAATTAAGTTATTTTTAGGAGTGATTAAGGGATGTTTAGTGGAAATAATGAAAAAAGATATATTTTATTTTATATAGTATCCGAGTGCTCGCGTAGCATATTTGAATTAGTCACTTAGTATATTTGGATTAAGGTTATAAAGGTACTGTGGAGTCCATCTGAAAAAATCATAATTTCTGGGGTATTCACCACGTTTAATCATTTATTATCTTCCGCTAATACCCTGCCAGTATATACCGTTAACGCGCCTACGTTAACGGTATATACGGTGCATCATTTCATGTTCACTTATTAAAAGAAAAATACATCGCAGGATGGTAGTATTATTATTTTGTATATACGGTTGCTGATATAATTATTTATTTAATTATATATTTACGTCATACTAAGATAGCTTTACAGAGTTTACCCACTTAGGAAGATTGCATACATATACACACTAATTACTAATATATACATACTAATTACAAGCAAAAAAAGAATCTTAGTTTTACAAACTACATAAATAATAATATACTGCAATCCTACTAAACTCCAGCTAATTAACAAAGAGCTAAAAAACAGCTAGTCGCTAGCTAGTAGCTAGTCTAAATCTGTAAAGATACTAACTACAGCGTTTAGTAGACTCAATGCCAAATATAATTAACTAATAAACGATAATTATATAATAACGATTACCGAATCATGTGCACAATTATATCTGCATCTGCATTTTTATTCTTGTCTGTAACCACCAACCACATTTTACAATTTGCCATGAAATTTGAAAGTTTATTAAATTTTAATTATCCTTTCTTTCACAACTGTTATGATATGTATATAACACTGACATATATATTACTTAATTACTGTATAAATAAATAAAACCAGTGACAAATAGCATTTGACATATAATAGTATATCACACTTTATTATTAACAAATATCATATCTCAAAAATATATCAATGTTATCTATGAATTTGTGTATAAAATCCACAATCTGTATTGTTTCTTATCTAAATTGATAAATTTACATACATAACTTGGTCATATCTACTGACAACGACTTGACATAAGAAAGTCGCTGTTTTTAACAGTCTTATCTGGGACACCAGTGATATAGCAATGCTCATACATATATATATTTATTTTTAGTGCACTACAAAAGAGTGTGTTAATGTATATCTAACCTTTGTGCGGTATTGTGAGCAGCAGTGTCTTTCAATTTTTACTGGACTGTAATAAAGTGAACTGTGCACCGAAATTAAATGTGTATGTTTATTGTGAGTCATCGTTCGTACCGCGACTGTCACACTCATTAGGGTCTGTCACTGAAATCTCATTAGTTTAGTGCGTGCAATGTTAAGTGATTACATTTTAATACCCGCGCCTGTGCCCGCGCGACTGAATTGTTTTTATTTATTATGCGTGGATTTGAGTTTTTATTATACTTTAAGTTGTTCGAAAGTAGCCTCTGAGTGAAACGTTGCAGTAACAAGTGATCGAGTGTTGTTTATGGTTCAATCGCTGTGTTCAAGTGATTTTAAATGTCGAACGTGCCGCGATCTCCCGTCGGTGATTGGTTTAACAAACATTCCAACAGATTTCATCTGAAATTTTCTAACAATGGAAAAAGGTACATACGCTTTCGTTAATTTTGTTCACAATTTTATTTCATATTCCTAAGTTGGTGTATCTTGACTTTAATATCTTTTACAATAAATCCATTATATAGTAAATAATAAATTCATATTATTTTTTTTGTTATATATTAATCAATATCGGCCTTATTGGTCCAGCGATTTAGCATACCGGTTTACTTATGATGGTCGCGGGTTCGATTCCTTGCACAATACATAGATTTGTGAATGTGATTGTTGGATCGTTCTGCGTGTTTTCTATGTCTATTATGTATGTATTTACATAAAAATGTATACATATCAGTATTTATTTCAGTTATGTAGTATCCATAACACAATCTCTGCATAGTTTGTGAATAGATGGCGATGTGTGAATTGTTCTAGGTATTAATAACTAACTAATATTAATATTAAAATAGTTAACTTACACGTATTGTATGTTTGCTTGTATCTGCAATGAATGGTATCCGCTGATTTTTATAACATAACATGTTTTTTATAAGTAGGTGTTTGGGTAATTTAAAGCTAACATTAATATAAAGAGGTTGCGGAAGTCGATTTCTAATGTTGCATTTTCACCTTAATGATAATTTCTTAATATCGCGTCATAGACAATAACTGGCTGTCAACACGAGTTGATGGTATGTTTATTATATTTTAACTGTCGTGTTTTTATTTGCACACGCATATAGTAAGGTGAACTGGTGTTGCTTATTTGAATATCAAATATAGTTTAGCTTTGTTATTTGTGGCATTGTGTGCGTTTGCATACTAAGTGGCCTGTTTTACAATACATTCCATGCAATTATATTTTTCGTCTCGTAATGCTTTAAGTAGATTTGCGTAGGAAATATTATAGAGCCATTTAGCATAGGACGTGGTTCGTTAATAAGTGATGTGAAATATAAGATGTGTTATTTTAATAGTATTAAAATATATTAATTTAAAATATCCTATATCACTTGTCACAAGTGTCATACATGTATATGTCATAATCTGATTTGTATATACTTTGTGACATATTTAAAATTGCAGGAAATAATAATCAGTCATCGCGCAACTCGACTGAGGACCAGGAAATTGTTTTAAAATGTCACGTACACTGCTGTAGAATGTAATATGTGAATGTAACAAAGGGGCGTAAAAATTCAGTGATACTATATTCGCTAGTTAGAACTATCTATCTACATTCTACATGCTAGATCTTTTTATGTGGTAGACAGAGAACTATCCATTTTCTCATTTCGCATTAAAACTATTAAAGTTAGAATTAACTTGTATGCATCAAGAAATCTTTTCTTTTGCAACTACGCAATATGCACTACTATAATTTTGTTGGAAATATTCAAAGCTTCAAAGTAATTACTACTATATTGTATTTTATAAAAAGTGTGAAATGATATTAAAAATATCAAGCAATAAAACGGAGGAGGGGACGAGGTTCTGAGTTCGATTGTCTTTTTTATGGCATGTTACGCTATATCAGTTCCAATTTTGCAAAAATACTTTTGGCAATCGGTGTCGTTCGCATGCTAATTTGTACCTATAAGTTTAATGTCTTATGTAACGCGATGGATTATTTCAAATACTAAGGTATATATACAAAATACTTCTTATCTGCAATTATATAATATACTATATTCTACCTACGATGTCTCTAATTCTTTATTAAATAAAAGACTATTCTATTTTTTTTAATGACCTAAGAGTCTATAGTACTAGAAATAGAAAACAGCTATGGGACTCTAATAATGTGCAGGCAAATAATTTTTGGTTCGGTTTTTATGTATATTTTTATACAAAACATTCAACTGAAATTGCGAATTCGAAGAGTGAATACGATTTTTCTTGTTTGATATAGTTTTATTCTAACCTTTTCATTTATAACAATAGTTAATGACGAAATTTTCTTTGCATTATGTACCTGTTAGTAGTAACAGTATATGTAGGTATAGATTGTGTACAGACGAGTACAAATCTGTGTAGTCATTTGCGGGCAAGGAAAATTTACATAAATTAATCAGAAAATATCTATGCATATCTGTGACTGTCTTATTTATTTGTGACAGTATCTTATTATATTACATTATTTGATTATATAATACAATATGCGAGATTCTTACGATTTGTTTATTACATTTACGAAGTCTCTCTTGAAGATACAATTTACAACAATCTGTATCGTCAGATAGGTACTAAAACAGTAAAAAATCCAAAAGTGCACACTTTCTAATAACTTATTATTGTATAGGTACCTAAGTATAAATTCTATATAATCATACCAATATTAAAAATAAACAATAGTATGCCTACACTTATGCCTAATTCTGTGAACACTCGATACCCTTTCATAAGTATACCTACCTCTCCAGATAACATTCTCACTTCAGTGTATAGTTAGTTTACGTCCGGACTCCGCATAGAATATACGCGTTACTAATAAGACATGTATCACACTACCAAATAAACTTAGTAATGTACAATAAATAGTACAATTATTACACCAGTATATTAACTACATACATACTAAAATTAACAGTATATTATCTAGCGACACCTCATCACATCATATATAACGCTACAGTGGTGAGGTGATAACCACCGCGCTGCAAATTAACCTTTAATTATTAATTAATAAAAATTAATTTTGAAATAACCATACCATAGCTATTATAAATGCGAAAGTGTAGCTCTTTGGCTATTTGTTTGTTACGAAGACCATACCAGAACAGCTCTTTTTGAAATTTGACGTAAACATGTAGTTTGTATCACTAGAATGAATAAAGCCTATTATTTACCTAAAAATAGGTGAAGTCGAAATTATCAGTGGTACTGTATATAATTTACAACTTTTGCCTGGTTTGCACAAAAATGGTTGTACGGTAAATATGTGATCGTATTTATTAGAAAAATTTGTATAAAATACGTCTTAAAATTAAATACATATTACTGTGAAATTATGTACCAATACACCAATGTTTTTTTCTATGTCCATAATTTTCTAAGTGGTATAGTTTCATAAGTTTGTTTGTTTATTGTAATAAACTTACTACTATTTATATAATTTATATAAATATAATAATTATACACCGTTTCAATTTTAGTATCGAATACGAATACTAAAATTATATTACAAAAATCGTGTACGTAATTCTAATTTTAAAATATCGATGTTCGTGTGTATCTGACTGTCCTAGTTATGGTTGGTAACGCTGCAGTTTTTTGTTTACAGATCACAGTCCCCGCTTAGTCCGAAACTTCGGAACATGGGCGCGAAATCAGTTACGGCTGATGTGGGGGAAGTCACGCCTGCCAAAGAACTGGAACGGCTAGTCAAAGAGGTTCGCTAAAGCTTTATATTTTTTATTTGTATTTGCTCTATCATCCAATAAATTGCATCCATTGTCGGTACTGACATGAAGTTTTTCACTATTGCAGGTTGAAGTCGGTTTGATTCACTTTTCGGATGTTATTACGAAGAGGAAACTGGAAATGCTTCCCGACAATGGCACTATTGTTTTCGAATCAATTGCAAATATACACAAAGGTAAATGCGGCTATTATGCAACAAATACAACAGTGATTTACCTTTACGTACCTTGTTGCGTTGAACAATGCCGTTTCTGTATGTTTAGGCGACACTTAGTGTCTATATTGAAGAATCATTAATTTACAAGTTTAAATGTAAAATTATATTATTGTGTTTTAATAATTAATTTTGAAAACACAGAATATTGTTAATTTAGAGTAGTAATAATACTGTTAGTAAACTAATTTTGTTTTTGTTTAGAATTTTGTAGTATTTGTTCGTTGCCTGGTATGCTATGTTGGGTTACACAAGTGTTATCATTTTGTATTCATTCCAGCAATAAAACCATATAGCGGCCAGTGTCCACCTCTAACAAGCGCTGTCAATAAATTGTGTACTGCATTAGCTATGTTGCTACGGTTGTGCGATGAAATCGCAGCATTCAGTTTTCGCGCTGACGATGGAAAAGATGAATTGGACAGTTCCGCAACAGCACTCTCACCCGACCACGTTAGTTCTGTTGTAAAAGCTGTCACCGGCGCGGTAGAAGAAGTAGCGAAGCTCGCTCAGCAATATATGACACGGCCCGCACTCTCACCGCGGCCAGCACTCGTCTCACCTCGGTCGTCAACACAAAGAAACTCATTACCAGGTAATGAAATTTATTATAGAACTAGTATGAGAACGTCTACGTGGTCAGTGGCATGATTATGAGAGACCTATGCTCATTAAATTCAACTGTACTCACCAAAATAATGAGCATATCGAGTGCTGCAATCACTCTTGGCCGCAACGGCTAAGTCTAATGCCCCTGACATTTTTTAAATTACAGTCATGAGCATAGATACTTATTTTTATTTTATTCCGTAATAACGTTTCATGTAACAGTTATTTTTGTTTTTAAATCAAGTTTTAATTTACGTAATAGTTACATAACAATCATTACATTATCATCTCAATAAAACGCGTTTTTATCAATGTCGATTAATTGATATATTTAATTAAGTCAAGGTTATTGATAAAATGTTCTTACCCTCTAGACACTACTTTCTCCTTATCGAATATGCATAATATTGAGATTATCTTACAAAGTTACAAGTTCAAGTACGTTCGCTATCTATGTCAACTTATACGCATTATCGTAAAGTCTGCATATGGCGTTTTTTTATGAATCTGTCTCACATCTCATAAGCAAATGAATTTCTGTAATTGCATACTTATTTGTATATGCCAGATTTGTATAACTGGCATATGCCAGAATCGGTAGAGCGAATTATGACATACAGTTCCTTCCATTGTATGAACTCATGTATGTAGAACGAGCGTGTACAGGTAGTAGTAAAAATAGGTTTTAACTATAAAGTATTATAATAATATGTATTTTTTTTTATTTATCTAATTGAAATGCCAAACAAGCGGATGACTGAAAAACTGCCAAAAAGAGGTTCCTACTTCGCTTGTATTTTTGTAGTAACGTTCATTTTTACATTTACGTCAAAATTTTTATCTGATATGATGTTGCATTACTTTTGTCTTGGTGATGATAATACACACAGGTTTTTGTGAAGTGAAATCTTTGAAATAACATTAAAATAATGATTTTGCAGATATTCCACTGACGCCAAAAGAGCGTTCATTGTTAACGGGCGAAGGTGCCCCAGAGCCAACCGGTGTGCGCGCTTCTCACTCGTCGGAATCAGTCCTAGACGCACCCGACTCGCCGCCGCCAAAGCCCGCTCGGCCCATCCGGTAAGCATTTCCTACTACCGTACGAATATATGAAAGTGGTTTTACTAGTGTAGTTAGTAGATAGTAGTTAAGGTCTCTCTTTATGTAATGTTTAGGGTTTGTTTATACTGTTATAGAATTTGACGGCATTTGGCAATAAATGTAATTTTATGAATTAGATTGTTAATCCAAGTGTTGTATTTGTATATGGAGACACAGAAATTTGATATTTTAGCATTATATTTTGTTTATATTTATATCAATCAGCGTCAAGAACTGATAAAAAATATTTTACAAAATATAATATTTTTCATGTTCTTTCTAAATTCTGTACCGTGGCGGCTATGTTTTTATTAAATGATGTTGTTAATTTCTTTTTATGTAATCAGAAACATTATTAAGCATTAAGAAAGAAATTATTTCTTAGGTTAATTTTTTTTTGGTAAATTGGTGTATATATATTTACAGATATTATTGTCGTTGAATTGTCAGTACATTTTCACTGTATTTATTGGCAACTTTCTAAGTGGTTAGTTGGAAGGCTTGATGTTAAAAGTGAGAGTTTAATTGGTATGTTGCAGGAAAATCGAGTTGGCCCCACCTCTACCGCCCAAGCGGAAATCTGCAAACGACAATTCTCTTCTAGCGTTGTCCGTTGATAGGTCAGTATCATTTCTATGTATATATATTACATATAATATATTAACACCGGAACGACGGTTGATAAGAAAGAAGAGTATACTGTGATCTGCGAGTACTCCAAATAAAGAGAATGAGGCCAAGGTTGTGATGATTACATTAATATAATAATCAGAAATTCTATTGTGGTACTGTAACTAAATGTTGCGTTAGTTTTAAAGTAATAAGACTATTAGATATACGGGTATTTGTACTATACTTGAGTAATTTCATGGTCAGTTGTGGAATTTTGAAACATAAATTAAATACTTAATGGCGTATATATATAACTTACATAACTTTCATAGTAAACTTAGTAACCCACGATGCATTCATCCCGCCTCTTAACGTGGCTTTCTTACGTTCCGCTTTCTTAACATCGACTGTAAACAATGCCTCTGTCAACCTCTTATTCTATTATGTACATTAAAGCCTTATTATATTTATATTATTCAAATTAAATCACCATTTCTTTTGTGATATAATTACATTTTGTATGTATATTACGTACACTTATCTTGGCTGATTATGTATTGATTTTTATGATTACAATTGAGAGAATAATTCTCTTGTTAGCCTATTCCTTCCTTGGTTTGTTTGTATTTTTTTACAATTTATTTTGTTAAATTATTTTTTTGGTCTTTCAGGTTGTCTCTCCAGTCGCACAGCAGCGGGTCTCTGGACTCTATGCTTAATGTGTCCAACGACGAAGAGCGCAATGTACACGATTCCAACAATCATGACCATGTGTTCACAACGAGCAATGATATTGTTGGTTAGTGCTTTTTTATTACACTACAGAACTAGGTTCCATATAGTCTTTTTTGGGTCACCTTCCAAAAACAATAATAATAATAATAATGTATTTATTATCAGGCTTAATTGCCCTTTGTTAGTATTACAGATTTCTTATAATTAATGTTAGTACGTACAGACTACAGACACAAAATACACACACTAAAATAATAATAATACAAATAATATCAAAAATTAATATTAAATTAAGTTAAAATATAAATTAAAATACATTCACATATAAATATAAAAAATCAATATAAAAATCACCGCTGTAGATTCCATTAAGAAATAGTACAGCAGTGATTAACATACGCACAGTTCAGCCTGCCCGCAATCATGCTCAGGATGCTGTTGGTACTGGCACGTACTCTCCGCATCAGGGATGCGCATCTTTTCCGCATTGTAGCATAAAAACAATCCACACGGTACTCCGCGAACATCCCTGATGCACTGCAGAATCGCGACAGCCCCATCAACACCCTGAATGCGTTGTTATACTGAACGCGAAGCCCGCTGTAGGACTTTCGGGTGTATGTAGCCCACAGATTGCAGGTGTAAAAGGATGTACAAAATGATCTAAACAGAGTGATTTTGACATCCCTAGAACACCGCGCAAATCTGTGCGCTATCATATACGCCCTCACCGCCAGCGCTCTCCTTTCTCGTTCAATATCGTCGTCATCTCTAAGGTCAGAGTTCAATAGATGTCCCAAGTATTTGAATTTATACACCCAATAAAAGAAAACTTACTAAATAATCTTCGAAAACTACTTTACCGATTTCTATGATTCGATATCAAGTCGACAAGTTATAAAAGTGAACTGAGTGAAGTGAAGTGAGTCATCCTTTAGAACTTATGTTTTATTCGTACGAGTATCCAGCTATAGGTATTGTATTTCAATAGTTAATCGCCGTTACTATGATGTTGTATGATGGAAATTTGTAATCAATGTATCAATTATAACTCAAACGGTCTCACAGGACTGTGCAGTTGTAACAGTTCAGGCGAGGTGCGGACGTCTCTCGAGTCTTCAGAGTCGCACCTCAGCGCGGCGCACCTTCATACGCACAACAACCACAATCGGTATGTTCACCAGTATGTATGTACAACTTTATTATTTTGTTATTTATTTTTTCTTATAAAATTAAAACGACGCTTATCGGAGCACTAGCAACTTATTAAATTGTTTTTACATAATCAATTATTTGTAAAGATTTTGAATAATACATTATAATATTAATTATAAGTTTTGAGTAGATATACGTCTACTTAGATATTATTCTTTAGCAGTTTCATAAATGCTGACGTTGCCGGTTTTACGGAATGTTGTTGAAATGCTCTCTTATTTTTTATTTATCAAGCTAGCTAAACCCGTCTACTATTCGCTGATGCTCTGTCTGATATGAATGATTGTGAATGATTGTTTTTATCTCAGTCTTGTGAAATGCTTTGAATTTTCCATTCTCATTCTTTTATTACATATAGATATACACAGTATAATAGACATTTTAAGTCAATCCTTGTACTATTTTACTAGGTTTGTATCGGACCAATATGTGCGTTGAATATTTATATTTACTTATAACATAGTTTTTCAAGTAGAATATTTAAAAATATGAAAATATTTGAGATTAGTTACATTTATTGTGTAAACTATAGTTACATAATATTTATATTGAAATTAGTCATTTAAATTAAAATAGACTTTATAATATACAACCAATTCACAAACATATATTAATTATGTATGATTACATTAATTTAATTTATTCTCATTATGTGTTGTTTATTTTAAAGTTTCTCAAATGAGTCCGGATTTGTCTCCGTGGGTCACGCGGAAAGCGCTACAGAACAGAATTTCACATCTTCATTTTCTACGCATCATTACTCAACTCATTCCGATAGGTATATACACATATTATTCCTTTTCTGTCTTGTGTCGATTCCCTTTAGTGGTTTGTTACTAAGTATTTATTTTAGTTGTGTTTAAAGTTTTCCTGTACAAATGTTACATTGAATAATCGCCATAATGAATAAACTTCTATATGAAAAAAAAGAATATTGTTGTAATAAATTATTACCCAATATGATAATGGTTAAGCAATTTTAAAATTATGTTATCATTATTTACGATTACATTCGTTTTGGGTTCAATAGATGTAAATAGACTAAATTTGAATAAATTTTATTGTGTGGTATTGTTACGACTGCATCCAAGAGAGATTAAGAGTTAATTCCAAGGGAGATTAAAACTTATAATATTTGGATATTGTTATTATAAGTTATGGCTACTATTCAATTAACGTCATAATCATTGTATCTTTATTTATTCACTTTTCTAACAAAGATTATCAATATTGTATGAGAAATGAATGATCACAGATTTTAATTTAGACATCGTTTTGAATATAGCCTTTGGTAACAGTACAAGAAATGTCAAATAATGAATAACAAATAATAGCAACAAATAATAAATAATCTTTACTATAAATTAAAAAAAAATGTTATAGACTACTGGATAAAAATAATTCATCTATTTTACGTACAAACAACTGATTTTGTTTAGAATAGATGAAACATATTTATCTAGTGCGATTGTGAATAGCATTATCAATCCAAAAGGAAATATTGAGAATCTTTGTGATGTTCTAGCTTGTTATTGTTTTTGCAGTCATTTTGACAGTACAGACTGTGTGAGCGAAATGAAGTGCACACGACAAAGCTTTGAGAGCCGCACGAATATTATGAATATGAACAGTGTAACTACGCACTACTCTTCTAAGTGAGTGTCCCTTCCATCTTAAAATCACGCTTTATCACACTAGATAAAAATATTTCTCTCAACTGCACTATTCTATGCATCAGTTATTTTCGGTCTTGGATCTTAATTAAGTTGGTGGTTTTTATTCTGTTTTTTGTTGTTTATTTATTGTGAGTTATATATAAGATGTATTGATGTTTTTAAATTAATGTAATAAAATCGTGCCCCGCCTAACGAGAATGAGTGTTAAGTCTGGTTATTTAGTCCCTGGTATAGAATTCAATATGAATTAACCACGATGCTTTGTAGGCAGGACCGCGTGGAGGGCGACCTTCCGAACAATTTGAATATTTAATATACTTTTTAAAAATATTGAATAGTGTATTTTTTACACTGTATAGGCAAATTTTGCGTCTTAATCAAATGACTGAACCAATTTCAATTTTGTGTATAACAATAATAATGTAAAATAAAATAATACACGTTTCCTATTTCCTACTACATCTTATGTTTAGTTGAAAACAGAAACGTATTGTTAACACGCCGTTGGGTTTTGGAGTGAATTGTTAATTATAAATTAGCTTTCTGTAGAAACTTTCACCTAGCCCAAGGACGTAGTGTATATATAATTCATTAACACATTTCGTAATACTGGCTACAGCAGATTGGCAAGCATAACGTCAGACGAGAACGAAACGCCGCCCGAACTGCCGGCCAAGAAGACACGGCGCATCAATCGCGCCGACATTCAGCAACACTTCCCCAATGTCGAAATCAGGTTATTTATTTTAACCTTGTTATTTTTTATAACGCAACAATGAATAACAATTTGTTTCTTTTATTTTGTGGTATTTAGCAATCTATTGCGCTACTAGTTGTTTTAAAAACATATAAACTAGTGGATCTTTTAAATACGACCGAGTTCAATTCAATAGTAGAATATGATTATATATGTGGAGTGTAAATCAAGGTTAGTTAGGGACTTAGTACGTTTATTTTTACAATTTATATAACGCCACAACACCACTCTAATTCTTCTTTACTCTGATCAAAATCAGTAACACCATTTTTTGTTTAAATTCTATTTAGGTTGTGAGTGACACCCATTTCAAAATACATTGCGTGTTTTATTAAAAGAAACAAGCATAGACAGGCGTCATCCAGCGACTTTGTTTTTTTTTTTATTATTTGTTTTATGTATAAAAAATACAAAGAAACCTTTAAGGTTAATTACGCTTTTTGTACATTCTAATTGAAAGTAAATTTTTTGTCAATCATTACCAAAAACTTAATTCATGTTGTTTTTTACAGAGTAGACAAAAAGAAACGAGTATCAAAGGTCTCTATTCTAAACTGCATCTCTTGCATGATACTTAAAATTTGATTCTTCTTTTGATTTGAAATAAATGTTGTATATATGTATACATATTTGGTTCAAGATTCACTCTTTTATTATGAGAAGATATTACCCATCACCATTCATTACATATAATATATTTAGTTTAAATTAGAATTTAGAAATAACTTTATATTTACAATTTTCAGGCAAAGTCCAGTTTGCACAGTGCATGGTGATGCTCGACCTCATACTGTCGCCGATCACAACACGCCTCGTCCGCCGCCGCTACCTCTCAAGAAAAAACACAGTGAGTAATACACAGATCCAATATTGCTCTTAAAAATAGCACTAGATAATGCACTAAATAAATGGATATTCTATTAAGTCATATATAAATATATATATATATATATATATATACAAGTCAAATTTATATATTATGTATTGGCATGTGATGTCAGCATCAAACCAACGTCCATAACATATGCGTATTTTTTTTCTAAAATGGAGTTTTCATTATTTTTATCTTGCACAGATTCTTAGCTTAACCAATATTTGCATGAGTATTCATTATGTCTGATTGTTCAATATGTAATTGGGCATATCCTGGAATATTTGACTTATTACAATGTTTTAAACCGGTTTCAATTTGGAATAATAGATCCGAGTGTATGAATTGTTTCACAAAAATGAATCACTATATACATTTGGACAATTCTATGTGAATGATGTACCGATAAATTCATGTATTAAATGTTGTATATTTGTATGTCTATACTGCTCTATGTACATTGGAAAGGCTGGGTTTTAAAGAGACAGTTGAATGTGCTATGGGGTTTTAACGGCATGTTTGTCTGTTGTGCCGGTGCGGCGCGGCAGTGTTCCAAAGCGTCGCATACAGCGGTGAGTGGATGCATGAGATGCGGTCTCCCAATTCAAAACTTAGGAGCGGAGTCGTGTATTTAATTCAGCAGTTGTATACTCACATAGTTTACAGTTCACGGATCCACTCCACATACCGACAAATTGGAGAATCATTCGATGCGCTTTTAGTAAAAAATATATAGCTTTTATTACAGATTACATTTGACATTATACTCATTGTATGATTTCGATTCACGGATGACTTGTCTTCTTCTTGATGATTGATGACTGTCTCTTTCTTGTGGTTGATAGTATGTGAAAAAATCTGTACTTAAATTATCACGTTCACCTTGCTTTTTTACGTGCGTAAAGATCATAGGTGTGTTGTAAATAATAGGCTTACGCCGCTTGGATATCAGTTAACAACAACGGAATTTTGTTCGCGCTGTAGTTATTATCACCTGTGATGAATGTACTTAGCGCTTCATTACAATCATATTTTGCTCATGCTGTATCATGTTAATTTGACGTTAATAGTGTCGATCTACGCACGCGTTCTGCCTAAGCTCATAGTGATTGACTAACTGAATACTTGCTGCTCTGTTTCTTGCCTTCTACAGCAAAATTATATAGAAAGATAAAAGTCATATGACATTTAAATTATAATATTTTAGAACTATCAATGTAGTTGATATATGTTGCACTTAAATAAATAAAATATACCTAAAATTTTGCTGTAGAAGAAAATCAATAATTGCACTTAGTTGTAACATGGAATATGTGATTGTACAGTAATGGCGTATATGGAGATGTTCGGGAATTGTAGTCATCCACCGAATAATGCGGCGGCGCCTTCCGAGATGGTCCGGCATTCAATTCACACATATACAATAGGCTGGTAAGGAACAAATATTATTTGGATTGTGGTTTTTATTGCAATAATTCTGGTTTCATTCTTTTTAAATGAGATTTACATGCTTATGATAATACAAATAGACTATTAAATTAATGTTACTATAATATTAATATATTCAATCTGTAGCCTTGACCTGAACAGCCGGATTACTCTGGAAACTAATTCCGATCCGATATATAATTGCGCCGTTTCTTTATATACTCTTTAATATACACTACCTATATTAATTTAATATTTAATGCTTAATTTGTTAACCGAACTGGTCGTTTAAATACTTCAAATGTAAACAAAAGCACGGGTAGTAGATATGAATACGATCTTGAAATATATGTTGCGCCTTGGAACGGGTGACGGGAGACGTATATTTTAGTGTATCAATGTTTTTGTATTTTCCTTTGTGCTATTTATATAAAAAAAAAGAAAAAATATACATATATGACTCAATCTTTTCATATTCTCATCTATCAATCTTTATAAGCAATTACGTTACGTAAAAGAGTTCGCGCCCATTAGATGCTGCGTAATTAATAAGTGAATTCACCGGTTACCAGGTTAATGTAAGTACCTGACATTGTTATCGATTTATTTAGTTTTGGCTTAATTACGTTTTAAAATGATAGTACAAAAAAACGGATTGTGTTGATATTGATATTTAGATTAGACTCCAGAGTAGACCTGAAGGTCCCTCACAAGCAACTATTTATATATTCTTAGTGGAATGTGTAATTGGAATGGCAAACTAGGTGACGGGCCACCTGATAATAAGTGGTAACCATAGCTTATGTGGACCATAAGAATCATGTGATGCCATTCCGGAGGGCTAAGATGTCATGCCTCTTGTAAATTCACTGCTTCATCACCCTACAAAGTAAACACAGCTTACAAAACCGTCAACCAGATTAGCTTGGCGCCTGAAATAGGTGAATGAAGCCTTTCTCGATAGATACTAACTCGATATAATGTAAAGCAGCGGTCAACAAATAAACGCGGGCACCATTACCGTACAACGTCAGCAGCAAGTGCAGCGATCGCTCGCGCAGTCATTCACAGTACAGCATTTCAGCACTCCACCAATCAGGTACGAATCTGATTATAGCTGGCTATAATTGTGTTCTTCCTACATAGAACTTTTTCAGCCTCATAGTCATTAAAACTATTAAGTCTCCACTTAAAAGATTATTAACTATCAAATATATTATTATACTTTTTCAAGACCGTCTATATTTGTAAATAAAGAAATCTGAATATATTTATATGTCAAAATCAGTAACATAAAGAACATACAAACATATTATATTCATAACATAAAACAGTTGTACTATTACTTACTATTTCTTGAATCGCAAGTTGTCATTAAAATTACTCAAGGAAACTTATTCTATTTTGATAGCAAATTGTATATATATGATAAATTATACAGGTTTTTATATGCAGTATAAAATCACAAGTTAAGTCTTATTATCCTAATCACATTTTTTTGCTTTTTAGCGGATCAGATGACAGTATGTTAACATGGACGAGTACTGCCTCCATACCGCTAGAACCACCTGCATTACCGCCTAAAATTAATAAAAATAAACAGGTAAATTGGAATTTATGGAATATTTTTATAGGTTTTATTTTGATTTTCACAATTTTTTAAAAAACAATATTTTTTATTGTTATAGATACAAGTAAGCTCGAGTAACGAACTTTTGCCTCCACCGTCGCCAAGACCGTCGTCACGGCCGTCGTCACATAACAGTTCTGCTGATGAGTCGATCTTAAATACTTTGGTATGATGGTTATTTATCGTATTAAATATTCATTACTCATTTAAATTTGGATTTAATTTTATAAATAGTTATTATTTCTCGGTAATATAGTTAATGCAGATTTGTATGGTTTTTGATTTTTGACAGTTGCGATGTGCTTTTTTGACCCTTTCAGCTATCGGAAGTTTTGTTTGACTATATACGCTTGAAGGTGGGATAGTTCTTCCACATTGAACGCTTTGTACTACACGAAACTGCCGGCGACTACCGACATTGACATGGTTGTACTCCAGTCAACTGTTGACCACACCTATTGCAACCTAGTTTAAACGTCAAGAGAGCGAAAATTATTCGTGTTAAGACACGGTTAATTAAAACTAAAATAATGTGTATTAAATATGAAAGTTTAGAAAAATATTAGAATAGATTAACAACCATAATCAGATAATTAGGACAATTCAAATGCCTTATTTCAGAATTCCGATGAATCGTTTGTGAGTTTGCCTACGCCGGTCAAATTTCCCGTGGAACATGAACCGGAACATATACAACCGCCGGCTCCCTCCCCTGTACCTTCGCAGGTAATTAATGTGACACTATTTCATAAAAATATATTGTTAAATATCAGTATATTTAACAATATATTTTCATTTCATCATAGATAGAGTGCATAATTAGGGAAATATTCTAACTTTAGCCTTTCATTCCACCATTGAACTCCATCATAAACCGTTATAAGGAATATTCCTGATGTATGAGTTTAATTTATACTTATTGCATCAAATGAGTTAAAAATGCTTAACAACATTATATACATATACAGATGTTTCATACTTAGCAACTAATAGTTAATATATGTTATTATTGTTTATAGAAAAGCGAAAGCAGTTTAGAGCCTCCAGCGGCTCCGCCTGAACAAAATAGCAGCCCAGCGCCCACAGACTCTGAAGATATTATTTTACAGACTGATATTAGTTCTTGGTTGCTTCTCAAAGCACCCGCTAAAGATGGTCCGGAGGTCCGTGGCGGCCATCCAGACGCACTCATAGTACTTGCAACTAAAGCTACCAAAGGTACCATTCATTGAATTGCATTGTTATCACTTAATCGAGGGATGTAAAGGTCTAATAATCATCTGCATGGGAAATATGATTGTTTACTATTATAATTTTCTGACTTGGTGTCATGAAATCTCATTATAATACAACCATTTGTAACTCGAGGTGAATAGGCATGGATTGCATCGATTCGTCATACTTATTGTATACGTCATCGATACGTCAGTGCATTAAAATGGTCTATATTTCTGGGTAGAAGTTTAGAGTTTTCATGCAGAAGTTTCACAACATTTGTATTTTAATGGTAATTAAACAATTTTCAAAATTATTTATATATGGTACTATTGTAAATTAAACCGAATGCTCACAAAATAATTTGTAAACATACCACTAAAACCACTTATTTTTTGTTTTACAATACAGTAACAACAACCTGAATAAACAAATATTCAATGATGGGTTTATTAAGAAATTATATTGGGTGTTAAAAAAGCGTTAAGTTTTTTAAACGATAAATCACAATTATTCAAAATTGACGAAGATTGAAAATGTTGAGAGACTTCGGTATGATATAGCCTGTTAATTTTGTGCGCCATTTCATCTAGTGAAAGTTAGAAACTTACCTGAGGTTTAGAAGATATTTGGAGTTTTTATGAATAAATAGGAAATGTCTAACTAGCCAGAAATTTGTACCATTGTATATGAATCTCATATTGTACGTCTTATTTCATATATCAATGAACGTATTCAGCCAAAACAATTCTTTATTCCATTGCTTCTAACCTATGAACTTAATGCTTTCACTTTACAGAAACGGACGAGTGTAAGTGTTCAATCATTTAATGATATGGGACTGAAACGAACTGGTTTTTATACTAATCTATAGATGCTTTTTTTAATGTTGCTTCGTTGTTTCACGTATTTAAAATAACACGTTTGTACTCATTTGAATATTGGAAAAGGCTTGCTTCTAATCACAGCACTTGGAGCTTTGGTTTTAATTACTTGACTAATGATATTTTGTTCAATTTTAATTAATAATATTATATTATATTTAGTAAGATATCTATTATTTTGTTAATAGCTAGCTACAACTGGTTTATATTTCTTGCTATATTTTATACCATATCGCTTAGCAAATGTTGTAACACAGTTCTTAGAAGAGTTTATTATTGATTCGGTTTTAGTAAACTGTATTTAATTCAAAGAAAGTCGTGAACCTGTGTTACAATCTTTTTAACGTTAGCCGATTTACTTCCCTATCGACAATAGCTGCCATTATTTCAAACAAACACATTTTATAATGATTTTACGCAGATCTTAGTTTATTTAAGATTTTCAAATTGTAACACTTGGGCACAACAATTCTATAAGCTCAATTATAGAAATAATATCTGCGTAAAATAATATTCTTTCGAAAATTTTTGAAATACCCACGTGATTTAGCTTCATGCATCATTTCTTCATAATTATATGAATATCAATGCGTTTAAAATCTAGAATTTAAAGAAATCACTCTATTTAGTACTTCATTACATAGGTAGTACACGTGATAGTGGCAGATGTTATCGTTGGGTGATCTTGATTGCCAACTGTATAGCTACAGACTGAAAGCTTTTCACCTGTTAGTCATTCTGGAAAATTGTAATTATTGCATTAAAAATTAAATACTGTCGATGTCGCCGCTTATTTTATCTTTTTAAACGTGTCCTCACATATTTTACATACAGGACAACTATTTTGAAAATATTTTTGATAATGTATGTTAAGTTATCGTCAGTTCGTAATGTAGTTTGAGCTAAGAACTGACAAGAAATTCGGATGTAAAGGAAAAAGGAAATACCTTTAAATGAGATTAATACTTAAATGTCGAGTCTTGTTTTAATACAAATTTTCAGACTGAACTAGTACTCAAGCTTACATTCTGTATAAATCGCACGCTTAACAATTAAATTGCATTAACGCAATAAACTGAAAAAATCGACTTTAATGTTATAACATTAGGATCGATTTTCTAAAAGTAGTGTTAATGAAGTTCGTTGTAAGCGTGCGGTGTGGAGTATTGTGGATGTGTAACGGCGGCGTGTGTGCGCAGACTTCGCGTACCAGGAGGCGTTCCTGGCGACGTACCGCACGTGGGTGTCGCCCAGCGGGCTGGTGGCGCGGCTGGTGCGGCGCGCGCGCCACGTGCGGCCGCGGCAGCACGAGCTGCGCTCCACTCTCTCGCTGCTCACCAGGGTCGTTGCCGACCTCACGTACGTAACCTCCATACACATGTGTATTCTTCCTATATTATTTTATTTACTAGACTATTTCGAAACGCGCATACACTCCAGTGTATGTGCGTTTCTAAATAGTTTAAGATTTAATTACAATAATGATATTTTTAAACCATAAAAATGGCATTATTGTGATTACATTTTTATATCATGCAATCTGTATACTGAAATGGACGGTAGGGAAAAAATATTAATACAAAAAACGTGACGTTTATAAGCGGCTAAAACGTCGTATATGAATAAATGACTTTTGATTTGATTTTATATAATGATATATTGACGGCCTCGGTGGTCAAGCGATTTAGCACACTGCTTTACTTCCAATCTTTCAGGGTTCGATTCCTCGTACTGTACAAACATTAGTTTTTATGAGAATGATTGTTTGTGTTGGTCTGGATGTTTTCTATGTATTTATAAAAAAATTTACTTAAATGTATTTAAGTATTATATTAGTTATGTAGTACCCAAACCACAATCTCTGCTTACCTTGGGACTAGACAGCGCCGTGGGAATTGTTTAGGGATATTATCATTAGTATTGTTATCTATATATTCATTTTATGTTCTCGAAATTATTTGGTATCATAATTTACAGTTACAAATCACACTGACCTAGTATTATCAATATATACTGAACTTAGTTGTGTCACATACGGTCTTATTACAAAAAATCTGTTAAAACTCGGACGAAACGTGGTCTAAATGGTCGTGGTTTAAACCATTCCTAAAGTTAATACTTGGAATAAGCCTAATAACGATACTCGACAACTTTTGTCCAAAGAAGCAAGGTAGAAAAAAGCAATATTTGTTTTAAACTATATCGTTCTTTACATTGTTTCTCGGCATTGTTGATTTTTTTATAGCACTTTTTTTGTGTGTAACTTAATAATTGATATAATAATGATATTACAGAATGAGCGATCTAGATCGTCCACTGATGCAGGAGATAATGGAGTTTATATATTGGCTTGTCGATGTTGAAGAGCTTCCCATTGCAAAAGCTTTAAGACAAATACTAGTCGACAAACAGAAACAGTTACATTTCCAACAGGTGAGTGTGGATGTAATTCTTATTTAACACGTAACTCTAATATTAAAATATTATAAGAATAATTGCGGTATGAATCGATTTGTAGTACTAATATTGAAGATTTATTTCGTATAATAAAAATGATAACGTGTTAATTTTTTTTTAATTAATTATTTACAACTGCATTATTACATAACACAATTCCTGGTATTATATAAAGAGATACAGCTGTTTACATTTTGATTTTTCGTTCTTTCAACAGCAGATCAGTCATGACAAAGATACGGCCCGCGCATCCGACTCCCGGGCAGTATCAATAAGGTCCGCGATAGCAATGTGTCACAGATGTGATTTTTAACAACCGTATCTTACAAAATTCTCGTATCACAATGTTACTTACCATACTCCTCCGAAACGGCTTGAATGATTTTTTTAACTTTAAAAATACATGCAACCCTATATTTTCACCCTTCTACCATCAACCCCTATTTTTTAATAGCAATTTTAATTTCTATGGCAACACAATGTTTGCGGGTCTGTTAGTATACCTACTATAAAATTAAATAAAAATTCAGTACATTTTGTTTTGATCTGGCTCGCCTACACTTTCTAAATTTAATATATGGCCCTCTGCAAAACTGATTGTGACACTTTTGATGTAAATGATATAATTTGTTTATTTGGCAGACCAACAACAGATACGAATACGATAATCCGTGCTATGGCAGCGTGTCTCTTCGGCGTGATACACTGCTGGAATTCAAGTCGAATGAGCTCGCGGAACAGATGACTTTGTTAGACGCTGCGTTGTTTGGTCGCATCACTACCGCTGAAGTGCTCTCGTGGCCCCGAGACCAGTCTGAGGAGAGCTCGCCCAACCTCACGAGGTTCACGGAACATTTTAACAAAATGAGTTATTGGGCCCGCTCCAGGATTTTGGAACAGGTCAGTCTTGTTTTACCCTTTCAAGAACAAGTGTTCGATATATTTAGGCCCTCAAAAATCATTAATTTATATACGAATGATAGATTTTTTCATTTATTACCTGAGTCGAAGGAAAATGAAATATTTTAATATAATAAGTATTTTTCTTTAATAGATTTTGTTTTTAACATTTTCAACTATTATACCGTTGAGAAATTAATAAACAAATTATTACCTTATTTAATCGTTGACGTGTGTTGTAATCATGTATGATCATAAAACAAAGAATAGTTGGAATGAGTATGATAAGAAATTACTTAGAAAACCACTATCGCCTACATACACATCGTGTTGTGAAAATATTTTACAATATATACATGTGTATTTAATTGTTTTGTTAAGGCATAATAATTTCAATAAAAATTACGTTAAATCGATCATTCATTTTGATTTTGAAATATGGAGAATAACAGTTTGGCGTTAAAAAAAAACTTAAATAAAATTATTACTTGTATTTTTTTTTTACTTTAATAATAACAATAGGAAATAGTCCTTGCCGATTATAAGATATCCCACCTATTGACACAGTCGAAACTATTATGTTTGAACTCCAAAAACGCACCGTTGGGTATTTATATATTTGTAATCTAAATTAATTGAACTTTTCTCAAGTTTAGCAAGTAACTATTACGTAATGTGACTAATACTGGCAAATATAATAAAAGATAGAATAAAGACGACAGAAGTATGGATGATATAGCATACTTGTAGCATTTTTTACGCTCACCACTCGTACTCACTGTTCTGTGTATATTATCGTGTCGTATATTACATTCTTACTCCGTCATCGCACCTAGGTATACAATACAAGACGATTTTACAGAATAAATCCATTGAACGGGAGAAGTACGCGGGAAAATTCCTGAAAGTGATGAAGGCGCTTCGCAAGATGAACAACTTTAACTCGTACCTGGCGCTGGTGTCAGCGCTGGACTCCCCGCCCGTGCGGCGGCTGGGCTGGCCCCGCGCCATCGCCGATACGTTGCACGACCACTGCGCCATCATCGATTCCTCCTCCTCCTTCCGCGCCTACAGACAGGCGCTCGCGGAGACACAGCCGCCGTGCATACCATATATGTAAGTATTGTGCGTTTCTAAGTGGGTAGGTAGACACCGAAGAATTATAAAAAAAGACCTTATTAGTGTAGGCTTAACGCACTGCTATATTATCCGTTTCTTGTCTGTTCACACCAGAAATATTTTTATTTATATTATTTGTATTGACCTAAGTGTTTTCTAAACACGATACTTTATAGTCACTAATTTGCAGAGTAAATTCCTGATGAATTTATCATGATGGGCAAATTGAACTGATCTCATGTTCATCTTATCTTCTTCCGCTGGTGCCCTGACAACGTAAACCGCAGACGGGAGAACTCATTTTCCATTATTAACAATTAAAAAAAACTGAGCAGAGCTGTGTTATGGATATTAAACAACAGATTTTTTTAAACATGTACCTGTACCATAACAATTTATATATCTAAATCTAAAAAAATATTGACGCAATTGATGGCTTAAACTTAATGTATTACATTTGACTACCTCGGTGGTCTAGCGGTCTGCATACCGGTCGGCACACCGCTTTACGTCCGATGTTCGCGGGTTCGATTCCTCGCACGGCACAAACATTTATATTCATGAGTATGATTGTTTGTATCGGTCGGGGTCTTTTCTATATGTATTTACGAAAAAAAATATCTATGTATTTGTATCAGTTATATAGTATTTATAACACAAGTTTAACTTGGGTCTAGATGGCGCAGTGTGAATTGTCCTCAGATTATTATTATTTATTAATGTAGGTATATATATGTATATATATATTTTTTTTTTATTGTTGCAGTGGTCTAGTCCTTCAAGATCTAACATTTGTTCACATCGGAAATCCCGACCTACTTCCAGATGGCAGCATTAATTTTACCAAGCGTTGGCAACAGTATCATATAATGGAAAATATGAAGAGGTTCCACAAAGAGTGTGTATTCATTAATTTTATATTCTATTTCTTTAAGACCCCTTTTATATATTTATTTGACAATAGTAATTGCCATCTATAAACAAAAATCCTACTGAAAGCTAACACCCGTGGCTCGCTCTCTCGTGCGATGCCATTCTTAATAATAACACTATACTACTTTACAACGTTAATTATAACTGTTAAATTAATGGTAAGTCAACGACTATTCCAATAAACAAAGAGGTATTTTCGACAGCAGACAGTACAAGTTTAAGAAGAACGAACGCATCCACGCCATGTTCAATGAGTTCGACGATGTGCTGAGCGAGGAGGCGATGTGGCAAATCTCAGAGATTCTAAAGCCGCGAGGCGGACGCACTCGCACCGTGTTGCCGCCGCCCGCCCCCGCGCCCGCGCCCGCGCCCGCGCCCGCCCCCGCCGCCGCCCCCGCCCCCGCCGCGCCCGCGCCCCCGCCTCCGCCGGCACAGACTGCCGCTTAATGCTTGCGTACTACATCTGCAAACCATGCAAGTACTTCATATATTAAGGTTGAAAATTCCATATGATTTTAATTAAAAAAACTAAAAAGAGAAATGGCATTGAATTTAAAACGAATTTATTTAAATTTATAATTTACATAAATCTAAATATTTATTTTTGTAAAATAAACATACAATAATGTATTCGATAATGTATATTAAAATATGTCGTTTTATTATATTTTTGTGTGTAATTTTATACGACGGGTTATTAACAACAAAATATTTATTAAAATAACAGCTAATTGCAAGATTAAAGGGCTTGTGGTACAATAAATTATTAAATATTATTTTTTTTTGTAAATTTTGCAATTTAGAACAATTGATGTTTCATTGTTGTTACTTTTCATTTCAGGTAGATATTCCAACCCAAAGAGAATGAGGAATGAATAGATAGAAAGAAAAATATGGATCAGGAATTGTGTAAGTTAAAAGAAATGTGATTTCTGTCCTAAAAAGGCCTAATTAATTTTAATGTATTTATTCGTAAATTTGCGATTTTTCATCTGTGATCAGTCGGAGAGTACGATGGCCAGCACCGGCGGCAAGTGGCGCGTATGTTCCCTTACTGTCTCATCGCTTCTCATATTAAACAACTATAATGTTAACACAGAATACGAAAGCCAAATTCTTTATCAGTATTTGAATCGAGTTACTGTTATCTTTTACATATCAGTATGTGACTTGCATAGTGTACTAAAGAAACGAGTGACGCTTTGGTGTTTAAGTATTGTCCTTGATAATTCTTCTCGTCGTCGTAAGTATTTGCCATTGTTGTCAGTATATACATGACACAACTAAGTCAGCTTCGAAAGTGAACGCTTATCATTACATCGAATTAGAGGAATTTTGGATTCGTAGTTATGGTAGTCATACTACTGTTTGTTTATAGTAACTTAGTCCGTCTTGAGAATTTTTGATGTTCCCAATTATAATGTCAGTTACATGGTATTACTTTGGCGAATATTAAGTGGAATATTAAATCAACGTCTCAGTGAATATGTGTATATGAAATGGGACAGTTGTTGCTTACAAATAGACTTATGTCGGAGACATGTTAATACGGATATTTATATGGGGCTTCCATAGTTTTAAATAAATGACAAGTTAATATGACTTACCCCCAAATGTGACATAAGCTAAATTCAAGTGAAATATTTTTATACAATTCAATGCTTTACACGATTATTGCGTACAATACAACAGATACATATCATTAAATGTGTGTGCCAAATGTCGAACTTATCTATAATGTCCCATTTCCATATAACTATTCGGTCTTTGATGTTCAATGCATGGATATGATGCAATAAACATATTGCGTTACTAATATACTGTTAAGAACGGGACATTGCTACGATTTTTAGCGATTGTATTTTAGTACACATGAAGTGGAAATGCAAAATCACAAGTAACGTATAGATGTCTCATTTGAAATCATTGACAGTGGGAAAGTATATCGAAGCCGATATTCTATTTTTAATACTACAAAGGTGCGATACATCGGCGTCCTGGATAGTGACTGCCTATTAAATTGCAGTATAATTACAGTTGATGCGATATTTTTGTGCATGATCTTGAAAAGTGTTGAAATTCAATGCATATTATTATTTTTGATATTCAGAAATTCTATTTTTCCTATAGGTTGCTACCTTCAAGGAAGCAAACGTTTTATGATTAACATAATTTTGATATCTATACATACTTGTTTATATTAACTGTCACGGTTCGTGTCACTTTACTCTAAGCTTTAAGAACAGTGGGCTCTGAAGCCGTAGCTAGTTATTGTATAAAAGCTGAATCATGCTGAAGTTCAGTTGATTCTGTAGTTTCTAATTTCATGTCGGAAATATTCAAAAGTATAAATAATAGGGAAAGTTTAAACAAATAGTGTAATCAGCGTTTAATTTGCCTTAAGACTATCGAGTCGTTATTGAAATAGCAATAAATTTTTAATTGTTGGTAGAATCGCTGCACAATTTGTGATACTGTTCATGTAGCGTGGCGCTTTTAAGTCCTAACCACGTAGGCTGTTACTAATCGGAACAAGTTAGTAAACAATGGACTAGGCAAAAGTTGCCCTTCAGTCCTTCCGTAAGTCCTTTGCGGGTTTAAAGTGGTCTATGCGCTCGGTCCCATTTTCTATTGTTTTTTTATTCGAAAATAAAAAAACAATAGAGGCAGAAATATGTGTAGTTTCGATTGCACTAATAAGAAGCCTATATGTGGTTAGGACTTTCCTACTCAGTCTTATTGACGTCCTCTATGCGTACGCGTAGGCAAATTATATTAGGCGAATGTTAGCAGTAAGCGTAATTAAACCCCATTATTATAAATATTTGTTAAGACCCGTATTACACGTAGGGTAAATGTATTTGCCGCGTAATATAATTTCATCGTACCAAAATAAAATAATTATGCCGTCTTTAAATATTATGTAGTAATAATGTGATCAAGTGATTTGTTATTATAGTAATACCGACAGTGTAATACCGGTCTGAAATCATATGAATACCATATTCAGCATTGATCTGGTAGTTATGTGTCGTTGAAAAGGAACAGTAAAGTTCCATGCAATAAATAATTAGACCAATATTTAGAATGTTTTACTACAGTGCTTTACTGAAATTATGTGCTGATATTTGTGTATGTATAAATATTTTGATTGCTAATTAAGTTGGTAGGGTTACCATTTTGTTGTCAGGTATTAAATATTATTTATTTAGCGTACCTATTATAAACTTATATAATGGTTTGATATAATAATTATTAATTGATATTAAAGACTGCCTAAATTAATTATTCAGTGTAATTGACGTGTAAACTAGCGAAATAAATTTGTTTAATTGTCCCATTATTCCTCAACGCATCGTTTATTAGACTATTATAGTAAAATCTCCTGTTGCAGATTTTATATTAATTAATAATATCACATTCTCGATATTTATTACATAAACTAGGACTTATTCACATTAGTGAAGTGAACAGCGTACATATATTTTTGTTGTATTAGCGAGTTCAGTATTATGTTAAATATGAATGCCATACTGTATGAAATGGAGAATATTATTTTATTGGTTATTCTGGGAAACAAACTATTTTACATTTTATATTACAATGTTAAATATTACATTATGTAAAGATTTTATGTTATATTATTTTATTACGTATGAATGTAAATTACTTTTACTAAGTTATACCTAAATATACACTATATCAAAATTGCATGCTTGTACAGTCTTACGTGTGTCAAGTTTTCTTTTATAATTATTTTGTAAAATAAATATAGCACGTTATTTACAACATTAATTGTCTCTTTTATTTCATACCTATTCATTTTTGTAACAATAATATTTCGAAAATTATGGCTTAAATATTAAATTTATCTTCAGTATAAATTCAAGTAAGCAGAAATATAAAATTTTGAGAGAACTATTTCGAAACAAGAATTGTGTTCTTGTTTCGAATAGTTCTCTCAAAATTTTATATATATATATAGCATACACTGGTTAAAATAATTGTATTATTGTAATTAAATCGTTATATATAAAAAATATTGACGGCTTCGGTGGTCTAGTAGCACATCGCTTTAGTGTCGACAGTCTCGGGTTCGATTACTTGCATGGTACAACCATTTATTGTATTCATGAGGATGAATGTTTGTGTCGGTCTGGGTGTGTCCAATATATATTAAGTATGTACCTATCTACAAACAAATAATATATGTATTTACAAAAGTTGTTTAGTAGCCATAACACAAGGTCCCCTTTAACTTATGACTAGATGTTTGTTATGTGTGAATTGTCAAGGACTAATATAGGTAATAAATTATAGATGCGCTTAAATATTAGGTAGAATTTGTTGTAGTAGTATTTTGAACCTATGTTTCGAGCATCAGCAATTCGCTTATATAATATAATAACATGTAATATTTTATACTTGTATAGTATATAGTTCTTTCGATGAAACTATTGCCATGATAATTATCATATTGGACAACCCAATATTAATTATAATTAATATCGAGTATCAGACAATTATCAGTCTTTATAGTCCACAGCAGTTAATACTAGACGTTGCTTATATGACCTGATTTGTGGGTGTCTATTATGTGATTACAATTCAAATGTTTCGTTCATATGATTAAGCTCACGATAAAACTGATCTCCAAAAGCATTTTTGTTTGTTTGTGTATATTTAAACAATTATATTTTTATTTTATATCTACATAAAAATATCAGATGACATGTAAGTAGAGTCTGATGTACCTACCTATATAAGGTACCAACCTATTATAATTCCATACACATCCGCGCCCACATATGGTTTAATATGCAAGTGAATAATCTCATACCAGTTGCATCCTTTGCTCAAATTGTTACCTATTTACCTACTAAATTGACTGTAAACTACAGTATCCGTAATGACAATTCAGAATACGTAATTGTAAAGAATTGCATTTACGAGTTTTGAAGGTTGCCTCCCATATAAGAATTAGGAATACATTTAAACTAAAAATTATCAGCAACTGAAATAGTAGTTACGATGTACAGTGAGGCATCCTGATGGGAGCTCAGCGTGCTCCTTCAAGATAATTCAAATTGCGACATAAAACGCCACTTAATTTCAAAAGTCTACACGTTATCAGACTACTATCTAATTAGGTGAACGATTTGACTCTACATAATTATGGAATTAAGTACTTAATTGTACTTTAAAAAGTCGAATACATATGTACGATTCACAGTCTAGTATAAACGAGCCTCACTTCCAGACGGCACTATTAAAAAATAGCGAAATGTTATTCACACATTTTTGTATTTTGGTCTATATTTTGTCAATAAACGCAAGTCCTATTTACTACGATGGAAATTTTGATGATTCTCTGCGATTTTACGATGGTCTGGGTAAGTAAAATTGTTTTGTAGTATTTGGTAGGTACTACAAAAAATTATACATATTTTATATTTTTAAGATGGTTCAGTAGAGTTTTTGTTTCTTTCATAATTTTTATACTGTTTATGATGGAAAGGTGCTCTGGTGCGATAAGGGCTAAAGTGTTAAATTTCCGTACCCATTTACTCATGCCACGACCTTCGAAAAGGGACAATGTTTCGACGCAAGCATCTTGTATTAGGCAAAGCAGCAATAATTGAGACTCGTCTCGATTATTGCTACTAACGTTTACTATTTTTACTACTAACATTTTATTTAATACTTAATACAATATAAATGTAGGTGGTGAATTTGGAGAATATTTCGAGGGCGACATGCTACTGACATCCACTCAGGAACGCGATATTTTTGAAGCATCAGAGGGCCGTAACGGTTTACGCAATGGAGCTAAACGTTGGCCAAATCGTACAGTCGTATATCACATTGAAGAGGATGATTTTGGTTCGTAATCGTTCGCTTGTAGTTAAATATAATTAGATTATTTTTTCCCTGGACAATTCACATAACGACATTTAATCCCAAACTAAGCAGAGTTTGAGATATGGGTACCTATTAAACAACTGATATAAGTACACAACATGAAATTTGTACGTATTTTGTTGTAGTTACCTATATAGAAACCAGCCAGACCGATACAAACAATCATACTCATGAATACAAATATTTGTACCGCGCAGGGAATCGAACCCGCAACCATAGGAACTAACTGCTAATTCGCAATACTCACGAGACCGTCGTTCTTCAATTATTATGTATGAAAACAGTTCATACAATTTATATGGATGGTATTAAAATAGTGGATATACGCTATAAGGGCTATATACTATAATGAGAATGAGAATTAAAAAAATAGAGAACTCAGTGAAGATATTGGTAGTAATCTGCTCTCATCTATATTAGTAGTATTACACAGAGACCACGGTTACGAAGGCTTCATATGACTATTTTATATTTATTCTTCTATAATAAACTTCTTTCTTTCTTTCTAAAAAACACACAAAACTATTATTTCTATAGGTATTTAAAAAAATACTGTGTAGTTTTTATAAAGTTATTATTGTTCTTGGAACTTCAATAGATAAAGACGAAATAAAGGTCATTAAAGAGGGAATGATGGAAATCGAGAACAAATCTTGCATCAAATTTCGTCGAAGAAATGCCAACGAACATGCAGTTATTTTCAAGGTACGGTGTAATATCAAATTTTATTTGTTAGCTTATCCCAAGCCCTCTTTGTACGAGTATAATGATGTAGGGAATATTGGAGAAATATATACATAATTTTAATAAATTACAAGATTATTTTATTGGCTGATAATGAATATGATAGGTGAAAATATTATAATAATAAATTAGATATTTCTTAAATTTATCGATTACAAATAAAAAAAAGGGCCGTCATGTAGCATCATTATATATTAGATATCTATTTATTAATCTGACTTAAAACCTTTGTCTAACAAATAAAAAAAATAGTATTAAACAGTTTTGCCTTGCTTTTGTTTTACCAAGGGCAATATACAATATACGTGCCTGGGATTACGTAGTTAAGATTTTCATTCTTATACTTACTTTACACTTATTCAGAGTTCAGCGAATGGGTGCTTTTCAAACGTAGGCTTCAGTAATGACGATGATGAAGAAACAGAACAAGTTTTGAACTTGGGCAAGGGATGTATGCGACATGGAACAGTTGTTCATGAAATGCTACATACTTTGGGCTTTTATCATATGCAGAGCACATACGATAGAGATGACTACATTAAAATTGTTTGGGAAAATATTAAAGAAGGTAATAATCTACCTACTAATTCATTAAGAATATAAATTAAGAACATCTCTTCATAAAGAGATGTTCTGACAATCAATAGGTCCTACAACTAAAAATTACTATATAATATACTATATAATATATAATATATAATTTGCCATCGACACTAAAAATTATTAGTGTCGATGGCAAATTTTTTAATCAGGTATCTCTATTAAAACATTTTATATTATCACAGTAGGTGGATACTTCTTTATCTACTTCTATTATTACCGATTACAATACAGAAAAATTCTCTTATTTAATTTAAAAATATTTCCAATAAGAATGTTAGCAACAGCACTATACAAAGTAGCTAACAAAATACAGTCGTTGAAAGATATAAGAATCTATTCCCTAATATATCAGTACAGTGTTATATATTTAGCCTGATTTTCGAAATAGGCAAACCTGCCACGAAAGTCAGTTCCCTCCAATACCTATACTATAAACATGTATAATGATTCATTACACATTTAATTATATACCTAAGTATATAATACATAATATTTTCTTACATACAAAATTATAAAAAAGTATAGAAAAAACAACTTTAACTATACGTGCGTGTTTATTTTATATCTAGGTAGGTAAAATAGTAAATATTAATTTTTAAAAAATCATTATTAATGTATATTTCAAACTGTTAAAACAATATGATTATTCTGAGAGTTTATATAATTTTGACTGTCATATTACAATATTTTAGATTTAAGCAGACTGTGTCTGATAAGTGAGTTTGCATGTTAGTTTCACAAGGGCTTAAGTAATAATAAAATAATTTCATTGTAGGTACCGAACATAACTTTGCAAAGTATAACAATGATACGGTGACAGACTTTGGAGTACCATACGACTACGGAAGCGTAATGCATTATCCAGAAAAGGCGTTTTCCAAAAATGGAAATAAAACTATAATCACATTGCAGGTAATTGCAATTATTGTTCTATTGTCAACTTCGCCATAATCAGCTATATTTATTATGTTCCCGACATGTTTTTTTCTCAGTCAGATTTGAATATACACTAAAAATATTATTACCATAATAACCGACATAACAAATCACAGGGTTAGGAGATATAGTGGCATGCATCTTAGTTTCAGTTAAGTTAATATTTAGATTGGTTAAATAAAAATAATGTTCTAGGAAAATGTACACATTGGCCAACGAAATGAAATGTCGGTAAGCGATGTACAGAAGCTAAATAAAATGTATTGTGAAGATTCCGAAGAAGAGAAGCTGGATATCACACACCGTAACAGTTAAGCGCCTATTAATTCATTTTGTTTCTTTACGTATATCTAAATGTATTATAATAATGTATTCAAAATTCTGAATCGTTTTATTGTTTGTACCTACCTACCTACCTATCTATCTATATATATATATTGTAATAGTCTTTATTGATAATATCCTATTAGATACCTATATATAGGTAAATAGTAGAGATAGGTAAGTCACTTATCTATATCTGCGGTAATAAGATAAAATATTTCATTTTAAGGTTAAGGTTGACATACTCTCATATATCAAATAATACTTACTTAATGTAAGACACTATGTTGCATGAGCATCAGCCATCGCCAACCCATTAGCAATGTTCTGCAGGGCGTTTTATAATTACTGTGATTTCAAGGTGAGTTAAGGCGTAATATTATATCAATTATTATCATTTTCATAATTAAACCAGTTTTTGCTTAATTCGTAAGAAAGCGTGACGAAGTAAGATAATCTGACATATAGGTATTGGTGCATTTTTTTGGTAATACGTTTTGTTTTTTGTTATAATAAAATTTTATAGCGAATTTAATTTTTATATAGGTACCTATTTTATTTTATTATATTATAGAATACTTTACCATAGATTTAGGTAGACATTTATTGCTACCTTCTGAAGAGCTGATATTTTTGTTCTGTAGGAATTGGATATTAATTAATTTTGCTGGTAGGTACTTATTTATTACCAACTTCGCGCGACGGAAATCTGAAATGTTACCGAAATAGAGATAAGTTTTTAATATTAGAATCAGTTAATTTAAACAAAACGATATCAATTCTAAGTACCTACCCAAATAGTACTTAGGTATCTACTTAATTACTAGTTACTTCTTTTTTGTTTCCTGTGCAAGCATATTTAAATAAGTATTGAGTAAGCAAGCTAGCCAATTGGTCTTGGTTTTATTTACTCCAATTTCATTCAGCTAGTTCGTTCCTTTGGTTTAGAAAATATGAAGGCTAAATTGCATCACACAAACTTCTAGATTTCTAAGTTTTTTCTTGTAATGAAGTTTGAAGTTTATGTTTAAAAGGCAAGTGAGGATGAATGTATTTTATGGGTTAATTGTAAACTTTAAACTAACAGTTTGTGTGTACTTCTCATTATATGTTATAAAAATAATTACGACATAATTTTAAGAGATATAGAAACAATAACCTTTCCATATCTTAAGTCTAATTTATAATCAAGCATTTAATAGGATGGCAATTTTACAGTTCTCTTTCGCGATAATGTAAGTATCCTTAACAATGATATACAGCTAAACATTGTCTTGACGTAGATATTTATTTATTTATTATTAAAAACAATAACTGACTTACAATTAAATATGAAACACAACAATTCATATCGTAAATAAAAAATATTTCTGGAATCCTAAGAACTCGCAGGCTTTTGCCTGGTTGTTTTAATATAGAAATCGTTACTGATCAATTCAAGGGTAACTTACCAACTTAAAAAGTTAATCAAATTGGATTTTATTTGCGACTCGAATTACACCTAATTTTTACGGTTTTGTCACCTGACAATGGCATTGATTCATTGCAGCACAGATTAAGTTTGATCATGTTGTATAATCTCTTAAACTATTTGCTTAATCATGTGTAAAATTGAAAACATTTGGAGTATGTTCCGCGCGAACTGTAACGCCAATAAATAGTTTGTTGACTAAGTTTCTGTTGCACGTTTTGGACTGATGTAGGAGGTACTTGTTAAACTATTGGTTGAAATTCTGGGTAATTAATATATTATTCATACGACAAAGTCGCGTGAGTTACTATCTTTGCCTACCCGGATCTCTCTTATTTCAACCGCCAAGCAACTTGCAGGCAAGGTAAATAAGGCAGGTAATTACAGGCAAAGAGGTATGACATCTTTATCCTCGGGTTAATTTATTGACATTGGCGACAGTTGCCACTTACGATCTGAAAGCGGACTGATTGTTTGCCATTTCGAATACAAAAAAAATATGGTAACGATAAGTAGCTTGAACTATTTAGTGCATAGATATATATCATGTATATCCATAATGCAATATGCATTGTGAATTTAAAACGATTATGCAATTGTAACGCATCTGTATTTATATTTCTTATTGATATACTTCAAGATCTACAGAAAGTATACTTATTCATGGATGCAGAGAAAAAATTACACTAAAGTATACGTGCAATATAAATTTGTTGACGGGTTAGAATAGAATAGAAAATCATTTATTCAAATAAACTTACATTGAAGCACTTTTGAATAGTCATTACATTTTTTTAATCTACCGCTCATTTGGAAAGCTGTCTCATCACAAGATGAACGAGAAAGAAACTTGCGTGTTGCTCTTTTAAATAATTTTATTATTACTTTACATTTTTAAGTTTAAGTGTGTGAATACAAACCACCAATTAGCACTAATCTAATTAAATACTCAAATAGAAAAAATATTGAATATATAACCAACTGGTTAAACAATTAATAAGAGGAAATCAGTCATAGTGATTAGAGCAGACCAGTCCCTACAAGCAGCAGCCGTTCACGAGTATGACGGATGAGCCAGCCATCACTGCGCTCGACCATATTTTAGTGACCCCAATGACCCGGCCCATCACGTCGCCACAAGTCTGGACATTTTAGTGAGCAAGACTACTCAAAACATTAGACCACGTCAAAGCTATTTACAATTGCCATCTGATAGTTATAGTATTCAAATTTTACATAAGAATGCATGTGGCAATCAATACAAAAACCGCTACGCTTTCATATTTCTAAAATAATCAAGAAAGCAATGAGAAAAATAAATTATAACGTTGTATGCTAATAAACTAATTATTTACTTGATATTTTGTCATCTATGAATTCGTCTATCCTGTAAAATAGGCTTACAAAAAATTGTTTAATATAAGATTTGAATTGCCTCTCTGTCAGATTTAGTGCAGATTCTGGCAGTTTATTAGAAAATCTTACGCAATTACCATAGAATGAACCATAGGTTAACCTGGCTTAAATACATGAATATTATTCTTGCACTTAATTTATTCGTAATAGCCTACGTGCAAACCATTACTGCCACATGCAAAATCGTTGTAGTAAGTTATTGGTAGTTAATGATTCGTGTCCTTATAAAGTGAAAGTTAAACACTGAAAAGAAAGTTAAAAAGTGCAAGAAATCTCTACCTTTTTGAGGATTGATTTGAATGTTATTTAATAAATTTAAATTTTGTTAAGTAAAGAAAATTAATTGGCGGTAATCCTTCGAGCATATGGAAATATGTACCCTAGATACTCTATTAAAACAAATATTTTAAGATCGGAAAATATTATTACCTAGATGGTGTTGGATCTTCAAATGTATGCGTGATAAATGATGACTGTGAACTTAACTAATAATTTACTTAACCTACAACTGCTACCCTAGATACGACATCTAGGTCTAATCAGAATTTCATTTGACAACGGTAACTCTTAACATAGGTACTGCTACTGTACTGCATAATTGTCGCTGCGTAGGTATAATTCCTTTCTACCGCCGCCTACCGTCTGGTGTCTTCTATCACCTGAGAGTCAGTCGAAAATATGAATTGACATGCAAAGTTTTGGTCAGAAAACCACTCAGATACGACGCTCTTTGTAATGTGAATATCTTTAATTAAATAACACATTAATACATCTGCTATAAAAAAAGAATTTATACTTAATATTAAATATTTTTACTGAAATCTTTTACATAAGGAAGGTTTATTTTTAAGTTACATACTTTATTCGTATGACCTTACGTGTCACGCTGCTGTTTAAAACAAAATGCTAGCTAGAGCTGAATATCAACTTTTATCATTTAGCATACAATGAGTCGTTTCGATTTATTTCCGATTTCACCGCAACCAGCGACAGCAGCCTTTCCTTTTGTGTTTCACACCATGCAATTACAGAAATATGATGTTGACTTTATTGTTGTATCTATTAAAATAAAATTTAAAGTAATTTTAAAATAAGTCGGGCGATAAATTTAGCAATTTGGTCTTGCATGAGTTATGTCGGTGGTGGTGGTACGTGCTGTCACCAGAACAGGCGCTGTCGCAAGCGGCGTCTGCGCAGTTACAGGTCCATACCTTGTGAAATGGTCGTACCGGAATCTATATTAAATCCTACGTCACCCCGATGGGTTTTGTTCGACGGAAAAAATCGCACGGCACAGGAATAAAATCTACCGATGGATCATGCCTGCCTGACACCAGTGATGTGTTTAAAGATACCGTTATTATGACATCCTGTTTAATAAGGCGTGTGAGCTAAAAGAAATATATTGATGCGTTAAATAAAATTTAGTAGGAATAGCTTTAGATTAGGGAATCATGGAGTTGATTAATATATTTGTGATTGTACTAGTGGTTTGTGTATTGGAGTGCTCGAATATGTCTCAGGATGAAATAGAAGATTTCACCAACTATCTCCAAAAAACTTCGCGGCTAGATCAAACTCTAAAAAGTGAGTAGGTTCATATAAACTTAAATATTTAATTGATTCTAAAAATAAACCATTTATATTTAAAACTATAAGTGGTTTATTTTTCATAATACTAATAATAATATAAATTTTATTACTTATCTGATCCCAGTGATATCTGAATCAAAAATAAATAAATTTACTTAGAATAAATACGAGACGATTTCTTTTTTTTTTAAGTTATATAAGTTATAAATATAACAAACATCTTATTGTTATATTTATAACTTAAAATTATAACTGTATAAAATGTACAAAATTCTGTGTGGTTCGTAATGCGTATAATCCTTCCACTTATAGAAGGTGCGGACCCTGACGATGATTACGACGAAGACGAACCGGCCACAGATCACGCATGGGAAGAGAGTGGAAAATTTGAAGGAGATCTTATTCTTAACGAGCGGCAGAGACGGTTGATAGTTGAAGACATTGCTGAAGGACTATCCAGAAACGGCCTTCGAGACAGCACGAAAAGATGGCCCAATAACGAAGTTATATATTATGTCCAGAAGGAGCATTTCTGTTAGTATGCTACGTTTACAATGGTAACTGTCTTAGATATATCTATTTATATTATGATATAGATTTCATTTTGTTATTTCAGCTTCTGATCAAATGGATGCCATTCAAAATGGGATAGATGACATTGCTCAAGCGTCTTGCATTAAGTTCCGTCCTTACAAAAAAGGTGATCGAGATGCTGTTGTCATACAGGTATAAATGTGTGATTTAATTATGATCTTTTAATATCTGTTAGGTCGAACTCAGTATGATAAAATTAGATATATATTTTATTATCATTGTCATGTACCAACTATTTGTCCAAGTGTTTTTCTAGTATATTTTTAAAGCAATTTTACAATTTGACCGTACCTACTTATATATGAAAGAGATACTTTATAATGTCTATAACGAAAAATAAATATATGTCATTACAAAGAAAAGTAATATTTGTGACACTGAAAACTCCTCGGTCTTTAGTCTCTAGGACAATTTTTTTTAACGGTTATGAAATTTCGTATGGCTATAAACTAAATATATATATAGGTACTATCATTTGTAGCTTTAAAAATATTGCTCATTATCTCCTCGGCCTACTCATACATCTGTAAAAAATGCATTGTATAGGTACTATAGCAGATTGTTATACTCTTGCCTGTCTCTATATACTTTATTTACATTATACTCTAAATAAAACTAATTCTTGTGATGGGCACTTTTCTATCGCTAATGATACGCTTGTTAAAACCCACACTAATTAAAACTTCCGTTAAAATAGAAACATTCAAAATTCATAACGTATTGATTTTAGGGCAGCAGGCGTGGTTGTTTTTCACAAGTGGGATATCAAGGAGGATACCAGGTGTTAAATTTGTCAGGTCGGCATCCTGTAGGGCGCGGTTGCTTTCGACATGGGACCGTGGTGCATGAAATGCTACATACACTTGGCTTTTATCACATGCAAAGTAGTCCTGATAGAGATGACTACGTTGATGTTGTTTGGGAAAATATTATACAACGTAAGTACATGTGTAGATATATGCTTTAATATATATAATCGTTACGCATTTAGTTGTCTTTTAATTTTTGACATAATAATGGGAGTTCGATATAGTTTATATATAAGTATTTCCAACCAATTTTACATTTTCAGTTCAGAATTTTCATAAGTTACTACATGGTTACCGAATTATATAGACACATATGTCAGGTCGCTGACATTGGCGAAACAAGTATTGATGAGGTAAAAGTTTTGACTTTCACTAGGTAGGTATAATGATATAGGAAAGGAACGTGGGAAATCACACCTATGACTTCGTATGTACAGACCTACGTATAGTTAGGTACAAATATAGAGCCATTGAATCCAGTGTCGTGATCAAAGAATACCTGTCTGTTACCACATGTACTCATTAAGAATATAAATTGTGTAAATTGATACGTAGCTCAATAAGAAATTATTTTCACAACACAATATAAATGAAATGTTATAAAGTTTATTGAGTACATAATAGTATATTTTATAGAAAGAACCATTTTCAGGAATTTTCTAAATCGGTCCTGCATAACATAGGACTATTGCACTAATTAATTATTTTTAGCAAAATTTACAGATACATCACAGGATTTTAAAAGTTTATTAAGCAGATACCTTCCGTCATATTATAGTTTAATGTAATTTATATAAAACAACTATGATTTTCAGCTGCAAGACACAATTTTCGCAAGTATAATACCTTTGCCGTCTCCGATTTCGGTGTTGGTTATGATTACGATAGCGTACTTCATTATAGTCGGCGGGCATTTTCCGCTAATGGACAGGATACGATTGTACCTAAAAGCGTAAGTATCCAACACCCAATTAATTATCAGGTTATGATCAGTAATTTAGAAAGACAATATTTTATCCTTCCTACCTAACATTTCGAGATGGCGATAGACGTCGCCTTCCACGTTAGATTCTATATAAAATGCCTCTGTTTACCTCATCTTACAATCGTGAGAATACTTTATTTAATATTCAATAATATTTTTTAGAGTGGAGCGGATATTGGACAACGAGTCGGTCTTTCTGATAAAGATACTCAAAAGCTGAACAAAATGTATTGTGATGCAGGTTCAAGTAATTTTGATGCAGAAGAAGTGATTACCAAGAAACCAACTAAAAAGAAGACTCCTAAAAATAAACCGTTCGATGGTCACGGAATTGGATATCATCAAGGTAAAACAGTCGTCATAAAATTATTACCTTCGGCCGAAACGTATCAGTTGCCTGATATTCCAGAATTTCATTTATTTGATTATTTTAGTAAAGCACCGCAAGCCGTGTCAACGTCGAAAATTGGAGACCCGGGAAAACAATTAGAATATAACGTTAATAATCCAACAGCATCATTTAATCAAGAGTATTACAACAATAAAGGTGAGACTAAATTGCAATATACAACAGAAAATTCTCTAGAAGGTGTATATGATAATAACGATGAACAAAGGAGAACTGGAAAGAGTGCTGAAAAAAATACAGAAGACAATTCTTCTTTGAGTCCATTTTTCACAGATAAAAATCAAACTAATTCACAAGAATCAAGCTCTGAAGTAGATAATGAAAACATTTCTGTAGAAATGTCGCCAGAAGTTGAAAACAATCAAAATATATCTTCGGATAAATTGGACGACGATCTGAACGATGCATTTGAAAGACTCGGAAAAATAATAAAAACTCATGTCTATCCATCTCAGATACCTGACTTAAATATATATAAAATTAATACAGATTATAAAGAATTTTATAGTCCTGAGCAAATATCTGGAAAAATGGCACATAAAATAAAGTATTTGGATGAGTCAGATTATATATCTGTACCGCTAAAAAAAATAATAGAGGAAAAAGGATATACAAATCGAGAACATGAGGGATCAACGAATCTAGCGTTGAAGAATGTGGAGACTCTACCAATAGTTCATAATTACAAGGAACAAGACGATGACAAAGACTCTGATAATAAACAAGACAATCGACATGAGTACTCGAAGGCACCAGAGGTTTTGGATTCCTCGGAGTTGACATCAAAGGAAATGGATTCATCATATCGCACATCGTTTCCAATAAAGTATGAACACTATACCCCAAAAATTCAAAAGACTTCAGATTATGCATCATTGTCTAATATTCTACAAAAAAATAATTATAGTAGCTTCTATTCACCTCACGATGAAGTAGCTGATAATGATACAATGATACCATATAAGATACTAGGGAAACTTGTACCAGTGTATGATGAATGGTATATTAAAGATGAATATAAGCACAACCCAGCTAATTATAATTTAAACCATTATGGTAGTGATTTGCAAGAAAAAAAATTTAACCAGGTTTCAGCAGATAAGGCGCAAAAAATATATGCTCCAAATGCTAAGAATCTATATTCTCCAAGGGCTTATTTATTATTCGGTATACCTATTCCTTTAACTCAAAGCTGGTATGATACGCCTGATGCTGGCATTCCACTACACAATTCAGATTATATAAGTAAAACTATAGATTTGAAGAAAACAGATGAAGACAATAGATAGTCTTGCATAGTAATTGTATACGTGGTACAAAATTGTAAATATTTATATATTTTTTAAGTTCATAGATAGACTTGTCCTAGAGTTTGTAAATAAATAATAATTTTATAATTGAAGTTTGATTTACGCAATTGTAATTGTATCTTCAGAAATAAAGTAATTAACACACCTTGTCCCAATAACACACATATAGGTACTTATATCACATCACTGTATTAAAATAATTATCTACAGGTCGTGGAGGGACGGAAGGAGATTGTTGATAATGTGGACTAATAACCCCATTGCTAGCAATGTACAAATTTTAACAATGTTGGGTTGAGATAGATATTTCAGATGCAAGCTGAATTTGGCACGAAAGGCTAATTGTTTTCTTCTTGATTTTATCGTCTTCCACCGGTTCCCAACGAGCGTAAACCGTTAGAGCAGGCGGATGGACCATTACAAAAAAATATAAAAAAAAACATTTGAATGTTTGAATAGGTAACTTAACCGCTGTAGTTACATTTTGTGGATAATAAATTGCAATCTCTAGTATTTGGTAACGGGGAATAGTGACACCATTTCTAGCAATTTACCACCTCGTAAGGTCGAATTCCACCCGGTCCCCCATGGACCACCATGGTTAACTGAGCTAACATTATACTCATCCTATTACCCTGCACAGGTGCTGTACCACGTATACGTGGGTGCATTATTCCATCATCATCTGGTGATAAATAATATATCATTAAATAGTTTTTTAAACTATGGCTGTGCTGTACAATGACAGTTCTATGGCTGTACATCAATGAAAAGATTGACATTAATTGACACTATTAGTACTTGACAATCAGTCAGAGTCAGTCAAATGTCATTTCGACTGTTTTTACAGTAAATTTGTTGATTATGATATTAATATAATTAAAAAACTATTTCAATGAATACGAAATCATCACAAATGTAATTGCATCATTTTAAATTTATATGGATACGTATATAATCTATGAAATAATTTGTTAGATTAATATTATTAATGATTATAAATAGTTTGTATAAAATATGCTTTTATATTCAAAATTATTAACCGTATTTTTTCATTAGAATAGAATAGTAACGCTGCAGTATATTTTGTAATTTTTGAATGCAATAAAAATTGTTTCAAATCAACCAACTAGTGTAACAACCCAATAAATTAAAATGTATCCCTCTAAAGGTATAAGCTATCTAATGTACTGACTTTTTAAATTGGTCGGATTAACAATATTCCGCTGCAACTTCATAGTAGTGTTTTATCGATAGAAATGATTTATTGATTTCATATTGCATCACAACTTCAACAGAAACAATTTCATATCGTGTTACATAATTAGTATATAAATGAAATAATTGTTATTGTTCGTAGTATTTTATGTTATTGTTTCTTTCGTTGTTTTTTTTCACCAAAATAAGGTTACTATTTGCCATGATTTTATATAGTCGGTGACAGTAAAAATTTGTTTAGTGCCATTGTTTTTATATTACTTTAATGGGCTGTGCTGTGTCTTGTGTGACACGAACGAAAATGTTGTTGTTCGGTAAACATTCTAATAACACTACCGAGTCTCGAGCTAAATTAGAAAGGAAACTGTATCTTGCGAAGGAATCTCCGGAGCCCGATTTTGATTTATCAGATTGTGAACTTCGGCATGTTCCGTCCGGTATATATTCAATATGCAAAGTGTACAGGAAGGACCATTTATATTTACATTGTAATAGTTTACATTCTCTAGAAGATGGCGGTCAATTATCAGATTTATATGGGCTCAAAGTATTAAATATAAGTTCTAATAATTTTACACAATTATCTAGTGATATAAAATATTTGGTCAACTTGACTGAGCTGTATATACAAGAAAACAATTTAAAGACTCTTCCTGATAGTATAGAGTTTCTTCAAAGTTTACAAATTTTGAATGTTTCTAAAAATAGATTGAAAACATTGACTCCTTCATTAGGTAAGTTAAAAGCACTCAGAAACTTAGATATAACTAAAAATAATGAATTGAAAGAATTGTGTTCAGAGTTGTGCTTTGCTACAAATATAATATCTATAAAACTGGACAGCGAACAGTTTATTTTCCCTCCGACTGAAGTTGCTGTACTAGAGACATCTGAAATAATGGCTTATCTCTGTAAACACATGAATGTTGATTATATACCTCCTTTGTCATTGCAATCTGAAATAATATCTGTTCAATCCCCAAGTTATGTATATGATCCTTTCTTAAAATACAATACCACTACTTGGGAGGAGGAAGAAGCTGCTAAAATAGAACAAGAAAATAAATTCCATGAGGCTGCCAAACAACAAAGAGAAAAATTTCTAATAAAAATATTACAAGACCAACAGGAACTAGACTCTGAAATTGCTAGAATTCATGAGGCCAAGGACCAAGAAAGGCAAAAGCTTTTGAAAGCAATTCAGGATGATGAAAGAGAAGTTGAATGTTTGGTAACCAACTTTATACAATCAGATCTTTTGAAACCAGAGATTTTGCAGCAACAATTAATACATGAGCAAGCAGAACATGACCGATTACTTGAAATTGCTCGTCAGAATTATGATAATATAAGAAAAGCTGATGTTTTAAAGGCCATGGAGGCTCTTATTGAAGAAGACTATTCAATTAAACATTCCAAGAAACATTATGAAGATAGTGTGAATGATATGAAGCAAAGTATACTTGTGCAAGAAATGGAAGGTGCTGTTAAAATGGAGGAGTTACTCAATGCTAAAGATCAGTCGCGTACTGTATTAGTGCAACAGTTGTTAGAGGATGAAGATATTCAGAAAGCATTAGTTGCTTCTCTCATTGAGAGAGTTGATGCAAGAAGTTGGAGCCTAAATCAAGAAATTGGGTTAATCTCCTTACATCTTGCCAGACTGAGTGTTATTGAACAAGAAAAGAAAAAGTTACAAATTTCTTGTAATTATAATGAGCTACTCCAACAAAGAATGCAATTAGTATTTTTATTAGATGATCTGATGGAACAGCGCAATAAGAGAAGAAAACAACTTATTGACACATTGAAAGAAATGGAGAATCAACATGCAACAACAACAGATTTTTGGTTGAAAAATTATCAAAAACTAATAGACTCTGCTCCAAAGAATTTGTTAGAAATTGGTAAGCAATTGGATCCTGTTCTTGCTAATTATCTACTGCAGGAGGGTGTAATGCACTGCTTACCATTTCTAGTAAAGTTTTTATTTTCGGATAAACCTTTACTGAAGATTTCATTAGATGATTTAAAAGAAAATGGGGTTTCACTGTCTTCTGACAGAAAGGCAATATTGAGAGCAATAAATTACTATGTAATTGCTAAGTCACAGGTTCATACCTTTGATGATTCTACTGATAAAGCACCAAGTGCACCTACAGAGGAAGATATGGAACAAAACTGCACTGGTGTTGTTACTAGCAGTGAAACTGAGGATTCAGTATTAGAATCTGAATGTGTCATCTGTATGGATGCTAAATGTGAAGTAATATTCATTCCTTGTGGGCACATGTGCTGTTGTCAATCATGTATCGAGGGTGAGAAGAAAGTCGAAAGTTGTCCACTGTGTAGAGACAGCATAGAAAGGATCATTAAGGTCCGAGTAGCATGATTGTCAAACAAATTGTAATATGAGTAAGTAAAATATTTATGGTTTACCTTATTTAATAAAATATATTTCCTAATTCATATTTTTAATATTTATTATTATTGTAGTCATTTTACTTACTGTACCATAAAATTTGTAATTTGTATAATAACAAATGATATAACAATATTATAGAAACATTGGGTTCAATGATGAAATGCATGATCATTGAACATGATTTCACTCAATTGGATAATTATTCTGTCAATCAAGTAGATTGATAGAATAAGTGTCCAATTGAAGAGATATATATATATATAGAGATAATTCAGTACATTTAATAGCTTGTTTATTTAACAATAATATTTAACTGATGATTTAAATTTATGTTTTTCATATTTAAACCATTGTACACTGTTGCCCATATTACTACAATATAATTATTACTAAGTATCAAAATAACCACAATTAATTATCCTGTTGTTTCTGATAATTATTAATGATTCATCTAAAGTTGTGGCATTAGTCAGCACATGTATAACTGTTTTATAATACTCATTTTTAAAATATTATAAAATGTTTTAATATTATTTTTCAGGAATTCAAGGCTGGAGATTTCTACAGAGTGGGCACACAACAAGAAGTTAACAAAATCAACCCAAAATTTATGTAGGTACCACAGACATAAATTTGACAATGTGCTGTATATACTGTGTGTATACAAATCAAGAATGGTATTCCTTTTAATCATTGCGTCTAACTATTTTAGCTATACTGGCTGTTTTGTCCTTTTCATTTAAACTGTTTTTGTAATGGTATGTGGTGAAATACTAATAGTCAAATGAGTTTATATGTTTATATTTTATTCATGACTTGATTATATAGGTACCATATGTTGTTTTATTATTTATGAATATCCTATATCTACTTATATTGATATTGAAATTAATGTTCTAGTCAGAATTAAATTAGGCATTTTAGTATGTTATTGTAGGTGTGGCATTTAATTTGATGAAATTTATGTCTGTGATATTATTAACGGGTAGAGCATTAATCCGAAAATTGTACACCTTTGTACTGGTAACTATGACAGTCTCAATCTGATTAATAGCTAAATTGTTTATTATGCTTAAAATATTTACGTGTATAACACGTAAATATTTTAAGATTGGATGTTTTTTAAATGACTAATTATTGTGAGCCACTTAATAATATGTAATGTATTTGTTTCCATAATATCTAACTATAACAGCACATCTATTATAATTACGTGTTATGGATGTGATAATTTCTATATTTTATATTGCTGTTCATTGTGATTATTTCAAATGTCTTTATCTATGAATGATAATTAATTTATCATTGATACTATATTTATTTGATAATGTTTTATACATTTGCATATTAATATGATAAGCAATACGAGATTAATCTTTGCCTCAATTGATAGCTTTAACCAGAGTTAGAAAGAGATAATCGACACTAGTACCTCAGTTACATGAAAATTAAACGTGTCCCTACTAAACTAGTTGCCTCTTACTTGCATTTATATTGCAGAATCTATTTATAGATAGAAAGTCCCTTTTAGTACTGACTGATCGAATCCATTCGTAGTGCTGTTGATGAATTCAGAATTGAAATGTAGTTAGAGTACGTTATAGCCAAGTATTGACACACAAAGTACACACGCAGATCTATTATACATACATATATGTACATTAAAACAATAAAATATCAATATATAATATGTAAGTTATACTCTATATCTCAGGTTTCAGATATTTCTACGAAAATAAAACTGTAATATTTATCGTGAGATATGATTTCTGCATAACTGAATTTTATATTTATTATTATTATTATTAAAGTATTGAGAAAAATATAAGGAAAATTCTAAATAGCCGTAAGTGCCACAAGGTATTGCAATAGAGTCTTAAAGCAGTGTAATGGGAAACAGCGTGAGTAACAATTTTTTCATTTTACTGCACACTGTTTTCCTTGTAAATTCTATGTATATTGTCGTATTAAGTAATTAATATAGAGAATCTAATAATTAGCATTAAGAGTTTCGAACAATGTATAGTCATAATCTCTAACTGGTTCAGGATGTATCATTACGGGCGAGGTCGAGTTAAACGAACAAATTGTTATTAATTATGGTCGTTATAAGGAATATCTAGCCTCATCTGTTATTTAGAGTGACGTTGTCGTGAGTGTGAAGTCACTTTTAATTTGATTAGATCTTTAGATAATACGTATTGGTTGGTTATTCATTTCAGAAACTAAATTGACGGGTGTAAATGTATTTTTTTTTCAAATAATGCTAGCAAATATACAGAGGTAGTTGTACCGGCAATACCGACATTTCATTTCAACCTTACGTTTCCATTCTTATGTTTAGTATGTTATTTCCATGATTTTATTGTAAATATTATTTTATTAATGAAATATAATGTCGGTTTTGGCCACTATAGTAAGAAAGTTGATTGGGAGCGCCTCTGTATTACGATCGGGAATCAGCAACGCCTCCTTGCCCTCATTACCTTATTGCTTTCTTTGCATGTTGTCTTTGTTGTATCCCAAAGACAAAATGCAATGACGGACGCTTTAATTATTTCTATATTTACATCACTAATTTAAGACTATTAATCTACTTAGGAAATTGTAAGGATATATTAAGTTTATTTATTGTGCATATATTATTTTAGCGTTGTAACAGTTTTCTTTAACTTCGAATAAGAAATGTATTCGCGTGTTTGTTTTTATCTAAAACAGCCTACATTACATACAGCACTAAAATCAATGTTATTATCGGAACAGTGGTGCGGAGCGTCCTGGATCGCCTTGTGTGTTGTGAAATCTATTTTAGCCACAGGTTTTAATGTCGTGTGTAGACGTACATAATTTGCCGCAAGTCAATCTTAAAGATTGTGCCTTTTTATAATATTTATAATAGTTATTAAAATTTTGATATTTGATAATCTCTGATTAGTGATACGGCTGTGAGTTTCATACTAATACAATTTTGATAGGAAATATTTTTGTTTGGAACTATAATAGATAGAGTTCTGTGATATGTCCACCAGCGCTCTTTATTTTGTCTTTTTTTTTGTTGAGATCAAATTTGATCGGTTAACAGTGTAAATGGCTATAGTAGTTTCGATAGGGATAAGGTTATTAAAACGTCAGTGGTAAAAATCTTGACAGGATACAGCAGAAAACCCGTTGATTTGAATTTGTTTGTTTTGAATAGTTAACTACTTGGCACATATTAAATAGCAAAGTAACCTCCAATATGGCGTTATATTGAAGGTTACTTTGCTATTTAATATGTGCCAATATGTATCTATGCGATGACATTAACTAGTTTGTGTGTCTACTTTTATTTTTTTCAAAAGAATCTGATTGTCGTATCACTCTTATTGTGCCCCATACATTTATTAATTTTATAAATCAACCTTTCTAGTAGTTATGTTTGTAAAGCTAATTGCTTCACCTTGTTCTGCCTCATAATGTACATTACGGTACTCAGTAAAACGGCAGTGTTAAAAATGAACACTACGTCGTAAACTTAATTATATGAATTACTAACAGACGTAAGCTATTGTATCTTTCAAGTTGGATCAAATTGCATACAATGTGCAAATTAAATTTTTAATCGGTACAGTAGTTCTGGAGTCCATCGCGGACAAAGTGACACGGAATTTTAAATATAAAATATAGCTTATAATAACCGTATATTTTCTCAAGACATGGTTTTGATGATATCTTCTCTGTGTAAAGATTTTTTTTTAAATGCATCAAGTTTTATATTATATGAGTTTACCTATTATCTTTACATTACATTGGCCTCAACAAATAGAATTAATTGTGAGTTGTTCTGTAGATATATTTTTTTAAATATTTATTCATGGTATATTAGTTGATTTTAACCTAAACAATGATCAATTGTGCACGAGTAGGAAAAACGTTTAACAGCACTTGGCTGAGAATTGTACACCGTGTGTCCACAAAACATGAGCGTTTTTACAATTTTTTTGTGAATTATGAAACATGATATGTATCGAACACAATTTTTTCACGCGGACCGGTTCCGGATGTAGCTATAGTGGTATGCGATAATTTCACAAGTTTTCTATGTATTTTGTAGATAGCACAGTGTGAAAAAAATGTCCACTCTGATGTATACATATGTACATATTATTTATATTGGTGGACTTCAATGGATGATGTTTATGTATGTGTTTTTTATTTGGGATGACGCAATATATTTACCAATTGTGTGTTTTACTTGTTTCTATGTCGATTAGTAGGGAACCATCATAAAAGTTCATTACAAAAGTAATTGAAATAAAATTAAAATTAATTTTGTATTTGGTAAAATGATTTATTTATTATTAAAATGCTCAATGTGTGGTTTTTTCAAACTTGTTGATATTCAAATCCCACCAAAGATACTTTTTGATGTTTAGTAGTATAAGATTTCATATTTTTATAAAACATAAAATTATACATAAACATATAATTTATATTATAGTCACCTATATGTTATTTATATTTGTGTAGCTTCCGATTCTGCATTCCTGAATAATTTGTAAATGCTTTTGTTATCTATAACAGTAGCAACTTATTGATCATGCTTAAAATTGATTGCTGTTTTAAATAATGTCATTGTGTCAGTACTAAAGCATTTACATATTATTGCTTATTTACATTTTAACAAATTCTATCCTTGCATGACTAGTCTAGTATATATATATATAGATATATATATATTTATTAGGTACCATGTATGTAATAATAAGGGGTTATATCTGTTGCCAAATGTGCAACTGATGCCCAAAAATGCAATGACATAGCATTTAGATACACTGTATTTATTAGAGGTGATCTGGCCGCCAAAAAACAAAATCGTTACATGATTGATAAAGCAAAAATTTGTCATTACATAAGCGCCAGGAGTTGTTTCAAATATTTATATGTTAGGAGTATTAAAAAAATGTTTAATCGATATATGATGTTTGATATCATTCGTGAAAATTTCACATCATTTATCCTAATAAAAATGCTAATAAATATATAACATATATAACCCTTTAAATTGAATAGTATATAACATTGAATAAATTGTATATTATAATATTTATGTGTACCTACCTACATAATTAAGTGCTTTCGATTTGTATAAAATATTAAAGACTTATTTCTATAATATGACCGACGAGAGTAACATTGTTATATTTTTCCTACTTTTTGGATTGTTATCACAATTTTTAAAATACACAATTATAGCACATCTCTGGTTTGTTATTTGGCGAAAGTAATCTGAATCTATTTACCATACCATTACGATTTACCATAGTTTTTAAAATAGATTACTTGTGCCCACGACTTCGTCCGAGTCTTATAGTAACCTTGACCAAATAAGGCCAAAGAATAAAAAGTTGCATTGTCCTAGCTTCAAAAACGACGACACTTTCATACAAACTTTCATCTCCCTTATGAGGATGATATAGTCAGCTGGATAAGCTTCGAAGCTGGGAGCTGGGAAGCTGGATTGCACACTGTTCAAAATCTACCCTGTACCATCGTAAGCACAGATTATTATATTAGAGTCCGTTAGTTTGTGTTCCCAGAGAGTTTCCCAAACACACTCTATTACATCTGTTCAGCAATTGTTTTATTTTAAAGTACTAAGTGAATAGGCAGTTACTTTTAATCGCTCTTGAAAGTCTAATCCCGTTGGCTGAATCTCTTCTTGGATTATTAATTTTTAATCAAATATTTATATATAATATAACTATTTAT